TCAAAATATTTCAAATATGTTTAAAAATTAAAAATTATAAATATTACGTTCATCCCAATTTTTTAATAATTTTTTATCTTGATTTAAAAATTTATTATTTTAAAAAATTTACGTAAAACATTAAAAATTTATGTAACTTTATGTAAGATTTTAAAAATTCAAAAAAATTTCATCTTAAATTTTAAAATAATAAAATTATCAAAATGATTATATCTATTTGAACTCTAATTATGAAATTTATGTTTCAAATAAATGTAAAAAATTTAATAATATTTTTATCATTTATTATATCTATTTTAAATTTTAAAAAGTTAATTTAAAAATTATCTATTTAATCCTAATTACCATTAAAAAATTCTTTTACAAATTTAAAACTACAAATGTAATGTCCTATACATTAATTTTTTTACTTTTTCAATAATTTTTTTTCAAGATATATTATATTACTATTACAATTTGTTTTTTTTTTTATAACTTTTTTTTAGATATATTTTTATTGTTGTTACAGTTTTATTATTATGAAAAATATTTTTTTTCAATTTAATTTTTTCTTTTTTTCACATATTTATAACATTTTTCATATTTTATATAATAATTTAGTCAAGATTACTAAAGTGAAAATATGTTAATATTTATTTTATTATTTAGTTTATCATTCATTAATATATATTTTTATTTTTTTAAGAAAAGTATATTTTATTTTTATTTGATATAATCTTACAAGTATATAAATATTATTGTAAACAAAAATATTCAAAGAAAAGATAATTTTTTTTGTTGTTTTCATAAAACTTTCTTTTTAATGACAAGTTAATATATATCTATTTTTTTATATATGTTATGAGTTTTAAATATTTAAATATAATTTAAAAATAAATTAATTTATATATATTCATATTAAATAAGTAAAATTATTTCGTGCATCGTAAAATTATAATTTAATTTCCTTATAAGTTAACTTAAAAATTATATTAATAAGTAAAAAATTATTTAAAAATAATTATTTAAAAAATAAAATACAAAAAGTGTTATCATATCTTGCTTTATCGAAGGTTATTTTCTTTAATAAAAATTTATTATTTTCAGTATTTATTAATTATTAGTGATGACTATGTTTAGATGTTATTTTGCTAGTAGTATTTAAATCTAACTTTTTTTAAAAAAATTACTATAAAACAATAATAAATAAATAAATAAATATCAAATGTATTTTTTATTTAGTGATGAAGGGGTTGGTTAGTAGATGAGATTGAGAACATATCAAACATGCCATAAGTAAAAAAATCATAGGGATGTCAAACAAAATATTTGAAGATATATTCAAACACTCAGGTCAGTCAAAAATACGAGAAAAAACAAGATAAATGATAGACTAAGATAATAAAAAATAAAAGAAAAAAGAAAGAGAATTGAGTAAATAATGTATTACATGCTTAATCTAATTCTTTTTTTAATACTTTACTGATGATGACGTGATTAATTAAATCGGTATACGTAAGTTTTAATAACATGACAATTATAATATTCATTGATATTATTATTAAAATATAAAATAAGGAAAGTTAAAATTAGTAACAATAAATAAATATAAATTCAAATAGTTATATATTTTATATAAAAGTTAAATTTTGCATTATAATTTAATTAAATGAATTTTTTAATTTTTGAGAAACATTGTTTTTTTATAATTAAAGAAGTTATTTATCCTTTGAATTAAAATAAGTTTATGTCCTTGCGATCCCTGTTGTGGCAAATGGTGTGAAATGTGAAGTATTACCGAAGGTTAAATATTTATACGGAGATTGCTTTGAGGCATATTACCACTAAACGAAGCATTCAGAGGTCGAGGAATGAAAATGGCCCATAGATATTGTGTTCGTAGAGAGGAGAATGGAACAGATTATTAGAGGTGTTTATAATTTAATTTTAATTAAATTAATTGATATAATAGATTTAATTTGATTAATCAATCGATTATTAAATTAATTTTGATTGATTATCAAAAATAACTTTTAAAAAATTTCAAATTTTGGTTAATTTAGTTCAAAAATCAAATTAATCGAAATATAATTTAATTAAAATATAAAGTATAAAATATAAAATAAATCACTTAATTTCATAATTTATTATAATTTTTAATATAATATTTTAGTATTTATATATGTTATTGAATAATTTTATTTAATTTATTTAAAATATAAAAATTAAGAGTTTAAAATATAATATAATTTAATATATTTATTATTTAATTAATTAAAAATTTAATAAAACCTACTAATTAACTTGAATTTAACTTAAATTTCGTCAGTTAATTTTTAAAATTTATAAATTTGATTTAATTAACGTAAATAAAATAATATAATTTGATTAATTCAATTTGAAATTAATCAAATCGACTGAATGAATATTTTTATAGACATCATATCTTTTTTTATTATGTGTTTAACTTAGGGGTGTCAATCTTACTCATATCCAATAAAAAATCTAATTTTTTATTCAAATAAATATAGGGATAGATATCACATTATGAGTATATGGATGGGGATACATATGATTTTAAATTCTTATTTAATACGAGATAGAGATGAATAATATAGTTATTGTCCCGTATCAATACCTTACATATATATTTATATATATTTAGTTTATAGATTTTTATTAAATAATATAAATTATTATTTTAGATTAATTAAAATTAATATATTTTTATTGAAAAAATATATATTAATATATATTTATAAAGAATTACTTAAATATACAAGATAAAAAAAAAAAACTAAAAATTTTTTTAGCTTTTTGCTTTTTATTAAAAGTTATGGATATGGAGATTGTTCATACTTATTAAATACCTAAAAAGATGAAAATGATGATAAATTTAAAATATTTGTTAAATATAAATATAAAATTTAATATAATATAAAAATAAAAAGTTTTAAAAAATTTTTAGTTTTTATTTTTTATTTTTTTAAAGTTAAAATATGAAAATTATCCATACTCATTAAGGATAAAAATGAAAATAAATTTAAAATTTTATTTGGATAAGGGTATGGACATAAGTATAATATAAAAATCTATGAATGAAGATGGTCAATGCTTTACCTTACCCATATCTTACCAATTGACATCTCTACATTAATACCAATTGACATCTCAACATTAATATTAAGCACATTAAATGGACTTAAACAAATAAATAAGGTCCAATCAAAAAATAAAGTTGAGCTTAAGTTTCATCGTTAAAGGTTTGGATTCGGTTTAATTCGAAAATTAAAAAATATTTTTTATCATAACGAGACAAAGCTCATTTATTTTATTTTTTATAATGAACGAGACCCATTTACTTTATTATTTATAATATAATAAAAATCTATTATTTCTTTATACAAAATAATGACTCAATTTTAAATTATATTTAACAAAATTAAATTGAACTTAAATTTAAATAACTCATAAATTCAATTAAAATTAATTAAATTAATAATTTACAAAAAAATAAAAAAAACTATTTTCCTTAATTTTAAATATAAATATTTTTGGGCAAGTTTAGACTTTATTATTACATATAAGAATGAATTTGGGCAAAAAATGAGGATCGAAAAATCGAAACAGAACGAATCTAAGCTTACTTAAAATACCAAAATATCATGTCAGATTCGATCAAAACCCAACTCGACCCATAAGTAGGGTTATTTTGAAATTTATCATGTTTTTAATTAAAATTTTAATTTTGTTATAATTTGATATCTTAATTATGTTATAATATATTTTAAATATATTTTAAATATGTAAATAATTAAATAATATTAATTTATTTTTTATACATTTAAATAAATAAAAATAATCTGTGCATCAAACTATCACAAACTAATTTACTTTTTTTTTTTAGAAATAAGAAAAAATTTAAAAACTTAAAGATGAGCTATATTCCAATAAAATTACATTTCGTAAGTATAAAATTCAAATTATAACATCTATAATTCTTTCATGCATTTTTAAATTATAATTTATTTTATTAAAAAATTCACATTCTTTTCATTTATCTTCAAACTATATCTTTTTTATTACAAAAAATCGAATTACCCAATTCCAAAAACAGGCATCTTGATAAAAGGTAAAAACAAAGCCTTGCAAGAATTGCTCGTGCATGGTCCATTTATAATCCATGAATAGAAAATTCCTTAAAATATTCAATGTAATATTTAAATTTTAAAAATTGTTAGTATAATATTTGAATTAAATTATAAATATGTTAATTAGTATAATACTCACTTGTAATATAAGTTATTTAAAATAATGACACATAAAGGACAAAAAATCTTCAATTAGCACAATAATTAATAAATTTATAATTTATGTATCAAATTAAAAATGTTTAAATTCATATATCACAATAAACATTTTACTATAGTTTAAAAGTTATTCATCATATTATCCATTTCATTAACAAAGGAACTAAGTAGAAATGTTCATGTATACGGCCAAATCAGATTCGGATCTAGTTCATATTTGATATTAATAGTTTATATGCTTATTTAAGTTCGATCTGACCCAAAATTTCAAGCCTTAAAATTTTCTCAAATTTAATCCAAATTTAAAAAATTAAATCTCAAACTCACTCGTTAAACTTAATTTGCATAATAAAAAATAAAAAGATGTAATTAAATTTAATTTAATGAGATTATATTCAATTCACATATAAGTAAAAAATAAAAATAAAAATTATATATGTTTTATTAAATTTAAGTTTTACTTTTATAAAATATTTATTTTTATTTTTAATTTATATATATAATTTACATATATATAAAAATAAAAAATTTATATGTATATAAATTCTAATCGAACTGGATCATATTCAAATTTAAATCTTTTGCTCAAAATCATATCCAAAATTTAAATAGACCTAAAAATTGTGTCCAAACCCTTTTAACATATTTTAATTTTTTCTTCAAATTCTCTCAAAACTTGAGTGGACCTTCAGACTTGGACGGATAACTTAGACTTCGAATAAATTTAGAACAGAGTTTTCTGGAATAACTTTTTCTATTCTTAAATGAAATTTTTTTTAAAGATGCATATATATTCAATTTGGACAGAGGAAAAAGCCAACATCTCAACTCTTCAGACTATTTTCATTTGTATAATAATGATTTCAGGCAACAAATACCAAGGAAAAAGAAAAGAAAACACCTGCACTTTGCATCAAACGCTTTTCTTTGATATGATTCAGGCATCTATACCTCAAAACCCATGTAGGATTTATATACATAATAATGATAAACTAGTAAGCTCCTCCTACCTTTGTAGGATGAAGGGCTACCTGCTGTGCATCAACACTGCTTGTATGCATTTCATGGAGACTACCTGAGTCACTTTTTCGACTTTGTTTCCACTGTTCGAATGGGTGGTGATGACTGTGATCCACCACCACCTAGAGCTGCAGCAGCAGATTGAACATGTGTAAGAAGATACTCGTATATTTTCTTCCTTAGCCGATCAATTGTCTCCGATGAAACATGGGGCGTCTCTCCTTCATCTTTGCTCGTGCTTATTTCGTCTAACCAGTTGTTCACACTCTTGAGCTGTGTCAACATGCCGGCTATTTGACCATTGTCTGATAAAGCAGATGTGTCCACGTCCGCATCCAAGAATTTCTCCACAAATCCTAAGAACCAATCCTGAGATTCCATTCGCAGCATTTCAGCCAAGTCAACAGCCTCATCAAGGCCATTTCCCCTTGTCCATTCTGTTGGTGGTTGGACCAGTGCCTTCGGACCAAGGCCTGAACCATCCCCCATTTTACGAAGAACACCCTGAGCTACAAGCTTAGAGCCAACTACCGGACGGCTTTTCGCTTTTGCAGAAGAATTCTTGGCAGAATTTTCTAGAATTAACATGCTTTGATTGGCAGGGATAGTCTTCTGGCTTTGTGCAGAAGCTGAAGAATGACTCAGCATTGGATAAGGTTCTTTGGTATACACAGAGATGGATGATAGATTGGTAGCCAATGCGGCTTGCACCCATGAGACTGCATATTTCTGTCTATCCGATGTGACCTTTCCTGCCTCTTCTGACAGGTTTCCTTCAGATTCTGGAGATGAACCGATTTGAATAGTTTTTGATAAAGAATCCGCAATCATGTGAGCATTATTCAAGCTCGCATGGAGGGTCAAGAACTGGTCCACTGCAGGCTGAGGGTTGTCCTCCTTGGCAGAGGTAGTAAGATCAGAATATAAGCTGCAAGACAAAATAATATACCAAATGTCATATAAGAAAGCAAAGAACATTGGAAAAAATTAAAACCTTGAAAACCTCACTCATTTAGTTAAAGAACACACAACAGTAAGAGAACAGAACTTATTTTTCGGGCATGGCAAGAGAAAGCTGACCATGCCATTACAGAGGAACCCACATAAACATTATGGTTCCATCCCTCTGCTTTTGACCTAAAGGACGAAGCAGTGGCCAATCTGACCATTTTGCTTATGGCATTAGACAATGCCAATGTATAAATTTTCTTGAGACAATCTGACCACTTTGAGATGAAATATGTGCCTATTACGTTCCTTAAGTGTCCCATTGAAAAACTCAAAGTTTCTTTTTCTTCACCCTTACCCAAAAGCAAGAAATTCTGCTGGTGCAACTCCAGAAGATCAATTCTTAATTCTCAGCTGTTTCCAATCCTGATGAAGCCAAGGTTTGAGTTGCTAGTCTATGATTGCTAAGCAATCAAACTAGAATGTTAAGACTGGACTTCACAGGTTTACGATGGAGATGAGTTTTAAAAAAAAACAACATGTAGGTTCCGGGTCAAGTGGTTGATTGTTTAACTTGCTACCTATAAGGCTTGAGATAAAACTGATGAAGTCCAAAGTCACTCTTATCTAGTACTACCTAGTAAAAAACAATTACATGGTTAGTTCCTTGCACCCTTTGAATTTGAAAAGCGAGACAACAAAACGAGAAAGGCCAATACATCTAAAGATCAAACACATTGGCCTTATTCTTTGCATGCAAGAACAACTTCATTATAACTATGGAGAAAGGCACCCAGGGGCCGAGAAGTGTTAGACCCTCGTGTTATCAAGTTTTTTACCTACACTTGCAGTCATTTGAACAAAATTGGCAGGGTATTGGCCACCCCATTCCATCTTATTCCCTCTTGAAAACAGTTATAAGAGCTACAAATTCCATCCCACAACCATTCACTCATTTCAAATTGCTCAAACTTCAAGAAATTTTAGCTTTTTGACTTTCTTCTGAAAATCTTCCATTCTTCCACATATGCTATTGATAATAAGGTTCAACTAAAACAGAAGCCACCAATAAAAAGGAAATATAGGAGTCAAAGAATTAACCACACCATTCTAAGTTCCAAGAAACTAGATCAAACACATATAAAAAGAGGACAGAAACAATTGATCATGGAATGTATAGCATGAAAATTTTTCCATGAACTCTCGTTCTGGTGCAGCAATTCTAACCTGATGGACTCTAACTTTATTGAAGTTAGCACATTCTAGAGGTTTCAGTTACAAACATAAGTTACAACATGCAGATTGTTCAGTTGAGAATTGTGGTTTTTAGGATTTTACAATTTGTGTACAAATTAAAAAGTTTGACCAGGGTAATATGGAGAATAGAAATCCAGACATCTAAAAGATATTTAATCTTTTGAAATTAAGAGGGACTTAGCTTTTACTGCAAATTCTAATCGTTTTCTTTGCTAACATTTCTTTTCTTTTATTGTTAAATAGTCATACCTTAAACATCTAAGTAAGCTCTCTGAAGCAGCAGCCTCTTGTAAAGCTTGTATTGCTGCTGTTTGTGCTGCATCCCTGTGTTTCATGACCTCCTGTGACAACAATCACGAATTTGACATGAGGAATCACAAAAAGAACTATATATTTCACAATGCCAGAACGTGAATGACACTGTCAATGCAAGAAAAATAAACCACTAATGACAAACTATAACCCTTAAACATCAATTGATGGATGTTGTTGCCATGCAAAAGGTTGATGGTTAACCACATAGCCCAGTGATACTATGAAATCAACCCTTTTTACGACTGCAAGATAACCCTTAGAAGAGACTTTCATTTAAAAGCTAAGAATGTTGTCAAGATCCAAAGAGTCATATGTTCATACCTTTCCAAGCCTTGAAAGAGATGAGGGGAGTGAACCCCATGAAACACTTCCATCTGTCAATCTTTTATTATTTATCGGAACCTTAACCAAGTTCCCCAGGGCACCATTATTAGTTAATTCTCCAGATTTCTTCCCAACATAAGTTCTTGGCTTATTTGGTTTCTCTTGGTCATCCAACATTCCATTTGCCATGACTTTCTTAGTTGACACCTGAGATTTACTCTCCTCTTTTAATGACCTGGTATATGTATGGAGCTTAGCCTCCTCCTTGGATGATAACTTTTCGCTTGATGTGCTCTTTCTAGGAGCCTGGTATCCAGATTTCAATCATAAAGAAGAAGGGAAAAAAGTAGCTTGACAAAACAAGACCTTGAGACAATGCAGAAATCATACACATGTATTTTCCAAATTCTAAAACATTTTGACATTAAAGATAATATAGGAGGAGAAGTCATATTCAATGCTTAAACTTCTTTAATCGAATTCCAAAAAAAAAAAAAAAAAGATTGAATTATTCTGTGTTGCTTAGACGTTTCTACTTGCACTAAGCAACCACATCAAACACATATCAAGCACTTAAAAAATCGGCTCCAAATAAAAGGAAAACTAACAAGAGAATAAACAGACCGATGTCACACATGTATGACATATCCTAAACTTAAAGCTGAATCCAAGCATTACCTTGAGTTATATCCTTCAAGAAAAGCCAGTCCACAAATTGAACAATTAATATAAAACAGTAAAAAACAATTTACGAAAATAGAACAAATAGATTCTACTATCTCATATTTTAAACTTCCTTATGTTTTACTCAGTTAGAAGCAGCAGATCAAGAACAAGAAAACTTACAGTCGTGCTCCCAGATTCTCGCTTGGTAGCCCTCAGTTTAGAATGGTCCCTACCCTTCACTTCCATATTCCCTTCCCAGCTCTTTCTCAAAGCCTTGGCTCCTAATTCAATCCCTTGAACCAAAGTTTTGATCACAGGTACTTTTTTTCCAGTTGAACTCAACCCATGGAAGGAACTTACTTTCTCCACAGATCCCACCTTGGGACTTCCCTTCCTCAACCCCTTTATTTCAGCCTGATGCTTAATCCCAGTGGCAAACTTCTCAAAAGAAGTTGGCAATGAGTAACAACTAGTGGGGGAAGAAGGAATAGACCGTGAACTTAGTGCCTTCAATCTCCCCAAAGGTTCCTTCTTCACATCCAAACCCAACGCTGGTTTAGTCAATTGAGACTTTGATCTAGTCAAAGAAGACATTTTCTTATCCAATTGATCCTCTTTCACACCACCATTTGATCTACTCCCAACAGACTTCTCTTTCTCTCCACTGTGACCACTGCCTAAAACTGCTTTTGATGGTGACTTAACTTTCTCTCCAGGTTTTGAACCCAAGGCACTTTGACTACCATTATTAAGGAACCCAAGAGAATGAGTTGCAACAATATCCTCAGGGCTCCCTACACAAGGGTGTCGCCCAGGGACCGGCCTAACCCCACGGAGAATGGGTACCGGTGAAGCAGATTCTAACCGGTCAACATGAATAAACTGACCTAATTGGATCTTATCACTAAGAATTAAATCATCATGTTCATCAGGCAAAGATACATATGTAGCATGAGATGAATCTGAAACCTTAAGGTAAAAGCCTTGGTTAGGGAATAGCTCACCTCCTGCCAGTGCAGGAACTATACTCACTACTTGCAATAGAGATGACCTGTGCTCACCAGCAATCTTCACATCTGTGTTCATATGCTGTAAAAGCTTCAGAAGGACTCCTGGAACAAGATTTGCCATTTTGGGTGCTTCCAATTTACATTACTCTTAGAACAAAAACCCCAGACAAAGAAAATAAAAGATTCTGTATGAGAGAATAACAGAAACCTTGAATCAAAGAAATTGAAAAATAAAGAATTTTGGTCAATACCCAGATTAATAAAACAGCTTGAAACAAGGAATCAAGAATCAAAGATAATAAATTTGTTACCATAAAAAGGCTTAAGGTTTAAAGAGAGAAATAACTGTACAAGACACAAATTGGTGTCTGCAGCTTTTTTTGGCTCTTTAATATTAGTTTAACAAATAAAGAGAAGGAAAACAACAACTTAGACAACAACTCAACAGAGATTTATTAACAAAAAAACACATTAATCATAGACCCCCCTGAATTGTATTCAATAATTTTGTTGGTACAACTTGGAAAGAACAAAGGGAGAAAAAAATGAATTAAAAAAAATCTACCAAACCCAGATAAGAAAAGGCCTAAAGTAATAAATGATGAAGATGCCTATGGCAGTTTACAGAGAAAATCCCGCTCCAATATAAACTAACAAACCATTTACTTTCCAAAACCCAAAATGGAAATGGAAAAGAATTGCAAAATAGAAAAACTATGGGTTGGTTTTTCAGTCACGTAATGAAACCCAATCCAGCACAAAGAGTTTTAAAAAAGGTGACTTTTTAAGGAAGAGGATGAGAGAAAAAACAAAGCTTGAAAATGGGTTGCTGAAATTTTGCAGGAAACAGAGAAAAAGGTTGGACAAGAAAAAGAGAGTAACAGATTGGCTGGTTTAATCCATGAGTGACATAAAACAAGGGAGAGAAACAGAGAAACGTGTGTCAGAATCTGACACACTTTCAGATATAAACACATGTACAAACAATGTGAAGACAATGCTTGGAACCTGACCCCACTTAGGCTTCTGATTGAGTACCAGTACTATGGTAAATAAAAGAACTGATAGGATAAAGAAATGATTTTTTTTTTTTAGTCAGATGAAGCAAATAGTCAAATCGGTTTCAAGAATTCTTACAAGAACTGGATATGGCAGACAGAATTAAGTTATTTATAAATTCATTCAAGTTTTTTAATTAATATTTCAGTTTTTCACTAAGGTGAATTTTTTTTTCTTTCAACTGCTAAAAAAAACTGTAATGAGTAATGAACAACTTGGGCTTAGATTAACTTTTTTGATGAAGGAAATGAGTTCAATATGTATTAAGTTGTGAATTGCAATAGCAAAAAATTAGTATTTATATCCATTAAAAAATTATTTATGATAGAAATTTTTTAATTTTAAGTCAAAAAGTTAAAAATGTCTTTAAATTATAATTCAATATTTATTTAAATTATTAATATTTTATTATAATTAATTTATTTTTTATTTTGAACTCAATTAAATTTTTAAATGAATAGATTTAATTACGTGATAAATTTTAATTAATCAATCTCTAAATTATAAAAAAATTGTTAAAAGGGAAGAAAAAATAAAATAAAAATCTTTTATTTATTTTATTTATATATATATCAATTATATGTTATAAAAAAATTTATTATAATTGGTATTAAATTTTCATTTAAATAGATTTTTAATTAAATAAAAAAATAAGATCGATTGATTGTAATAAAAAAAATAAAGAGAGAGAATAAGTTATCTATAAAAATTAATCTATAAGCTTTTTTAATAATATTTTATTTTTGATTTTTTTTTAATACTAATGCAAGTGGTTACATGTGCAGAGAGCAATGGGGGTGTTACAAACAAGGTAATGGCTATCGGTTACCTCAAAAAAATTGTCACATCCCAAAATTACACTTATATATGTGTTACACTTGTCAGATTTTGTTGATATCAAAGTTTAAATTTATTATATCAATCAATATATCTAAATATAAATGTATTTTTATTTTATTTTAAATTTATATATTTTTATTAAATTTTAATTTATTTTAATTTTATATTTTTTATATTATTTTTATATCATATTATTATATTATATCTAAAATTACGGGTTTAATCAAATATAAGCAGTTTTCCCTTTTTTTTAATTTTTATTTTTATTAGACAATTTTATACGTAAAACTCTGAGCGAGATTTGAAGAAAAGTCGAATCCGTTGGGTCGAATTTATTATAATAATAATTTTTTTAATATTCAAAGTATTTATTTATTTTATATTTATTCGGAGGATTGTTTTATTTTGTCTTGTTAACATAAAAGATCTTATCAATTATGATGAATCAAAGTAATATAATGATATAATATAAAAATAATAAAAAAAATTAAATGTGATATAATTTAAAATTTTAATAAAAATTATATATAAATTTAATAAAATAAAAAAATATTTTTTATTTTTTATTAATATAAATTATGACATGTATTTTTTATATAAATATAAAATAAATATATAAATTATTAATATTTTATACACGTTAATATATAAATTATTATGTCTACTATAATATAGATATAATCGATCGAGTTCAATCGATATAGCATTAGACTCGAGCTTAACTCAAAATTTAAGGCTTAAAATTCAATACAAATTCGATCAAATTTTATTTTGTAGCTTAAGTTTGATTTGAGATAGAAATAGAGTTCGTTCGATAAAATTTGATTAACATGTAAAAATAAATTTGATTTTTATATTCAATAAAAATTTGATTATTTATATTCGAATTTAAATTTGAGATATTTTATTAATTAAAATATATTAAAATATAAAAATTCGATTATATTTACGAAATACTTAAGTTAAAAATAAAAATATTTGAGTTACTCAACCTCGAATTAGATTCAATAATAAATTTAAATTTTATTTAAATTAAATCTAAATAATTTATGAATATTAATATATTATTTATATCTTTATACTATGATAAAAAAATTGGTGTAGCCACACACACAAAACCATTATCCAATTCAACTATTCAGAAAAAAATATAAATATTCTTTGTTTCTGGCCAGCATCCATGCTAGATTCTTCCCTTCTTATCTTATTATTTTTGTTCTAATTTTTATACAACAAATCTGATTTTGCAATAAAAAAAGAAAAAAGAAAAGGTTAACATTTTCTTTTTTATATATTGCTTTGGCACTACATTTTATTTTATAATGTGAATTTTTTAAGCAATGCATGTGGAAAAGAAAAAATTTTGAAAAAAAAAATATGGATTTTGTTTTTATGATCAATTGAAAAAAGATTCAATCTAAACAAAATTTAAAATATTTTTTTATCGAATTATAAAAAAAGTAATGTCAATTAAGCTTATAATAAAGTATCGTAAATGTCAATTAGTATGAAAATAATTATGTATGTGAAGTAAATATGAATAATTTACGATGATTTTTTTTTTAAAGAGAAAAAATGTACTGCATGTGAAAAGGTAATTTACAACAGGCAGAAGAGTTTGAAAATCACTGTGAATCAAAATGTGAAACCTGCATTGCTGTAAGGAAGCAGGAAACAAATGCATTTTCCTGCAAAGCAAACAGAAAATTATTGAACCCTAAAATAAAATGATAGAGACTCTCAAGTCAACTAGAAAAACAAAAACAAAGAGAGAGAAAAAAGGGAGTTCCAAACAATCATACTGCAGCCGCATCTCTCTTTCATAGACTCTTTTTTGACGTTCCCAAGTCAAAAACTAGTAGTACGATTTATATATATATATATATATAAAGTTTTCAAATTTTTTTTATATCATCATTTATTATAGATTAGTAATATTCATTCGTTACAAATTATAAGCGAAAAAAATTTAATTTAAGTGAAAGTATTTTATTAATAATTACGGAGTCATTAAAACCTCACGAACCAAGTCAAAAATTAATGGTACAATTTATATATATATATATATTTGTCTGTTAGATTATTTTAAGAAAATTAAACTAAATTAAAGATTAAAACATTCAAAACTTTTATTATAAAAAAATTAATATTATGAATAATTTTTTAATATAATAAAATATTCAATACGATACATATATTTTAAAAATTTTTAACATGATACTTAAATTATAAATCTATTAATTAATATAATATTTAAAAATTTATTTATTCGTTAAGAGTTTTTATTTAAAATTAATCATGTTAAAATTAAACATTGTATTAATTAATAAATTTATAATTTAAGTATCATATTAAACATTTTTAAAATTCATATACCACATTAAATATTTTATTATAATTTAAGAATTATTCATAACATTAACTCTAAAAAATGCAAATTCATTTTTTTTCTCTTTCAATTTTCTTCTTAAAAGGATGGAAAAATATGAATTATACACCATTTACTTCCTTCCCTATTTCCATTCTACCAAACATAACCTAACATCAATTTGTCATTAGTAAAGCAATTAAAGCATGATTATTTTAGTACACATAAGCAAATAGTTGCTTAACGGAGTTTTGTAAACAACACTATCCCTTCACATTTAATCAACATTGTGGAATAGAAAAACCATTGGATACTTTAGCTTAGATAATCCTAATACTAATAAATTATATAAATATAAAAAAAAAACACCAAAGTTTTACCTAAACATTTTATCTTTGAGGAAGAAGAGAATCCTAAGTGCTTTTTATTAATATATCAATGGGTTTAGATTAATCTATTCATAGGTCGAATCAATTCAAATCATATTGTCCTTTAAAGTTTTTTGTTCAAGGTTTAGTTTGATTTAATTTGAATAAATATCATTATTATTTTAAAATATTTTAAAATATATTTTATTTTAATATTATATATTTTTTCAAAATAAATTTTTTATTCATTAAACAGTAATTAGGGTAAGACCATATCAAAGTTTTAAAATTCACATTTAAAGCTTGGCCTAAACCAAACCAATGGGAAATTTAGTTTAAATTGGTTTCTTGTTATTTATTTTTAGTAAGATTAATCTAAAAATATATATTTTTATGAAGAATTTGGAAGCATAATACATACAATGATTATAATACAATTAATCAATCACAATTTATAATTACGTGAGGCTTATCAAAATTTTATAGAAAACATATATTTATAAAAAAAAAAAACATTTTAACTATAATTCTTTTTCTACAATGATATAATTGTCCAATCATAGTCAATAATTAAGTGAGGGTTCACCACTTATAAGAGTGAATTTCACATAATATTTTGATAAATCTTACACAATTTTAAAATATGATTGATTGATTGATTGCAATATAATTATTGTAAGTAATATGCTTTTCATTTATAAGTGATGATGACCTTTCTATAAATTTTTATTTTGATTGAATAATAATAATATTATAATAAAAAAATTATAAATGATATGCTCCAAAAAAATTTAATTGGCATTCTAAAAGTTATTGAGTGATTGAAAAGGGAGAGCTTTTTTGTTTCATTCACCAATTAGATTTCATTTCCATGCAATTGGTTTTTCATTTGGCCGACACAAGGATTACTCACTGATTTCTTACTTATTTTTTTCTTGGAAAATTGTTTCAAATTATGAAATACAAAAAAAAAGAAGCAAAGAACAAAGCAATTGTAATTAAAAAAAATGAAGAATATATACTAAAGAGTAGTAATTAGAATTTGTTTGTCTTAAAAGTTAATAAAGATAAAGTAACAAATTTTTTATCATTGCCCACTCTAATCATTATTTAGCCAGCAATCTTCAAGCAAAAGATTTTTTTTTTCTTTGAATTGGCAAAAGATTCAATGTTAGTTAAGAAATTAATTCACAATAAAAAAATAAAAGCATTTTAAATAAAAAAAATCATTTATTTTATAAAAAAATCAAATTTGAGCTCAAGACCTTGTTTAATACTACAAAATTTTAAATCATGATGTATTAACTTAATTTTCTTAAAATTATAAAAATGAAAATGTAAAAATAATAGCACATTTTTCTCCCTTATGAAAAAAATTATGTTTGATATTTTTTATATAAAAAATTATTTAACATATTATCAGTTAAATTTTTTAATTCTACAAACGAAATTAATACGATGATATATATCTTCTTTTTATTTTTTTAAAATTTATTTTAAAAAATATATGTTATTTTATTAACGTTACTTATGAAATTAAAAAATTATACTGATAATGTATTTAATAATTTCTCCTTTTATTATATGTTCAAAAATATTTTAAAATTTTACTTAAATTTAATTCTCTTAGTGATAAATTAAAATATTCAAAAAATATATAAAATAATACAAATTTAAAGATAAAAAATAATAAAATTATTTTACTCAAAAAATTTGTTATTGATGGCAGAAACACTTTTTTTATTATTATTATTATAGTTTAACATTGATAAAAACTGCTTTTGAATGCAAGACCACTTTCAATCTGAATGTTAAAATTATTTCGTAAAATTGATAACTAATTAAAAATGTACCAATATTAATAAATAACAATTATTTTAAAGAAAAAAATTAATGAAAAACTGTAATCTTTACGTCATTTTCAGTTAAGAAAAATCATATGATGCTCTGTGATCCAACCACCTGAGATTCGTAGGGTCTCATAAACATTTGTAGGACCACAGACACAGTGTCTCTAAGCGTAAAATCCATACAAACGTCGGCTGCTGCAAGAAAACAAATAAAATCAACAAAATGTCGGCACGATTTATGCTACAAATTTTTAACCTAGTTTTTTACTTTGTAAATATATTTTTTATCTTTTTTATTATAATATTTTAGTTTTTTTTTTTTAAAATGATATATATTGATACTAATTGTTTCAATATATTATTTTAAAAATTTTAATTTAATATAAATATATTTATAAATATATATGAATTTATATATAATAATATTATTAATAGTCTGTGAAAAAAATCTATAAAAATATTTTTGAAATTAAATAAATAAATTTAAAAGTACTAAAATAATATTACCAATTTATTATAATCTTTTTAATTAATTAATTTGATCATACTATATTTAAATAAATATTTTTTAATGTAAAAAATTATTAAAATAAAAACAAAAAGAAAAAAATTAACAATAAAGAGATTAAAAAAATTAATTTTGATTTCAAAATTGTTAAATTTTTAAAAAAGTACAAATGTTTTCTTGAAAGATTAAAATATTTATGATCTTTGATTTGAAAAAATTGTGTCAAAACATGTTACATTTAAAAACAAAAAAAATTCAACTTTCAAAGATTATTTTATCCATTAAATTTATTTTTATTAGATTAAAAATAATTAAACAACAAAAAACAAATTAAAAATATATTTCACATTCATATACCGATGGAAACAAATTAATTCATCAAAACTAACTGAAATCAATGAAAATAATCGGTATTATTCAATATCAAATTTGGTACAAAAAACCAACTTTAAGTGTACCCTTTTTTTAGTATAACTAAATCGTATTGATTGACACAACCAATACTAAAACTAAATTAACAACATTGCCTTTGACCTTGAATGTTTCTATAACACTTAAGAATTTCCTTCATGCAACAAGGACAAAATCCAGATCTTAGGATTCGAATAATTCTTCATAAACTTGTAGGAAACAGGAGATTCATTTAATCTATGTTGATCCGATTCTTCATTTTTCTTGAAATACCTGTATCTGAACATATTCGTCTCTGATGCTCACTTCCCTATTCTGAGTAAGAGCATTTAATAATTTCAAATTCCAAGCTTTTAAATAGATTAGCAAATTAATAGCAAAATATTCTTCCTCTCAAACAAGAGGATAGCAGTTCAATGAAGACAACAGATAAATTGCAACATTTATATTCTCTGTTCAAATATCATCAAATCAACCTTTTAAAACTGTTGCTGAAAGCCATTGCAACTACTAATTGAGGCGAAGCAAAACAATCGACAAAATTTAATTTGCATCAAGATTTTCTAAGAAATTGCAATGGAATATAAAGAGTAAACACTAGAAGCTTCACTTGAATTTCTCCCCCTATAGTGAAGGAAAAGACAAACCAGTTTTGAGTTTGGATTGTGTTGTCTGATCAATTATTGTATGCTTTTTCATTTGTCTTCACAACAGCCTGCTGAGAGACTTGATAAGTGATTTCAAATTTTTTCTTGTTGATTCATCACCCGTGAATCCCAGTATATCAGAACTTATATTCTGCAATGGTGAATGAAGAGAGAGATGCAGGACAGATGAGAATTTAAGATCTAAATAAAACAATTGAGTTATTTCCGTTAAAAGTAATGCCAATAGTGGGATAAGTAAGATCTTACCTCGATATTCTTCAAAGTAAAAATTAGAGTATAAATTGATTTTTGAAGCAATTCGGTGTTCTCAGGAGTCATAATGGATGAATGCACCCTTCTGCACAGAAAGGAATTATAGTTGTAAGGCAATAAATTTAAGATGAGAAAAGGGAAGCCAAGGCAAAAATCAAGGGACACATCTTGTTTTCCACATGAAGCAAGAGACTTTGTTTACCTCATACCATAATTAGAAAATTCAAAGTGTGCATACCTATGCTTCCAAGTTACTATTAATTTATCAAATTCAAGTCACATCATTTCATGATGAGATTGATAATTTTAAATTCGTTGCTCCAGATTCAAGGTTTCTCAGAGTAGCAATCGGGATCATGTATGAGGTTCAGGGCACAACTGCACAAAACTGTAGGAGTAAGCATAGATAGCTTGGTGGCTGGAGGTTGAGCATATCGTCCTTCGGTTTCATGGGACTACAGAGGCTGAAGAAGATGAGGTGGAGGCTTGAAACATTAAGAATAAGGGTGATTGTGGCAGTAATATAATGCTAGCTATTGATTACAGAGGTAAAATCATAACAATAGTCCATAACATGACATGGAGGCAGAAAAGGACTATGTAAAATGTAACAATTAACATCATTGTGTGATATATTTCCAAACATTACCCAGAAAATAAAAATCATCAAGCACCAGTAGAGTTTTTATCTAAAAAATAAACTTTTTGAATTGATGCTAGAGAAATGACAAAGATATTCATAACTTGTTTACTTTGAAGTTTCATAATATTTTCTTAAAATAAGATATAAGTGACAAGATTAAAGTGCCAACTAACATGAATTAATATTTAGGAACCCAAAAATTAAAGCCAACATTATGCTACAAAGCGTGACAAAAGGCCCGTCGATTCAAGCACTAAAGAAAGCTGATTAACTTCATCTCATAGCTCAAACATCTACAGCCAAGTATGAAACACCCAGACAAAGCACATAGCACAGAAGAGCTCGGACCAAAATAACTAAAAATTAACAATAGTAGCATTTAGGCCCAACTGATCCAGCCAAAAGCTTAGGCATTGGATTTCAGGTATTATGTGGCAACAGTCTTATGGCATGGCATCTATATCCACTGTTTAACCTGATAGACAAACTAGATACAAATGTTAGGAACTCCCCAATCCCAAGTCTTGCCTTCTTGCTCAGATCCAAAATTACTAAATAGCTGCCATCCTCATACTTGAGTGATTTGCAAAGCCGGAGGGCTAAGAATAGCTGGGCAAAATCTCAGTTCAACTTTGATTCAGGGATAGGATTTGCTCAAAATATTTTCATGTGAAATGATGAAGCAATGGCAGGCTGGGGGGCATTGGTTACCTGGCAGGGCTATTCCAATTTTCTAATTTACCCCTTCAAAAATTTGCCATCTTTCAGCTCCCACCATTTTTCTCAAGCTTTTTTGTTTAACCTCTTAACTTTCTAAATTCTTTACATCCTTTACAAATCCTTATAGTTTTTAAAACTTTTCTATAATTTTTTCCTCAACACACATTTTTTTTTTATCTTTTACATGCTTTGTTTAATTTCATCAATATAGACATATAAATCATCCACATACGTAACTTCTAGTTTTTATTTTGGAAATTCCTTTCAGCATTTGATTTTTTAAATATATTTTTCACTTTAACAGCAAATAATCAGGAAAAGGAATATAATCATTCTAATTGAACTAAATTCGAAAATTAATTAAAATAATTAAACAAAATATATTAATTTAACCATTAGAATTTTGGCCCTATTGAAAAAAAATCTTGGATCCATCCACGTACGTGACTGACACCATATCTTACAAGCCTGGTGCAGTCTAGATACCATGACACAAATTTCATGAGCTTTTGGATGGGATCCTTTATCTTAAAATAATTCTTAGTTATAAGCATGTGAGGGTAACGCTTTGTAACAAGCATATCTCAATCAAATTATAACCAAGGGAGAAAAGAGAAATCACCTTAAATCCTCAGAGGCTTGTATTAGGCTTCTGGTCAAATTCTCAACCTCCTTAAGCAGACCACTACCATGAACCTCAGCCAACAAAGGTTGCATATCTTCGGCCATGGCTTCAATCTGAAACATCACTACATCAAATTCAAAATTCTGAGCATGAGAATCCATCAAAACTTCAGTCTGAAGTGTTTATCCAGTCAGTTAGCCAGCAGGGAAACACATAAGACATAAACTCTACAAGGAATCCAAACAATGATTATGGACAATTTTCCAAGATCTAATTCAAGGAGGAAATTCTAACGCTACACGATCATGAATTCCAAGTAATGCTCTCCGTGTGAAATCATTAATATGATGTTAAAACTTTTACCTTTATCTAGTTTTTCCTTCAGGAGAGTGGCTTGCTAAAGCAACAATAAAAAAATATTTCTGTAACTCTATCAAAACAATTTAATAGATTTTGATGTTAACATAACAATTTTAATCTAATTTTTTAACTTTGTCTGATCCCTTCCCAACCAACAGAACTCACAGAAAAAAGATTAATATAGCAGACCCAAATCACTTCTTTTGGGGTTTAATAGAACTTTCAACATTACAGTTTAGAAGAAGAAATATTATCAATGACATAAAATGTAACAAGGCACGTCACACCTTTGTGAGCAGGGGCTTTGCATCCTGGATGACAGCAGCAACTCGTTCAGCAAGAGCATAGGTGTTAGCAATACCAATTTCCTCAATTTGACGAGCAAGACGGGTGACTATCCTTACCAATGCATCCAGACTTACCCCTTGTTCTCCCTTTATCTTTTGCCTATCACATATAATTAGACCTTCATTAGGACAGTCTGCATCAAGAGGTCCCACTGAAGGTGATGGAACCGGATCCCGAGGTGTGATGTCAATCAAAGTTTCCATCAGAAGACCAGATTGGTTCACCTCAATCAGTGAATTTCGAGGAATAATAATCTTATCATCTTCAACCTATGAATGGTGGCAGCAATGTTGGTGCATAAACAAACCAAAACAAAATATTACAGCAAAATCATTATACTGAAATGTACCTCAACAACTGCTTCTATACTTTTCAAGGAGGGATTAACACGTACAACATTGCCTACAGTCACACCTCTAATCCTTACAGGTGTTCCAGTGCAAATACCAGATGCCTGAGCAAATTCAAACACCACCAAGTACTTCCGGAATTTAGAACGTATCAGAAACCCCCTCAACCAAGCCAGACTAAGTGCAAGAAGTACTGTACCAGACACAATAAACAACCCAACCCCACCTTCCCAAATGCTTCTACGACCAAACCCAAAATCACTAAGTGGACGTAATGTTTGTCTCCAAATATTCCGAGGAATATCTAAAACAACAGCAAGTGGATTCAATTGCTCTGAAGAAGGAGGTGGTGGAGCATGTTCAGTACCAGAAGTCATAGCTCTAACTTTTGCCAACCTTGTTCTTGGTTTTGGAGGAATATATGGCAAAATTTTTGGAGAAGAATGTGGGATGTTGGTCAAAGTTGAAGACAACATAGATGGGGATGTTGAAATCTTGAAAATTGTAGTTCCAACCATTTTCGGAAAATTTGAAGCTAAAGGCAATTAAAACTACACAGTCCAAAATGCTATCTATGCTATCCTTTTTAGCTAATTACAGAATGAAACAAAACAAATTCTCTCTAAATCTTCTGCAGCTAAGACTTCCATTTAACTGAAAAGGCAACACAAATGAGATTCCATCAGTTAAAGAAAATTCCACTTCCTTGAATAAAACAAAACTGAATTTAAATTAAATAATTAAAATACCATCAATTACATTGGAAAAAGCAGAAAATCAGGTTAGTGACTCTTAAACATTGCATTAAACGGCACTTAAAAGCAAAAAAAAAAAGGGGGGGGGGGACCTAGCTTGAAATTGAAAGAAACAACTCAAGTTTCTATTATATTCAATTCAGTCCTTAAGATGAAAAAGAAAATTCACAATTAACTGGAATAGTACAATTACGAGCCACGATAATTGTAGTTCACATCAACTTAGTTCACTAATACTAAGCTAAGATTTCACAGAGAGAAGCTAAGTTAAAATTTTGAACATTCACAGTTGATATATCTTTCGATATTCTTGAAATTTAAAGATACCAACTTTTTCTCGGTAACCAAACAGATCAAGAACAAGATTTAACGTTGTGTGAGTGAGGAGTGAGTACCTTCTGGAGCTGGCTAGGGCTTTTCACTTGACGAATCCGGAGGCAATAATTCCGACATTTTGTTGGAAATGAAACAGAAAAGTGCAAAACCAGGTTTGAGAACTTTCAATTTTTTTAATTTATTTTCTAGATACTGTAAAAAAATGTAATGACTAATCAGTCCTCAATTTAGTTAATATGTTTTTTGTTTTATGAAAACATGGGGGTAAATTGGTGATAACATTAATAGGCACAAACAAAATGTGAATATTGTATAAGCAGGCCATATTTTATTTTATTAAAAATATTTATATTTAATATACAGTTAATATATAAATGTTATATATTATTATTATATCATAAGTAATTATATGTTTAAATATAATTAAATATTTATAATTTCAAAAATGTTTATTTTTAAAAATTTTAAATTTATTAATAAATGATGTGACAAAGACTATAAAATATTGTATTAAATATAAATCTATTTATTAATGAAAGAATTGAAAATTATTGGAAACATTGAATTTTACAAAAACTTTTAAAAGTTGTGATAATTTGAATCTAAACATATATAAAAATTATACAAATAAAAGATACAAAGATAATATAATTTAAAATTTTATCAAAATCATAAATATATTTAATAAAATTAAAAAATTATATTTTATATTTTTATATCGATGAAAATTGTGATAACTGATTTTTCTATAAAACGCGACAACATAAATTATTAAAGTTAATTTTTTGCAAGAATTTGTTGATTTTGCAAAATCTTTTCTTGGATATTTAGGTATTTTATAAAATTTCATACAAATTGTTTCATTAATTCAATAAATAAATCAAATAGTACCAATTTTAATGTTTGAATTCACATAGAAATATTGATAATTTATTTTTACAAAAGAACCATAATTTAAAAATAGAAAAAAGATTATAAATAATTTCAAAATTGTTAGAGGCTAATCATCTGATATAATCCTTAAATTCAAAATATTAACAATTATATATATATATATATATATATATTCACCTAACATAGGTAAAAAATTTAAATTAAATAAACAACATTTAAAATTATAATATATTTCATTAAATTTAAAACTAATGTAATTAAATTGAAAATCTAAATACATTCCTTTAAACCATTCCAATTTCATAAATAGATCTAATAATTTAAAACACAAAATAATAACACGTAAACGATATAAATAAAAAAAAAACAAAAATAATACAACTTAAAATTTAAAAAAAAATCATAAAATTATATTTTATATTTTTATATCGACATAAATTTGTAACATGAAATTTTCATATAAATCATAATACGAATATAATATTTTACATGATGCAATAACTCAAGTTGCCAAGTCTATCCATTAACCTTTCTCCAACGGTCTCTTTTCTTCACAATTCCATGATTCCATCCAATCAAGGAAGGCAAGAAAATATATTGAGAATTGATACAGGAAATCGAACAAACAAAAGCAGAAGCAATCATTAAGCATCAAAAAGTGCATATCATCCTATTCATCCATCAAAACACCAAATCAAAATCCATTAAAGAAAATTTTGAGTTTTGACTGTTGCAAAATGGCATAAAATACAATAAACCAAAAATTGAAATCTAGCTTTAACCGCCGAGTCCCGATGACAGACTTGAAGCATCCCTATTTTCACAGGTCTTGGACACTCAGACCTGCAAACATGAAAATGAGAATTATGGTCAAGACCAAGAACCTTGAGATGTTACCAACATGATCAAAAAGAACAGTAGAATCAATTATAATGCTGATGGTACGATGGATGATTCTTTCTGCTACGTATCTACAATTCTACATTATGCTTGTTCATTTCAAACAAGGATGCTGGTTCAATAATAAAAAAGGAAAACGAGGTTCCTTCATCATGTATTACCTGGAGGAAGAGATTGCTTCAACTTGTCAGCCTTCTCAGCATCAGACACACAAAGGGTGTACAAGTACTTGGAGCAGCGGACCTTGAACTTAACAACATCTTTGCTCTTCTTGATTTTTACCGAGCGTGCATCTTTCCTTCTGGCAGTGAGAAGGAAGTCCTTGATCTCATGAATTTGCTTAGGCTATGCATCACAACATAAAAAAACAAATAGAAATCCTTAGGAAATAATGCAGAAATCACAACCATAGAAGCCAAAAAGATGCAATGGCCAAACCAATAAAAGGGAAAATGCAAACTGCGAGTAAGAGAGATAAAAAACTGCACATTCATTCTATAACAAAGGTTACTTAACAGATACTGTAGAAGGCATCATAATTTAACAGGGATCCAATGACAAACACTCCAATGTTTCATCTTTGTTCATTAGAATTGTCAGCAATTTAGCCCCAACTTCAAACAAACTTCATCAGCCCGAGCAACCTACAATTAATAGCTTTCCTCTTTTTTTGAGCAAGTAATACATTAACAGCGAAATAGAAACATAGATACATTATAAATACCCTGCAACTCACTCCATTAAAGTTTATTGCTAATGGCAGTAAAATAGTTTCAAGCAAACCAAACACACAATAATTCATCAAAACATGTACCAATGGGTGAAAACAAGAAAATACATACACTAGAAACACCATTTATCACAATTTTACAATCCCTATAACTCTAAACTGACACAAAGCCACATATCTTTCCATTTTCTCCTTCTAAAACACATAACCCAAACTAATTTTCAGTATCTTTTACAATAACTGCTTCAAATTTCAACCCAACTTCACTAAGAACAGAAAATTGAAAAGAATTGTAACAATAAAGCCAAAAACGGAATATCAAACACAATTCCAGGTAAAAAAGAAAAGATCTGATGCATAAATATCAATAAATACAAACATTAGGAATTAATCATAAAAAACAAAATCAGTTTCGGATTTCTATTCAAATAATTGAAGAGATAAATGGGGTTTACCATTTTCGATTGATTTTCAGAAGAGCTTATTCAATTGGAAGAAACACCTAAAAACCACGCTCCCAACCCTAGTTTTTTCGAAACTGGATTATATAGAGGGGCTCGACGAAACCCTAAAATATTTTCTCCGTTTTGCCCATTTTAGCCTTGCTAATTTGGTGACGTTGAGAGTCCTATTCGTCAGCTTGATCTGGATTGGATCTTTTGTTTTCCAAAGGGCCTATTGGGAATATTATGGGCCTAATGACGAAGCACACAATTTTAGGGAAAAGAATTGTCTAAAGGATATTATAAAAGAAATTTCATAAATTTGCACACAAAATTTTAAATATCTAACAAGTGTTTTGAACCATAAATTAGAATTATAGAAGATAAAGTGATGAATCTTCAAAAGTTTGGACTCCTAATTTTTTTAATGAACATTGTTCGAGGTATTCTTGAAAAGATAAAAAAAAAAATGACGATTAAAAAAAATATATATATATATATTCTTTACATTTATATTTTGACGTATAAATTAAAATAAATGAAATCGAAATGAGAGTAATAAAAAAGCTTAGGGGTAAGATGAATTTGTTTTAAAGGTATCTAGACCTTTATATTTATAAATAAATAATAAAAAATTATTAAAGGATAATAAAAATAATGTCAAGCTATGTGAAATTAGGTGTATAAGATGAATCTATATGTCAAATTGACACAAATATTAAAATTATTTTTAATTGTATGCTAAAAATTTGTAATAAAAAAAATACCACCGTCTTTTTTAACCACTAAATATCCTCAATAAACATGTATTATAGTTGGTTTTCACTTTTCACATCCAAACATTGATTTTAACTGTTGAGTTACTTTGTTGAAATGTGGTTTTGATCTCATTTGGATTAAACTTTATATATTAATTATCAAATTTGGGTCTATTTGATCTTAAATTATTAATAAAAATATTTTAAAAGTTTAATTAATTGTAATTCATAAAGAGATTGATTCAATTTTATTGTGTAACTAAATTTTATCTAATTACAGGTTCAATTTAGCCAAAATAAGAGATTAAAGGCTTAATTAATGATAATGAAATAGTAAAACCTTAAATAATAATTATTTTTTTGCTCTTTTTTTTTCATTTTTTGCTCACAAATAACAAACCATAAAAGGAAAAATTTTTAAATATAAAATAGCTTTTAAACTATATATTTTTTGTCAATTTGATATTTAAAGAATTAAAATTATCAATTTAGTATTCTAATTTTTATTTTGTTATCGTGGTGGTATTTGATATTAACCTCGTTAATCAAATTCGTTGACATGACAAAAATATCAAATAAGATATTAATAAGTGTCAAAAAATTTTAATAAATGCTAAATCATCAAAGCCACGTCTAAATAGTTTTTTTTATTTTAAAAAAATTCTAGAAATTTTCTTTAAAATTCAAAGAAAAAATTCAAAAATTCAAAATTTTTTTTTAAATTCTAATTTTTTTTAATTTTATAAAAAAATTAAAAAAATATGAAGTATTTTTAGAAATCATAAAACATGATAAATTTAAAATTTAAAAAATTTAAAAAATTATAATAATAAATTTAAAATTTCAAAAAATGAAAATTTTCATAAAAATAAAATTTCTTAAAATTTAAAAAAAAATATAAAAAACTTAAAAAATCTAAAAATTATAAAAAATTATAAAATTTTTGAAAAATTAAATAATTTAAAAAATATGAAACATTCTAAAAAATTAAAAAATTTGAAAAAAATAAAAAACCTATAATTTTAATAAACATTCAAAAAAATTTTAATTAAAAAATATATAAATAATTAATTGGTAAGGTTCAAAAAAATTAAAAATTTTAAAAATTTTTTTTAAAAAATTTGTATATTTTGTCAAAAATTTTAGTTTTATTTTAAATATTTTTAAGTTTTGTGAAATTTTTTTAATTTTAGGAAAATTTTATTTTATTAAAATTTAGTTTTTTTATTTTTTTGAAAAAATTTTAGTTTTTAAAATTTTTAAAATTTTTGAATTTTTTGAATTTTTTATAGAATTTTTAATTTTTTAGAATTTTTAGAATATTTTAGAATGTTTTTTTAATTTTGTTTTATAATTTTAAAAAATTTTAAAAATTGTATAGAATTTTTTAAAAATCTTTTAAAAATTTCTTTTAATGTTATTGTAGTATTGACGGTGTAACGCTAATTGATTTTTTTTTTCATGACACTTTAATAAAATTGACTAATAATATTAATATCAAATATTAACGTAATAAAAACATTAAAATTAAAATATTAAATTGATAATTTTAATTTTTTAAATATCATACCAACAAAACATGTAGAGTTTAGAGGTCATTTTTATATTAAAAAAAAAGGTGAATAGAAGGTTTGGAGGCGTGATCAAAGTAGTGCCCACTTTATCTCTTGAACTTAAGGATCAGAAAACGAAAGGGAACAAATGGTATAATTTGTAAATGCGATACTTACCATCCACTTCAACGCGCTCAAAGAAATGCCCACTTTTTCTCTTCAACTTAAAGATCAGAAGCTCAACGAACAATGGCCACTTCGCTGACACCCTCAAAATCTACTCTTTGATGTTACAGAGCACTCATATTCATGGCAACACCTTTACTTTCCCATTACTCTTCAAAGCCTGCGCTGCCCTTTCTTCTCTTCGTGACGGAAAAAAGCTCCACGCCCACGTGCTTCAGCTTGGTTTCCAACAAGACATCTTCGTGCAAACGTCTCTTCTCGACATGTACTCTAAATGCTCTGATTTGGGATCTGCTCGGAATGTGTTCGACGAAATGCTTACCAGAAATGTTATTTCCTGGAACACTATGATTTCTGCTTATTGTCGTGGTGTACGTGGAGCTGAAGCAATAAGGTTGTTGAAAGAAATGCGGGTTCTTGGTTTTGAACAGAGTGCTTCCACTTTTATTGGTATTTTCGCTGCTTGCACCAATCTTCAACTAGGCTTATCAATGCACTGTTGCGTATTTAAACTTGGGTTGCTAGAATGCGAGATACCTTTAGCGAATTCTGTTATGAATATGTATGTTAAATTTGGTTTAGTTGATGGAGCTCGTTCTGTTTTTGATACTATGGATGAAGGATCGATCCTTTCATGGACTATTATAATTGGCGGTTATGTAAATGTTGGGAATGTTGGGGAAGCATTCAATCTTTTTAATAAAATGAGACAAGTGGAGGGTGTTAGTCAAGATATGGTGATGTTCATTAAGATCATTTCAGGTTGTGTACAAGCAGGGAATTTGTTATTAGCATCATCGGTTCATTCCCTTGTTTTGAAGAGTGGGTATGATGGTGAAGATCTGATGGACAACTTGGTTCTTAACATGTATGCAAAATGTGGTGACATTGTCTCCGCTCGAAGAGTTTTTGAAATGGTTCAAGAGAAATGTGTTTTCTTGTGGACATCTATGATTGCTGCGCATACTCAACATGGTTACCCTGCTGAGGCATTGGATTTATTCAATAGGTTATTAAGAACAGGGCTCAAACCAAATGAAGCAACTATTGCCAGCATACTATCTGCTTGTGCTGATTTGGGGTCACTAAGCGTGGGTAAGGAGATTGAACGTTATGTGAAACTGAATGGGTTAGCATCAAATCGTCAGGTCCAGACCTCTTTGATTCACATGTTCTGTAAATGTGGGAGTATAGAGAAGGCGGAAGAAGTATTTGCTCGAGTGTTAAATAGAGACTTAGCTATTTGGAGTTCCATGATAAATGGTTACGCAATTCATGGAATGGGAAATGAGGCTCTGAAACTATTTCATCAGATGCAGATAAGTGAAATTTTCAGCCTAGATCATGTTGTTTTCACAAGCATATTATTGGCTTGCAGTCATTCAGGGCTTGTAGAGGATGGATTGAAGTACTTCAAAAGCATGAAAAACGATTATGGAATAGAACCTGGTATAGAACATTATACTTGCTTGGTCGATCTTCTTGGTAGAGCTGGTCACTTTGATTTGGCTTTGAAAACCATCCAAGAGATGCCTGTGCAAGTACAACCTCAAGTTTGGGGTCCATTGCTTAGTGCATGCAGGAAATATCGCAATGTTGAGCTTGGGAAGTATATAGCCAGGAAGTTGTTAGATTTGAATCCTGGAAATATCAGTAATTATGTTTTAATGGCAAATATATATACATCTGGAGGTAAGTGGAAGGAAGCAGCTGCAACAAGAAGCATGATGAGGAACAGAGGATTGGTTAAAGAACCTGGTTGGAGCCAGGTTGAGATCCCTGGCTATGTACATGTTTTTATTGCTGGAGATAGATCACATCATCAGTCTGCTGATATCTATAAAAAGTTGGATGAGCTTAATATTAAACTTAAGGAAGCTGGGTATATTGCTGAAATAGATATGGTGGTTCATGACTTGGAAAATGAAGAAAAAGAGGAGTCTCTGAAGGTTCATAGTGAGAGATTAGCGGTTGCTTGGGGACTTATAAGTACTGACCCAGGAACCAGTCTTACAATCATAAAGAATCTCCAAACTTGTGGTGATTGTCACTCTTTTTTGAAGTTTACCTCCAAGGTTACAGACAGGCATCTTATTGTAAGAGATGGTCAACGCTTCCACCATTTTCAGTCTGGCTCCTGTTCATGCAAGGATTTCTGGTGATTTTACTTATCTTTTAACACTTGACACTATTTACTGCTGTCAAATAAAGATCATGGTCTTCGTTGCTCAAAAGGCATCAAGCCATTCAGCAGACATTGGCAATGTGAAGAAAGCTCCACTAGTCATTGGGTTCATAATTTCAAGGGAAAGAATGTAAGCATCATGATTTACTTAAATTACCATACTGATTCGGCCTAGATCCTCCACAGGTAGCCAGTTTCGATGCACCACACTAGAAGGCCTAGGTGGCATTGGACCCAGCTCGTGGTAGAGTTTGAAAGAACAAAAAGCTGCCAATGGATGAAACTGGGGCAAATAGTCCTTTGCAGTAGAGAAAGGTCCAATTCTTGCATGTATAAACAGAAGAGAATCAAACTTGAGTTGAAATTACTATCATATTTTCCTTGTATAAATCCCCTGTACAACCCCTAAATCACCTTTGCTGCATGAACTACCTAAGAATTGAGTACAGAAACAAAAAGGAACCAAGAAACTGCTAAGCTTTCTATATACAAGGAATGGAGGGAAGAGAATTTATTCTAGCAGTCAAGGCGAGTCAACATCATCGGCAGTTATTTTCTCATTCAGCACAATCACATACCGTGCTTTGTTATCGGAAACTAATCAGGAGACTTGATGAGTCCGAGAAAGGATCATGATAGCATAAGATGAGGTGGAGGGGGAAGGATAGTGTTGGCTAGCTCGTCGTTCACTCTCACCGGAAGTGCTGGCATCTGCTTCATTATATGTGGCATGTTATTCAAGCTGTAAATGGATTACATTAGTGTATGAAATGATAATCAAGTTTGAAAATCCTTAATGCAAACCAAGAAATGAGCATCCAATAGCACATTTAGTTGTACAAAATTCAGTTGGCCTCTTTCATAATCCATGCTCAGTTAACAGGTGCCAAACACCCATGCATCCACATCCTTGACAGGTTAAAAAAACAATGTAATAAATGATATGATCAAATTATCACCATAAAAAAAGACATTGTGCATAAACATGAACATTTTTTGAAGAACTCAAATTCTTTTTTTAAGACAAAAGGAGTTAATTTTCAATTACTATATATATAGAAAGCGATAATCAGCAAAAGTTGGAACTTACCTATTCATGATTTTGAGAATATTGTCACGAGTTTGACAGAGGAGACCAATATTTTCCTGTATCTGGAAAAAGGTAAAGGCGATAAGTTCTGAACAAAACCAATCCCATCATGATGTTAACATGAATAATGCAACCACTTTCACCATAGAATAACAAATGCTTTTATTTTTTTAAATACATTTGAAGCATACAATTATTAAATAAATAAATGATCATTCAAGGGAACTTCTATTGGCCACATAAAAATCAAGCACTCCTTTCAATTTTGTCCATTCTTGTAAAAGTTGGACAACAGTGAGAAGTGGCTGGGATAATTCCTTGCTTGAAGACTGGACCTGGTAGTATCCAACCAAATATACATACATACATACATACATACATATATATATATATATATACTTTTGCTCACACGTAGGCACGAGTACGTATCAGAGAGGATTTTGGGTGAGGAATGTCCCTAGGGTAGATAATTTCATAAAGATAATGTGCCTAGTAAAAAAATACTATACAATAGAATTAAAAGAAGTGAGAAATCAAGATGTTCCAAAGATAGGGCTAAGGTACCTGATACCAGTCATCTGCACAAAACAAATACATAGGAGCATCGAGAACCTGGAATGCAAACTAAATAAAAAGAATAAAGTAAAATCAATCTATTCATAATATGAGTACTTCACCTGAAAAGATGAAAGATTTGCAGATATTTGATTGAAGGCTTGAGCATTCTGCTCCAGAAGTTCTCCTGTTGCACCACCAATGGCTATGAAACAGCATAATGCAGCTTTCAATTATATTTTCCATAAATAACAGCATAAAAGACATAAAGCATTTTCATGCTTAGCATATTTCAGGCACTATAAACTAAATTCAAGCTTCATTGTTTGCAAAAGCAATAATTAAGAACATAAAAGACAGTCGATAAATAGTTGCAGCTACTTCTTACTTCTTTTTTGTACTATTTTTAGGCATGTGTTGGACCCTTTTTTTTCTATTACTTGCATTCTTCAAAGAATTGACATGCCTACACAAAACTAAAAATGTATCCATGGAAAGAACAGCATATTTTCTTCTTTCACTTTTCTCACTTTCTTTTCTTTCTTTGAAATTGTTGGTTTATTATTAAGCTGACAACAAGACATAAAAGAGGCACCAATCATGTCTGCCAAAAAAAAAAAAAGAATTATGCTTCACCATCCACTGTTGGAATCCTTCAAAAGTCTTAACTTTTTTTTTTCAACCAAAATTTTAACCGCTTTGACAGACAGCTTGAACAAATAAGCATGGCAGGGATGGAATAAATCCCAAACCCGAACAACATCTAAAGAGAACACCAGAAATCGAATACAACTAGTGAGGCAATAAAACATGAAACACTAGGACTCAGTATCTTTGCCTCAAGACAATGTAAATAAAACTTCTTTTAATATTATATCTTGATGAAACAGAAAACAACTAGTTATAGTAAATTTAAATAAAAAATTGCAGGCCAAAAGATAGTGCTTTTAAGAAAGTAAAACTTGCATATAAGAACCAACAAAGCACATCTCTAAACCTTAAACTATTAGGAGCAACTTAAAAATTTTCAAAGATAAAATCCAACCTCTGTAAGGAATACCATCATCATAGTCCATAGGAATCATTGGGGGTGCATACGGAGAAGGATTAGGTCGAGTTGCAAAATGAGTAGGCTTTGCAGGAGGGTCAGCAATTCTTTCCTGAAAAACAAAAGCAAAAGACATTCCTAAGAATCTATTGGTCCACAAAATGGTCATTAAATATAAATATTGCCTTATTTCTCATCATATCAACAAAATATTATCATCAATTAGCAACCGTGAAAGAAAATTTCTGGTTAAATCTAATACATTCCAACTCTAAATATCAGTTAAAGTAGATAACTTTTCATCAGCAGACGAAGGCAATTCGATGCAAATTTCCCCAAACAGAGGCCTCAAAGAAAAGATGATGGAAAAGACACAGACAGATAACAATGTGCCCATAACATGATTCGAGCATATACCACATAAATCTAAGGTAATCAATCAAAATTCCACCAAAGAAACAGCTGCTTAGCAGCAGGTACTAATTAGATCTCCATATAAAATATCTATCAAGAAAAATATATATAAAAAAAACTGTGCTAAACTCAATAACTTTTCTACACTCGATGAGCTTCCCTCCAATACCTCACATGTATAAGAGAGTTTTCCAGTGTGAATGGAAAGATCTGCATGTCAGTATCATAGAGAGAGATGTCTAATTTTATGCATTCTAATAAGTAACCAACTGAGCAGGCTTACAGGAGCTAAGAAAACACAAATTAGTACAACTCTGCACACAGAAAAAGAGAATGAGTATATCATACCTTTTTGTCTCTAATTTTCCTGACTAAAATGTGTTCTTCCTTCCTTCTCTTGCTATTTTCCTTTTTCTGCATAAAGCATTAATCAGATCATGTTCTTATATGTGCATTGCATTCAAGGTTATATACGTTTACGAGCGCGCACACGCGCACATGCGCACACACACACACACAAAAGCAATATCTGTCTCTGTAAACACTGAATAGAAATCCTTTTGACCAAGCAGAAATGCTACATCTTATGAAGTAGAATTAAGAAATAAAACCATCAAAAGATGAATTGAATCTAATGATTACAGCCTGTCTTATTGGAGTAGCATGCTAAAGCCACATGACAAAATTTGTTCTACGTGTGGTTATATATATATATGAGTCCATATATTCTACAATTCTGGCAAGCAATAACTGGTGGGTTTAAATAGAGACAAATGAGAACCATAAGGCTTACAGTCATCCATCTGCAACGCAAAGCCACATCCCGGACTGTCTTATTTTGTAACTGCATGGCTATCTTCGCATAACGAGTTATGCTCGGTTCTGATGCATATCTGCAAGGAGATACCAAAATTACATCAAAACTAAATCACCTCATGAAAATAAAATTGATCAAATCAATACAAGTCAAACACAAAAACTTTAATTCATTTAAGTTTACGTTTCCAAGATAAAATAACCTTAAGTTTCCTTTACGTTTTTCAACAAGAAAGGAAGTAATATATTATATTGCACCAAGCCATAAAGTATCTACAAATCAGGGGGAAGCTTACTCCAAAGAAAGGTCTTATCCACAACAATTGCACAACGAAAACTAACACTCAAGCCAAAAGCAAATATAACAGAATACAATGAAAGAATGAATGGTTCAAACACAAGCACAAGGAATAAAATCCGCTCCAGAAACCTTAAGATCCAAATCAAAATCCTTTTGTCTGTCTCCCAGATACCATTGGCAAAAACTAGTAAAATATACATAATCACAAATTATTATTTTCTTTTTCTCATTGCTTACAGGTCTAGAGATGAGAGGTCCCAAGAGAGGAAAACAAGGTCAGTTATGAGAAGGGTGTGTAGAGAAGATTAATGGGTATTGAAAAAGAAGGAATGGGAATGTGATAGAGGATAAGATGGCAAAATGGAAGAAGCAAGAAGAAAGGAAAGAGGAAGGAGACGTAAGAAACAAAACAAATGTAAAGAAGGCCGGAAAATCACCAGAGGAAGTAACTTGATTTAATTATAATATATATATTAAACATAAAAACTAATCCAAGTTATTGTAGTAAAGGTATCGCTCTAAATAATTGTAACACGAATTCCATAACTTTGATGAAAGTTCCTCAATTTGAGAAATCGGCTGCAACTAAATTTAATCTTCCCATCAAAATAATAAATGCAAAAAAAGAAAAAAAAGTTTAGGAGAATCACATGCTTATGGGCAGATCAGATATAGATTGGAATTCTATGATTATATAGTACAGAAACAATACTTAGGAGGAAGCAAGATGCTTAAGAGATGTAAGCCACTCGATCAGATGTTCAGATACTAAGAAAGATGTAAAACGGTGTAGTCTTAACTTGGTGATAACCATTTGGTTACAGTTTGGAAATATAAGAAAGAAACATAAACAAAAATACTATATTTTCCATTATGAAACCTACACATTGCAAGTTTTGAAGAGGTGATTCTATAAGTTTTGATATAATTGAGGCCAAAAGTTATCCCAAATGTCAGAAAATAGAGATTAATAAAATGTTAACTGTATAGAAGTTTAATGTCTCTGAGGTCAGCTATTTCAACTTTCAAGCACAACCCTTCGTTTTACCTTACAAATATAAATAGTGTGTCTAGGCATGACAAAAAATATATCAACAAGCATAAGATTTTCGAACAGCATTTAAAACACCTCGTTACAATTCGAATCATATCTACAAGCAGAGTGCAACTATGATTAGTAGATTGGGAATATAGATAACATCTTGAACCATAGAAGTGAAATAAAAAATAGTATATTTGCAAACAAAAACAGAATTACAATAACCAGTTAACCACCATTGATGCATCCCCCCACCCGCTTTCACAACAAAAGGAAGAAAAGACAAAAGAAATTAGGCTAATAATGAGCTCATTTGCTCAAATGAGGAACGAACTCACTTGGGTTATTTAGAACAGCATGGTTATAACAAAATAAACAAAGAATTCAGAAAAATAGAATCACTGACATTCAAAAAGGAAAAAAAAAAAGACCCTTATCTCCATTAAAATTCACTGTAATATGCATAGTATTTCCTTCATTGTCATTTCCAAACAGTTCCAAGAAAGATAAAGAAACCACGATTCAACTAAGAACCTAATTATCCAACAACAATAGACTTTCATCAAAGAACCAAAATTCCATGCAACAAAAGAAGACTCACTTTTTTAACCCGTCTTCGAGTATAGCTTGCTCTTCCAAGGTCCAATCTAAGGAAATATCCGGGTTATGCTTCATACCCGAACCCAAGGTCTCGTGCATAGGATTCCCGTTGTTCAAATGTGCTCCATTGAAGGAAGATGACGCGTGGTTCGCTTCTTGTTGATGGGTCCCCGGTGGGTTCGCCATCAGTTTTAGCTTCAAAAATCTCCGATTTTTACACCCTTTTTCAACGCTTTACAGAACCAAAGAAAAAAAAACTGAATTCCCAGAGAAAAAAGGCAAAACCCAGATTGGAAATGGAAAGAAGTGTTGAAGATTGTGAAAATAAAAGAGGGTTCAAAGATCAGGAAGCAAAGAGAGCATGGTGTCTTAGACCGAAGGGAGCTCTAATTGTAATAGAGGAGAAAGGGAAAACGGCAATTGGATACAAAGGATTGAAGAAAGAGAAAGAGAGACAGATAGAGACGGAGAAGTGTACGGAACTGGGAAAATCAAATCAAATCAAAATCAAAATCATTAGAGAATTGGGAAGGGAGGGTGTTTGATTTGATGTTCCACAGCTGAAAGTACAACTCTTCATTATTATTTCTATTTTTTTGTTGTTTTTTGTTTTGATATTTTTATTTTATATTAGTTTGCCAGCTTTGATATTTTATTAAATGACTGTTTTACCCTTCTAAGAATAGTAATTCAAAAAATAAAATTATAATTTCATATATTCAATTACATAATAAAAATAATTATTTTATATTATATTTTATTTTTAAAATAAATCATTATTTTAAATTTAAAATTTGAACCCAATATTTTATTTTTTTAGCTTAATGAATTTTTAAAAATAACCTCAGTTTTCTCATCAAAATTTCTTATCTGAAATAAATATAATAAATTGCAATGGAATTTTTTAATTTTAATATGAGCAATTTCGAGTCTCCACAAATAGGGTTGAAAAAGAAATAAAAATAAATCAATTTTCATAATTTTGGGTAGTTGAAATCAAACTGAAAAGGACAGATTGGTCAATAATTATTTCTTTTTCAATTGGCTTCAGAAAATGTCTTTAATTTGGGTCATGGGACACCCCATACTTGTCAGTTCCCAATTATTAATTGTTTTTTTAAACTATTGTCCTTATCTTTTTGTCTGAGAGTTTATATTTTTGGACTTTTTCTTTATAAATTTTTAATGGGTTAATAGCATTTATATTTTCTAAATTTGATTTAAATTTTAATTTGATTTTTAAATTTTAAAAATTTTTAATTAGATATTTAATTATTCAAAATTATTCTAGAATCATCTAAATTAACTGTAAATATAAGTTGATATCACGTGATGACATTATCTAACATCTCATATGATGAATAAGAATCAAAGTAAAATTTTTTCAAAATTTAATGACCAAAAGTAAAATTATTTTAAAATTTTATATATTTCACACATGTCTTATAAAAATATTAAATATTAAATTATATTTTTAATTTTTTTGTTATAATATAATTTATTAGATAGATTTTTGTTTTAAATAGAAGATAGATAATCAAAATTTAAAATTAAGTTAGAATTTTTAAATTCCTTTTTTAAAAAATTCAATACATTTTAAGAACAAAAATTTTTTTATTAAAAATATTATTTTACTCATAAGTCATAATAAAACATATTACTTTTTGACCAAAAAATTTTATTTTTTAAAATATTAAATATCTTTTATTTTTAAAATATATTTTATACAAATAAAAAATTTTAAATTATATTTTTTTATTTTCTATGAATATAAAAGTCTTATATTTTTTAATAGATTAATAAATTTATTTTTGAGAATGATTTGAAAATTTTTACATAATATTTTAAAATGATATAGAGTTTTTATTTAATTTTTTAACCCAATATAAAAATTTATACTTAATTTTTTAAAATGATATGTAATTTTAACAAAATTATTTTAAAATTTTCAACTTAATTTTAAGTTTTTAAAATCTACTATCTTTTAAAAATATTATTTTATTGATAAATCATATCATAATAAAATTAAAAATACATTAAATTATAATATTTTATAAAATATATTAATATATAAAAATCAATTTAAATGATAATTAAAAATTTAAAATAGTACAACTTTGGACAATTAAAGATTTGATTATAATTTTTTAAAATTTAAGAACTTACAAAAAAATTGAATTAAAGTTTAAAGATTACAGGTACTAATAACTCTTTTTTAATCAATTTCTTTTAACCAAACTATCCTTCTAACAATTGATTTTTCCACTGATGAAATGATTGAAAAAAAAAATGTAGTATCAAATCTTATTGAGTTGAAATTTAGGACTATTAGTGAAATATTAAATTTTTTAATTTTAACACTCAAAAATTAAACTTTGATAATTTTAAATCAAATATTATGATTATTTTGACCTATTAAAAGGGATTAAAAATAAAAATTGTCTATCTCCCTCCTCCATGTTTCATGTACATTTCTCACTAAAATAATAATTTTGAAACTTAATATGTATGTATGTATAAATACTTAAAATAAAAAACTTAAATAATTAATATAAAACAATTAATATTAGTATTATTGTAAATGTTCAATCATGATTTATCAAATTTGGCACATCAATTTTGAATTTGGCTAAGTTTTTTCCAATTCTAAGTATTTTTTATTGAGGATTATATATAAAAATAAAAGTTATAATTACAATCATACAATTCGATTTTTAAGCATTGGTATCAATTTTTTATATGATAATTTCTTTTATTAATAAAAATATTTTTCATTCTTGCATAATATAAGTAAACTAATTTGGTATGATAAATTTTGACCGAACAATTCATTAATTTATATTTTATTTGTTTTATGTTAAACATATATCAATTTGTGAATTTTGTTACAATTTGTCTCCAAAAAGAGTTGCACAAGCAAAACTTACGACACCTAACTTCAAATCAATATGAAATTTGAATTATAAAAGTTTTTAATATAATATTTAAATTATAAATTTATTAATTAATTTATTACTTAAAATATTATTTATTTATTAAATATTATCATTTAAAATTAATCACATTAAAAATAAAAACGAAATCTCGTTGGAGCCTTAGGATTCTTCCCCTCGCAAAATTTTGCAAACCCATTAATGCCAATGTTAGGGAGAATCAAATGATGAGCTACTTAAACATTTATTTTATTAACGAGCCTAATCATAATAACTTAAAAAACTGACAACTTATAAAACATAAACCTGCCATTATTAGTAATAAATTTTTAACTTTCTTAATTTTTTATAAAACTTCACAATTTATTATTCATAGAAAAAAAATAAAAAACTGACCCTAGCATTTCCTACTCTTGCATATCATAGCATGACGTGCTTGTTTATATGAGCAAGTGTTGAAATAGAATTGTACAAGCAATTGTTTATAGTACTCCTAGACTTTTTAATATATATTATATTATGTATACTATAATTATTTTACACATTTAAATTTAATTTAATTAGCTCTCCTATTAAATTTATTTGTTATATTTATTTTTTTTATTTTTAATTTAAGTTTAATAATTATAATTTAAGAGGAACTAAAATCATATTATTATTTTTCTATGTATTATATTTGCAAATATTATTCTCGAACTCTTAAAAATAATAAATTTATAATAAATATTAAATCATATTCATATAAATTAAAAAAAAAACAAATTAACCTTTTAATTTTCTCAATAAAATTATAACTTTTCAATTAAATATAAAAAATAGATATTGTTTTAGTCAACACTTATCTTTTAATATTTTTGTGACTTTTAATAAATTATGTTAATTGATCAAAATCTTTTTTTTTTTTTTAAGTATGTGTGTTTGATATGTATATAATAAATGTGAATATAGAGATTGAATAATCTAAAAATATAAAAAAGATAAAATTAATATATTTTTATTGAACACATATTTTATCTTACATTAACCCTCGAATTTGAATAACATAAAAAATGAATATATATAATTTAATTGACACTCTCAATACCAAATGTTAAGATACATTATTGATTAAGTTAACAAATTTATAATTCAAAATCAATAAGTGATTGATTTAATCGGTTATACTTGTTTTTCTCGACGAAGAGATATTGGATTCGAGTTTTATCAGTGATCATTTGTTGAGATCATCTAAAATACACGATCTATAATCACTTATTTTAGATTGTCAAGTATGGTACATTCATCTATTTTAGGTTGTCAAATATTGTACATTTTACTCTGATATGGAGAGTTGAATAGTCTATTTACTTTTGAATTCTTATTAAAAAAATTTTATAATTCAAATATTATATTAAAAAAATTTTAAATTCAATTATCATATTAAACGATATACTATAATTTAAGAGCAACTCATAACGTTAGCTCATTTACAAATAAAAACAACCCCAGCAAAAACTAGGAGAGTCACTCTGCCAGGGAGGGAATGATTCATGATCATAAATTTATAGGGATGATTGCCGTTGAAATGCCAAATGTCTTGAGTTAAGGTATAGCAAAATATCAATAAAAAAACAACATAATGGAGAAATCCATTTTTTTCCCCACAAATAAATTGTATAACTTGTTCAAATTGACCTTTAGATTTACAAATTTTTTCATGCACAATTTAACATTTATATTTGCAAAATAATTTAAATCATATAAAGGTAAAAAAGCCAGATATGCTAGCCTGAAACTGTGAGAGTCCTTATAGCAAATCTACATCTAAAGAACCTAAAAGTCAGGACATCTTACATTTTCAATTTAATTTTGTATCCCTTGCAAAAGAGCGAAACAGAGAAGATTGTATTTAAAATTGAATAGCATGATTATCATGTAATTATTTTTAAGTATATCTATATTCAAAAATGTCAAAAGTGAAAATTGATGATTTAAAAAATGCTAAGATTTATCAAGTATAAAATAATAATACTTAATGAATTGCAATTTAAGTATTTAATGTAATTCATAATTTCAGTCTAACAATTATATTTATAATTTAGGTCCAAAAATATTTACCATAAATATATATATTCACCTCTAATTCAAAATAATAATCAAATTTTAAAGTAAATTTAAGAATTGAACTCATTTCTTATTTAATAAATAAAATTAATTGAATGAATTCGAATAATTTAATATTTACTTCGAGTCAAAACTTAAAAATTGAATCTCAATTGATTTCAAGTCAAATTTCGAATAATGAATTTTGAATCAAACTTTAACTCGAACTTTTAATTGCATAAATTCGATTTAATTCGATTATATTTTATCATAAACATCAAACCGCATACTAGCACATCTTAATAAGACAAGTGTACTCTAAGAAGATACAACAGCTTGTTCAAATGATTGTCAATCCACACAAGCATTAATTGTAACCAAGAAAGATTTGTATGGAAGCTTATATTATACTACACTAATCATAAGCCAGGCACCAAACTGGTAGGAATGAGAGCATGGAACAGTTGAGAGATCTGATAAGTAGGTCATCAGACCAAAAAAATGAAGGTCATTGCTATGCAGGAAAGACTAAGATCTGTAAGAAAAATGTAGCTCGATCATTTTCATGGAAATTTTCTACATTAATTTTATACATTCTTTTGCAGCAGATATTGACAGTAGTTACCTTGGAACCGACTTGAAGATAATGAAGGTGAAATAGTAAGACGAATCTTTGGACAGCAAAGGCACTTCTGCTTTATACTCCATCATAAAAGACCCACCATAAACTTTAATTGACAGATCTTATTAGAGTTGGGACAAATTGGTACCCTCTAAGCCTATCCCATTGCCATCCATGGTTAGATCCTGCTTAAATGAATCATGCCATATAGTTTAGAAAGGATGTAATAACCAAATGAGAATATGCATGTAAGCATGTAATGTTGAAAATGACTAAGATAAAGAATCTGGCAGGAAAGCAAGAATAATGATTGACAGACTCTTGACATTTGGTGCTATTTTTTTCAACAAAAGAAAAAGAAAATTTTGAGGACATTAGTTCTCACCATGGACCACCATTGCATTTCCGGGTCTGCAAGTACAATACTAATACTAACATATTTACAAAAAAATGCAACGAGAAGGCACGACAAGAATACCATCTTGTTGAACATGAAGTTCGAAAAAAGCAAAACTAAAACATAACCCCCGATAGGCATGAAAAAAAAATTGAGAAATAAAAAATTGATTCAAAATTATAGTGTTTGATTTGAATCAAATTAAATTTTTTTATTTTGATCAGATTAAATTTAGATATTAAATATATATATTAAATTCGGATCGATTTTGATTTGAGATGTAAAAAATAAAAAAAATTAAATAGAACCAAATTATATATATTTTTTAATTTTTATATAAAATTTAAATTTTTATTAAATAAAAATAATAATTTTATATCAAAATTTACTTAAATATATTAAAATTTTATATTAAAATAATATATAAAAATTAAAAATTAATAAATCAAATCAAATTAAATCAATAAAATTTAATTCAGTTCTATTCAAATTAAATAAAAATTTAATTTATATTTAAATTTAAATAAAATTTTAAAATTTCATAATATTATACAATATTAAAAAAAAAAAAAAACCTTATAAAGTCTTATCCAACCGACATCATCCCTTTTTCCAAAATAATCAACTACACTGCTTTTGAAAACCGACAACCTTCCCTTCGTTATCAAAAAAAAGCGTGCCACTTCTCTGGTTTAAGCATCTTGCTTACCTGCATCATAAATACCTGGTTTATCAATACAAAAAAAAAAAAAAAGAAAAAAAAAACCATGGTCATACCAAAATCAGGAGATGGAAAACCAATAGAGTAACACTTTTACACAAATCAATTTTCCAAAACCAAGCAAGCCTTAAGAAGACATGAACCCCAATCTTTCCCCCTCGCCTTTGTTGTAGGGTTTTGTTTATCTTGAAATAATTTTTTTTTTTCCAAAACCAAGATAATTTGTGCCACTATTCTCTCATATTGACATTATTAAAATAGAAAGGGGAGAAAATTAGTAAAGGAACATTTCAATACATGAAAAACACTCATTACTCATAGTCATGCAGCACTAATTGCTAAGACTATAATGTTGCAATGGCTTTCAACCCACATTGGATGGTATCAACTCATTTTTCCAGACACCACCATACATTCTAATATATAGCTATGTTTGCCAAAGCACAACGTTCAACTCTCAGACACACCAACCTCCCTTATAATTAATGTTTCCTTGCATTTGATTTTTGGGAAATATATACATTTCCTCGTAATTCAAAATTTTTTCCTTCACGAACGACCAATTCTACTATTAAAGGAAATAACAGAAAAACTTAAAAATACAACAAATCTTTCAATCACGGAATTTCAAATTTAACTCGATTGATTTATATAAATGTAATATCTAACGAATTTGAGATTTAAATTTTAACATATGTAATAATTTATTTTATTTCTTTGCTGCAGCATCCTTTGTACCCAAAAAAAAAAAAAAATTTCAATCACTAATTATTTTTTTCACATTTGTTCAATGCCTTAAGCTATTGAAACTAAAATTGTAAGCAATTAAAATTTTCATTTTTGTAATAATATCCTTTCCCATTTTCAAATAAAACCCTAGCTCCAGCTCCAAGGATCTCATTGACCCAAAATGTTAGCAACTACAGACTTTATATAAAGCTTAATAAAAAAAAAAATTCATCCCAAGGCATCAAAAATAATAATAAATATACAAAACTATACAATATAAAGAAATTACATTTCAATTCAATAAAAAATTAAATCATTTGATTCTCATTTGACTCATAAAATTACATAAAGAATGATAATAAAAGAATTTTCTTACAAAAAAAAAAAAATTCTTGATAGGAGATTGGGGAAGGCATGGATCTCCAATGTTGCGAACAATGGAACTAACTCTTTGAATATTGACGGCTCTGGCAGCGGCGGCGGGGCAGCTTTTCCACAACCCCGTTGCTATTCCTTTTCCCCACAAGACATTACACTTAGAACAACATCCATCTTTTCTCTGTTTTAACCACCATTCACCTCCGCTTTCCTCATTAGTAATTTTCCAAACTATGACGGTAATTTCACATCAAAATCAAATAAAAATTTCTGGGTTTTGATTGGTTTTTCAGTTGATTGAACTGATCGTTCTTGTTTTGGTTGCTGATCTAATCAAAGGCATTCAAAATTGAATTTAAAGAGAAACTAAGAGAATAAGAGAAAAAGATCTATCAAAGAAAAGGAGGAGCTTCTCCTCCATTGCCATTTTTACAAACCCAAGACCGTTTCTTCTCCTTTTTTTTTTTTATTAATTTATTTCTCTTGATTTTTCTCCATGGCTTCTTCCAAGTTTATATTGCTCGTTTTTGTTTTGTTATCTTTGGTAATGCTTAGATTTTTAATAAAATCTTTTGATAAAAAAAATTGTAATAAAATATTAACAATAAAATTATGTCATAACTTGGTATGTAAATTAAAATAATATTAGATTGATTCAATATTATTTTATATTTAATTAAATTTGATAATTTAAAACATGATATAATAATATGAAATGAAAATAATATGAATAAAAAATACGAAAATAATATGATTTAAAATTTTTAAAAAATCATAAATAAATTTAATAAAATCAAAAAATTATATTTTATATTTTTATATCGATATGAATTGTAACATATAATTTTCGTATAAAATATAATACGAATATAGTATTTTATATGATATGATATCATGAATTCTATCTCTAACTAAAACAAATTCAAGATTAAATTGAATCAAATTAAACTTGAATAAAAAAAAATTGTACTGATTATACATAAAGCCTTCACTTTTTTTTACGTAATTATTCTTTAAAAAAATAAAATTATACCAATAAAAATTAATTAATTATTATTAAGACAAAAAAATTCATAAAATTAGATTAAGGAATTTAGCCATAAAAAATTGGATTAAGTCCAACCAAATTCAAATAATAAATGGACAATTAGCAAATTAATTAATCACTTCGGCCGAAAAAAAAAATAATCACTTGAGTGTAATGGATCATTGTAATAGCCCAATTCGATAAGGGCTAGCAAGTGGTTTTGACAGAGAGTCCTCAATTGTACGGACAGAATCCTATATAAAAAAGCTGGATTTTTTTAAAAAAATAATTTATAATATCTATCCAATGGTACTATTTTTTTTTTGATAAATTAATTATCGTAACTTCGTTGGACGGCTTATTCCACGTAATGAAGTGAAGTGGAGACAAACATGGTTTTTTTTTTTAGAAAAAAATTGAAATTGAAAAATAAAAATAAAACAAAGAGAAATATCATTGTCTTTATGTGCCCAAAAGAATCTATTTTGACGTTTAACAACTATCCAACACAACCACCCAATTTTTTTTAATAAATTAATTGCTCATATTTCCGGATCCACACATACCCAAAACCAAAAACAAAGAGAAACAATGACAACCTTTGAAGCCAACGGTAGCTCTTCCTGAAGCTTAAATCCTGCCAAAAGAAACAACTTTTGCCTTCAGACATCCTAAAACCTTAACAATAACAGCTTTTCAACTCTCATAGTTAACTGCTAAAAAAAAAAAAAAACCCAACTAGACTTTCCATTTTTAGTAAGTCTTCAACAGGATGGCCACTTAAAAGTCTGTTACACGATTGACTAGGGGTTCCTTTTATGGTAAAACCTTCTCCCTCTAGATATCTGGGTTTTTTTTTTTCTTTTTTAATTTGCAGAGTTTCAAGGAGCTTCAGATTTTATAGGTTGGTGTAAAAGATCATTAGAATTTCATTTCACTTGAATTTTCATTTGAGTTTAATAAAAGGAAAAAGAATTGCCAATTTTAGAAATATCTTATCTTACTTAATTACATATATTTTTAGTAAATCATATTTATGGTGAATAGTGCACTTAGTCTTGAATTTGATATTTGGTTCATCTCACCTAAATTTTCATTTCACCTTTTTGACATGCACTTTTTTAAAGAATTTTTTTATATATTTGTGTATAACTGGATGAATCTGAGGTGGGTTTTGTGAGTTAATGTTGGTTGAGAGTTGTGGACTTATCTTGCAGTGATTTGCTGTGGCTTTGGACACTGAAATTTTGGTTGTCATCTAGGTCAGTTCTTGAGCTTTCTATTACTATTTTTAGGAACTATAATAGTTAATTTAACTTAAGATGTGAGATATTTGTGCTGTAATTGGTTACTGAAAATTTTTTTCCTTTTATGGTTATGTATTATTGTATTATATATAGCATGTGGGTGAAGTTTGATTTTTCTTTGTGAGTTCCAGGTTAGAGGCAGTTTGGCTTGGGCATATCTGGTTTTTTTTGGCAAATTTGAGTTTGGTGTTCGAAGAGGTGGAAAAATAGTTCGGGAAATTCCTGGGTTTTGGGTAGCAGACAGGGGAAGATTTTAGGGATGGAAGAGATAGGTTGAGTGGAAGTTTTTTTTTATAGAACTCTAGCGTTTGCTGGTTTTAGTTGGAAGTGGGGTTGGTTAGTTTTTTGTGAAAAAAATGGAGTACACCTTTTCATCTAAAGAAAAGGGGAATGGTTGTTGGGTTCCTCCAAGAGCACAAATGGAGGGTGGGGAAGAGTTGACTGGGAGTACCAGGAATCTGATTTCCGAGGATCCTTTCAACTTCTCAGAGCTCATGAACTTCGATACTTATGCTGGGTGGTGTAATAGCCCTGCAGCTACAGATCAGATGTTTGCCTCCTTTGGTTTGTCTTCCTGTCCATCCTTGCCTTATGCCTCTTTTGACTCAGTACATATTACAGGGCAAAGTTCTGGTACCTTTGTTGAAGCTGGTGATGCATTAAGTGGCATGGGTGATTCGTATAATTGTGCAGACAGAATGGTGTTCCTGCAAACAGATGCACACTTTGGTAATCCATTGGATTCCGCAGATGCAGAACTAAGTGTTAGACGAAATTATGGTGGTAATAGACAAAATAATTCATCAGATTTGCCTAATTTGTTGGTTTCTAGGCCAATTGGACAATCACTTGATGAGAAGATGCTTAGAGCACTGTCCTTGTTTAAGGAGTCATCTGGAGGGGGCATTTTGGCACAAGTTTGGGTTCCTATTAAGCATGGAGATCAGTACATGCTAACCACTTCTGATCAGCCCTATTTGCTAGACCAGATGCTATCTGGTTATCGTGAAGTCTCAAGGACATATACCTTCTCTGCAGAACTGAAACCGGGCTCCTCTCCTGGACTTCCTGGTCGTGTTTTTATTTCTAGAGTTCCTGAGTGGACCTCTAATGTAATCCATTACAGTAAGGGTGAGTACTTGCGGGTTAAACATGCAGTCAATCACAAAGTCCGTGGTTCTATTGCGTTACCAGTTTTTGAACCTCTTGAGAGGTCTTGTTGTGCTGTGCTGGAACTTGTCACTATGAAAGAGAAAACCAATTTCGATTCAGAAATGGAAAATGTCTGCCTTGCACTCCAGGTTAGTACCTATTATTTCTGTTTCTATTCTAGTAAAGTTTGTGTTTTTGGGTCTGAATATCCATTTCCTGTTCTCCATGACTCTCCAAACACATCAATGCCACTGACCTATCTACCTTTATCTCATTTAAACTTGAACTCCCTTGTAATGGGTGATATGATGAAGGGTATCAAGGAGACCAAAAATTGCTATTCTAAAGGTTGGATACCTGTTAATTAGATCTTATCTATTTTAAGATTTGAGAAGTTGTTGGAATGTAACTTTTGGATATTTTCCAACTCTAACCAAAGCTTATAATTATAAGGCTGTGCCTTGGAGTTCTGGTAAATCTGGAATTCAAATCATCTAATGAGTGTTGTCATATGAGGTGATGTGCATGTATATGGATCAGACTAAGATAGCCTCCTTAGAGTCAATAATCCTTAAGATTCTTAACACTTTCCAAAGAACCAGGTTTCTTCTGTAGCTTATAAGATATACTCTCTAACTTGTGCTGTCATGGCGCCGGTTGAGCTACTCTAAGTGGTAATATTTTTGCATTCACTGTACTGAAAGTTATCAAATTGAAAGCAAATTTACTACATTGAATGCTAAAATGTTCCTAAATTGGTAAATCTTAACTAGTGCCCTAAAGAAAAACCATTAGTAATCTGAAGCTTTGGAAAATTTTGCTTACAACATGAATTACTGGAATGTTGAAAGGTAAAAATACAAGTAATATCTAAAGAATGTAATAACAGTAGCCAACAAGGCCAGTCGGCGACACATAATATAATATTGTTAGTTTACCTTTATTTGACATGAAGAATTAGATAACTGTGACATGCAGTAGAATTTTTAGCTTTTTAGAACTACAATATTGTGCACATTTACGCTGAAATTAAAGTGGAAAATTTGGATTTTTTCTGACAGGAAGAATATTTGATTAACGATGTTAAAATTTAAAATAAAATTTATATCTAACATCTGAGGTTCAAAAGGGAAATTTAAGCCTTCAGGTGCTTTGCTATTGTTGTATGCTGAAAGGTGTTGGTAATTAATGTTATTTATTGAGTATTATATCTCCGGTTTTAAAAAAAACAAACTTGATAGATTTCAGACCACACAGACATAAACTATAAAAGCAGCGAATATGTTGTAAAGTAAGTCTTGTATGAAATATAAGGTTCCAACTGTATATTCAATAGATTATGGCTGGTATCATGAAATGTTTCTTGCTCCCTATTATCTGCAGGCTGTGAATTTAAGGACCACTGCTCCTCCTCGATTTCTTCCCCAGGTACATTTAAAACTTTGTATGCATTTCATTTCAACTGTTATAAAATAAGGGTTTTTATATTGAATTTTATATTATATATATAAGCATGTATTTTTTTCTTGGTCAATTGAATAAATAGAGTGGTATTGTGCCTTTTCTCTAAGGTCTCCTTTCATTTTTTCCTCAGTGCCACTCAAGGAATCAGAGAGCTGCTATAGCTGAAATAACTGATGTTTTACTTGCTGTATGTCATGCGCATAGATTGCCTCTGGCTCTAACATGGATTCCTTGTAATTACACTGAGGAAGCTGTGGATGAAATTATAAAAGTACGTGTTCGAGAGGGTAATAAGGATTTGAATGGGAAGTGTGTCTTATGCATTGAAGATACAGCCTGCTATGTTAATGAAAGTGGGATGCAAGATTTCGTGCATGCATGTGTGGAACATTATCTTGAAGAAGGACAAGGTATAGCTGGAAAAGTACTTCATTCCAATCGTCCATTCTTCTCAGCTGATGTGAAGACATATGACATTAGTGATTATCCTCTTGTCCATCATGCACGTAAGTTTAACCTGAATGCTGCTGTTGCAATCAGGTTGAGGAGCACCTACACTGGTGATGATGATTATATACTAGAGTTTTTTCTTCCTATTAACATGACAGGGAGTTCAGAACAGCAACTCTTGTTGAACAACCTCTCAGGTACCTTGCAACGAATCTGTAGGAGTTTGAGAACAGTTTCAGATGCTGAAGTTATTGGTGAAGGGTCAAAATTTGAGTTTCAGAGGGGAACAGTCCCAAACTTCCCCCCAATGTCTATGTCTAGACGGAACTCGGAAATGGCATTATCTGCTGATAGTGAAATGAATTCCAATGATAGAATTCCCTTGAATGTATCTCATTCAAGAAGTGATGGAAAGGAAGCTGATGGTCCTCCTGAACAGGTACTATGTTGAACATTCTTTCCTTTTTGACGGATGACTTGAATACTTGACTTGTGTAACACATGAAGGGTTCCTTCAGTGATTCGTATATAAACTACATAAGTATGGAAAATTGACTTGAGTAGTGCATTGAGAGGAGGGAATTTCTTGATCTGAGATCCATTTTTCTGATATCTGTTGAGTTAAATAAGATGCTTTTTTTTTTTTTTCCTGATAACAAGATACATGGGTTTGCTATCAATAAAAAGAGGGTATCTCACTGATATTGAAGCATCCTTAACTGTAGATGCTGGATTCTTCTATTATCTACCCCTAATACTTGAGCTCTCATGAGCTTGCCTTATTGATCGATGAGCATGCCACATACTTGCTTAGCTTGAGTTTAGCAATTCCTTAAGCTCTTCTTGAGGAATCAAAATCAGCTTGAGTTTCCTTTGTTTAATATCCATTACTATTATCAATAGTTGAAATCTGAGAGAGACATTATTTGGACAAAATAATTTAAATACTTGACCCGTTTATTGTGAGATATATACCCATTGGAAGATAGAAATAGATAAATATATATATGTATATGTGTGTGTATGTGTATACTACTTTTTTACTTTAGTTGGTAGTGCTGATTTTTGATGTCTTAGTTGCTGGTGTGAACAAGCTTATATCTTTTAAGTAATATCTTCGTACATATTTTTATAGGCAATGAGTGGACTGCAGAGGCACATAAAGAAGAGAACTACAGCAGAAAAAAATGTGAGCTTGAGTGTTCTTCAGCAGTATTTCTCTGGGAGTCTGAAGGATGCTGCAAAAAGCATTGGTGGTAAGCCTTGATGCTAAATGTGTATATGCTTCATAAGGTTATTATATAGTTGGTTCTGTCCAGGTTTCTGTAAAATTGTTTTTTTTTTTTTTTATTTGTTTTTGACTTTACTGCACAAGTTTGTGCTTATCTTCCTTTTGCAGAAAGACCATTCATATAGAAGAATTAAATTTAATTTGATATATTTTTTGTGAGATTGCATTCCTAAACCTCTTTAAATTTGTAAAGCTTCCTAAAAGATTTTCTGTATGGAGCTATATTCTTGAATGATTCATGTAGTATGGTTCAGTATTGTTATTTTAGGAAAATTACTTTTCAATCTTGGCTACTTCTTAAAAGATATAAAATCATAAAATGAATAAGATTACATGTTGCTGAGAACAATTCCCACTTGATTCACTGATATTATTCTTTCTAAGTTTTTAACAACCTTGAGCAACCTCTAGACTCTTTAGATACTATATAAAATAAGTATATGACCATAATCTTTTTATGGAATGGAGAATCTTCAAATCAAATTATGACCTTAATGTTTTTGGCTTAATCCAAGGAAATAATGCAGAACTGTTGCTTGACTATTATGAACCTATGGAACTAGAAATTGTTTTTTATGGTCAAGGCTATAGACTCTAGAAAATAGTTCTTAACACTGGTAATGAAGAACATACAGAAGTGTTAGAATATTATTTTAAGCACTAGAGTGAAACTGGTTCTTAATAATCTGTGATTGAAAATTGATTTCCTACTCGTAGTTTGTCCCACTACACTGAAAAGGATATGCAGACAACATGGGATATCAAGATGGCCCTCTCGCAAGATTAACAAGGTGAATAGATCATTGAGAAAAATACAAAGTGTTCTTGACTCTGTGGAAGGTGTGGAAGGAGGGTTGAAGTTTGATACAGCCTCAGGAGGATTTGTTGCAGCAGGTACCATCATCCAAGAAGTTGATACCGAGAAAACACTATTATTCTCCAATAAAAACCTTCCCGTCAGAATACCTGAACCTGTCAATCAAGAGAAATCATCAGCAAATCTAGCATCTTGCCCTGGTGGAGAGAATTCAGTGGTTAAGTTGGAGGAAGATGAGTGTTCCTTTGGTGGAAACAACAGGGAGGCTGCAAGGAGTGTGATAATTCCAAGTACCTGTCAAGAAGCAAAGAAATCTAGTATCCTTCTTATTGATTGTTGTGAGGACTCTAAGTCAGTTGCTTTAGATGTAGGATCATTCCAGGCAGCTAGCGTTGGCACTGCTCCTTGGACTTGCCCAGAAAATGCAACAATGGGTTCTTATTTACAGGAAGGAGGTCACATATGGGGTATGAACAAGGGGGATCTGAAAGTAGAGGATTCTGACTGCCACTTTGTGTCGTGGAGCTCATGCTCCTTGGCTGCTGCTGATGAAGTGGATACCGAAATGGAGGGTGATGATGGGATTGTTGAACATAACCACCGACCTATTTCTTCAAGCATGACAAACTCTTCAAATGGCTCTGATTCAATGTTACATGGAAGTTCATCAAGCTCTCAGAGCTTTAAGGGATCAAAGAATTCGAAATTGAAGACAAATTGTGTTGATAGCAGCTCAAAAATTACTGTGAAAGCTACTTACAAAGAGGATACTGTCCGCTTTAAGTTTGAACCCTCTGCCGGGTGCTTCCAACTATATGAAGAAGTTGCAAAAAGGTTCAAAATTCAAAACGGGACATTCCAGCTCAAGTATTTAGACGATGAAGAGGAATGGGTAATGTTGGCTTGTGACTCAGATTTACAGGAGTGTCTAGAAGTTTTGGAGTATGTTGGAACACGTACTGTGAAATTTCAAGTTGGCCTTATACCTTGTGCTATGGGCAGTTCTGGCAATAGCAACAGCTTTTTGGCTGGAAGCTCATAGCAGTTATGTTGATGCTTAGCAGGCAATTACTGGCCTTCATAGTAATTCCTTTAACTCTATCCGGGTTCTGTTCTTATAAGGAGAGATGTAATTCTCTAAGAGAGGAAAAATAAAAAAAGAAAGGGGTAATGGAAATGGCTGTAGCTTTTCTACTTTCATGTATTACTCCATTTGCTTTCCATGATGGTCCAAAATCAATGGCGGCTGTTTTTCGATCTTGCATGGTTGTTACTGCTAGATTTCAAGGAAGAAGGGCAAAAAGGGATTAGAAGATGTAAGCATAGGTTATAGTCAATTATTTATAATATATGTTTTGTTTAGGCTTTATATGTTAGTGGGAGAGCAATAGAAACAGGGTTGTATTTGTAGTTGTAGTTGTAGTTGTAGCAAGGAGCATTTATCCAAATCCAAGTTTCATCAATGTCTGTCATTATTTACTATTACAATTGAAATTAGAAAAAGAAAATACTGAATGCTAAATAAAGCTTCATCAATGCCAAGTATGGTGATGTGGTCTTAAGGATCCATTGTCTGGGAGCACTACCAAGGTTGTTGAGGCTTCAGGAACTTAAAGACCTGAAGAAATTGTTTCAACTTTAGATACAAATACCATTAACAGAATCCTGTTGGTAGACCTCTTCCCACAATACCTTGGGAACAAAGCTATGGTAGTAGTTGTTATGAAGGTATGGATCTTTATTATGCATGCAAGCAATCACTTTAAACTGGATTGGTTTTGGCATTTGATTTTCCTGTTCCTTTCTCTTGTAGTGCAGGTTATGGTTGGTTATGGTTCTACTTTGAATTATAATTCTGGCTTTAGTTCAGGATTATATGGTTCATATGGTGGCCTTGGAGAAATGAGTGGTCCTCATGGAGTTCAAGACCCAAATAATCCATATGTTGCACAGCCATTTCCACCAGGGTTCTGGATATCGGTTCTTCCAGTGGTAAGCAGTATGATTTCTGTTGATTATTTAATCTATTATATCCCTATTTATTTATTTTTTTGCTGCATAAACTTATTTGATCTCTGCACCAGCATGTTAAATCCTCTTTCTTATTGCTTGGGGTTTAAGGAAACAACAATAAATGCTTTTTAACTATTCACTTGGATTTTGTTCTCAGATTCTAATTTGCAATAGAATAATGTAATTAATAATCCATGAATTATATCGAAACATTCAATGTAATACTTAAAATTTTAAAAATATGTTATCATTTAAAATTAATCATGTTAAAAATGAATTTTATATTTGTTAACAAATTCATAATTTAAATATCGGACTAAAAATTTTTAAAATTCAAGTGTCATATTAAATATTTTATTATAATTCATGAAACGTTGGTGACATCAACCCTTTGCAATATGATAAAGATCTTAGCTGTAAATCCACGAGAAAATTATTACTCCATTTGAATGGAGAACTATTGAGAAAGAACAACTACACTCAGATGGTGGCTTTATAGATTTCCATAGTTAATAAAGCTAGAACTGAATATTAGTTAGGTTGCTTTTCGTCCACCAGTGCATGGTTTGTGCAGTGCACTGTTTCTCACAATGCCTATTTTCCCTTTTTCTTCTGCTTTAAAGTAATGTAAATTGCACTTGTGTGATAGTTGATCTTAAATACTGAGAGAGAAAGCAGTGAAAAGGAGATGGAAAAAATCTTGTAAAAAGAAAAGTAAAGAAAATAGATACAACTATACACAAAGAAGGCTGAAGAGTTGGTGGAAATATACATGTAAATTCCCCCACACAATGTCAATCACCGCCATTCACCACAAGCCCCCTATATTTCAAACCAAGCTCAACCCCCAACTACAACTCTTTTTTCATCACAAAAATGTACTGAACACAAAAAATGCAAAAATGGGTAACAAGATTTCCAATGTATAACCATGGCAGCCTGCATAAAAAAATTTGTTCAGATAAAGGAGAGAACAAGCTACAATTTCAATATATAAAAATGATTTGAATTAACACTCATATTTGCCACATTCCAGTGCAGCAAAGACGATATATTGTGTCTAAATCAAGTAACATGATAATTCTTAATTCCAATTCCTAAAAGATCGTTTTACCATTTCGAACACCAATTGTCCGGTTCATTTCAAATTGAACATCCAAAAGTTATTTCTCGTGGTTTAAAATTTTGGCCAAGGCATGATGGGAATCTCTATGACAAGCTATGGTGTCATTTACTAGACAAACTTTATTGAACAGCCTCTTATCTGCTAGTCTTAAGCCTCTTATTTGCTACATGCCAAGCAGAAAATGCAATTCAAACAATAAATGTCACACACCAGGATTTTTCAGCATCTCTGATGTTGGCAGGGCACGCAATGACATCTCTGCAACAGCAAGTAGCAGCCATTAGGACATTAAGATGAAGCCACAAGTCAAATATGCTCCTTATAGAATCCCCAATTCAACTGTGTTGATCCCTTCTAAGTAAAAGCAAACATACAAAAGTCATTCTTTCTCAAACAGTTACCTGGAGCACAAAGAGACAGCGATGATATCGATGATGATGAAGGCCATGGAGCTGCAATGTTGTCGGTCAAGTCACATGTAAAGCTGTAGCCTGTTGAATTGTCAAATACCACATCTGCTGGCAAGCTTCGTAGCAGGCATCCTAGATGTGTAGTCCATATGATACATAAGCATTTCTTTCAAACTTTAGTGCATAATAGTATACCTAATAAATGCATATATAAAAACTAGGAAGAAAATACGAAAAAGATGCTAGAGTAAAAAATTTCTAGTAAGTGAAAAGAGGTCCATTGACGACTCTCACATGTCCAGCCAGCATACACACATGCATACACCATTTCTATTGTTAACCGAAGCATGTGTAAATGTATGGGAAAGAAAGAGATTAGGAAACAAAACGAACCTGGCTGTCCATATTCTGTTGTAGCAACCACATGCAAAAATTCATCAGGCAGGAAGAAAAGAAGAAAACTCAATATCAGATAAAAGAGCAGCGCAAAATGGAGTATTAGAAGAACAACATCAAGCAGAATACCATACCTTGGATGCTAAAATCTTTTAAGTCAACGTCACAAAGCTCATAAACATTTGTTATAACTCCACCTTTTCTTAATATTGACCCGAACATTATTGCACAAATTATGGCTTGCTTGTTTGTAATTAACATTTGTTTCTGTATCCCCGCAATGTAAGTATTTAATGAGCTACAACAGGAAGGACTGGGAGCAGCTACATTACGGCATGCCTTAACTACTTCTGAGGGCTGGTTAAATTCCAAAGGGCAAACTGCACATTCAAAAACATTTATACCAATGTAGATAAAACATAAAACAACTCACAAATGATTCGAAACAAAAGCTAAAATATCTTGCAATATAAAAGGAATGAAGTAGAAACAAAGTGTAGGTGAATAAAAATGAACCAACATCTAAGAAGAACACATACATCATATCAAACATGGAGGAAGAAGGTAATTCAAACATAAATCTACCATCCATTCAGACTACCCATTGCCTCCACTTTCAATTTTTCACCAAATGATGGCTCCATGCAACATAAGATCATCTCAACTACAACCCTCCCAAGCTAAAATAGACATCCGAGCAAGCTTACATCTAAGACTTGGGTAACAAAAACAACCAAAACAGTAGGTAAAGTAAATATTGAACAACAATCATGCAAGATACATAGAAACTGTACCCTTGTTGACTTTGCAGGCAGATAGTATTCTGAATGCAGTGTTTGCCACATCTGGAGGGAGTGTCCTTGAAAGATATGAATATACCACCCCTTTACAGTCATTGATGACATCAATATGATTAGTCTCCCCAACTACATTTTTATTCTCATTGAGTATCATTTGCATTCCAGAAATCTGTAGAGCAGCTTCCATAATTGCAGGTTGGCAAATTGGCCTGCAGCACTCCTTCAGAGGATCAACAGTGCTGCAAGCCTCCAATAACTTGCTTGTATTCACCATTTTCTCAAAGGTATTAACATCCTTCACTGGACAAGACCCACCTGTCAGACTTGATGATTTAACAGAACAAATTGTAGGTATTGTATTGTTGGCCCCTCTGCTAGCTAAGATACTAATGATATCTGAAAAACAATCATTAGCAACAGCATTTCGCAAGACCAACTTATCAGAGTTGATACTGTAGTAACCCTGGAAGATGCGGAGTAAACTACCAAGCTGCGGACAACATATTACATTTCCTACAAGCGGTGCCAAAGGTAGCAAACAATCAGATGTGGTTTTCCCCATGATGTTTGACATAGCAGAAAAATTTACAGGGCACCTTCCAGTTAAATTTGGTTCATATGTTTTGGGAAAAGTTGAATACAGAGGTGGTAAAGATTCATCAGGATAAGGGTAACGAGGAATGACAGCAGGGGATATTTCTATAGGTTCAAATAATACAGTAGGTGGAGGATTAGCTAGCTCAGATGTGGAAGAAATATGACTAGGGGCAAGCAATGTCAGCAATGCGGCAACATCTCGGAAACTGGTTAACCAAAAAATGAATAATAATAACTGTTGGCACAGGGAACCTGCAACCAGAAACAAGCCACATGTGTGTAAGTGGATAATTATTCAAAAGATAAATAAAAGAGAATAAGAACTAAATTGTCTTGTCAGATATGCTAACAGCATAAGGTCTAGAATGAAGGTTATTAAGTTTAAAGCTAAAGCGTCATGTATATTCTCTGCTAGAAAGGCAAACGAAAAGAACCAAGGTATCTAATCAAACTGGAAACTCTAATCAAACACGATGATGGTTAGCCATTAATTGGGAATACTGTTATATAAATGTTAAAGCTTGTTAAAATGTAGGATCTATGTACAACTTAAAAGTTCCTTCGTCACTTATTTCATCATTATGACTCTGGTAAGAATTCTGTATAAGTGTGATCTTCAAAGAAAAATTAGAAATATATGGTACAACTTGAGAACTTGCCCAGTATTCATAGAAAAATTAACTATCAATCATAATACAATATCCCCAAATCAAAATTACCATATCATATAGAATAAGGTACTCTTAAAATTAGGAAAATGGCGAGCTCAACACCTTCATAAAATCAAGTTTTTGCCCTACCTCCGCTGTTTTAGCTGCACAATACCCTGTCTAAAACTATATATAAGTAGCTCCAATTAGAAAATTCAATAACTTGCCTTTAATACGACCAACAGTCTGAAAACAGTCCATAGCTCTTCTAGCCTTCTGGCATCATCGATTCATGTAACAGAAAATCCTCTTGTAGTTCATACACCCTAACTACGATAGCAGCAATGCAGTAAAACCTGTATCAGCTTCAAGTGTTAGAGAAAGTGTGAAACAGAAAATTCATGGACAATAAGACATAATGGAAGACTAAATGTAACTATTTATCCTTACATGCAATAATGTAACTATTTATCCTTACATAAAATAAATTAGCACTAGCACAACATGCTTCAATCTGTTGTGGGAGAATAGCAGCAAATGAAGAGTGCCTAAACATTGGTAACAAATCTTATATCATTAAGCCTATTTTTAAAAAATACAGAGTATTTCAGACTAGATCACTAGATGCATGTTTCAACCCTAAATCTTTTATCATATCATATAGTCATAGACATTTCACCTTTAGATTTTGTCTGGAAGCATTTACAAAGGAGCAAAAGTGAGTAAAAACAGCTAATTCCTCTCATCCTTTCCATAAGCTATCCAGGGTATAAACATACTGGCTTAATGAGTATAACCCTACAGCCTTCAATTCTTTCTGCACCATGCATAAAAAAGTAAGTTAAGCAAGCTTCAAGACTAAACTAGTATTACAATTTAACCCACATAAGACACTTTCCCTCTACAATCTGTAATTAGAACAAGGAACCCTGCACTGCAGGATCAACAATCATGCCAATCAGCAAAGTTTCAAGCACAACACTTCCCAACCACAATTTTTGTAAGCCCCATAGACAACACAAGCATTCCCTCTGTCACTCACTATCAAACAAAGGACTATTTCAAGTTCTTCAAAAAAATACCAGAAATGATGTTTTTGCTCATCTTGATTGCAAAACACACATTCAGACAAGCTCCATTCAGTTTTTCTCTTTTTGTACTTTTCATATAAAATAAAGAATCCACCTCAAATAACTTCACTGCTCTAGTAAATTAGTATCAAGTTCTTCTATTTCTTTTATTTTCTGATGTCAAACAACAGATTAGACATGACAGAAGCTATAGCCCAACTCAATCCGGCAATTATTTAAGCTAAATTTAGGAACACTAGAAACAATATTTCTTTTCTTGCATTGAATCAACTAAATTAAAGAGCTATAAATCTAAGGAAAATGGAAAACAATAGTTCAAACAAGGTAGCTATCATCTAAAGTTCAATTTTCTTTCTTTTCCCTTTTTTAACAGGATTTTGTTAAGGAAAGTCACATCTAATGGATAAAAATCCATTTTCTCTTTTGTTCCCAAACAATTTCTTAGATTAGCAAACAAAAGAGTATGCAATATCTTATGCATAAACCACAAAACTAAATAAAATAATCAAATCAAGCTTAAAAAAGTAACAAATTTTCCTAAAAGAGAAACACTAAATCAATAATCAAACTCTCAAATTTCTCAAATCTTCCTCAGCTGCAAAGAAGGGAAAACACACAGCCACACACACAAATATCTAAGCTTAAACTTTTACTTTACTCTTCTCTTACCAAACAAAGAAGAGTTAGCTTAAAACCACCAAAAAAAGAAAAAGCCCACCCAAATTTCCTTCCTTTACCAGCATTTTCTCAGCTACCAAACACAAAAAAAAAAAGCCACCCAAGTTTCCTTCCTTTACCAGCATTTTATCAGCCACCAAACACACAAAAAAAAAGGAAACCCACCCAAAATTTCTTCCTTTACTAGCATTTTCTCAGCTACCAAACACAAAAAAAAATCCACCCAAATTTCGTTCCTTTACTAGCATTTTCTCAACTACCAAACACAAAAAAAAAAAAAACCCAAAAAGAGAAAAAAAAAGTTACCTGAAGATGTGAAACACATGACATATTTCGGTGAAAATTGAGGGTAAAAAAATATCAAACCCCAAGAAGGTTGGAGACGGTGGGTGAAAAGGACCAATAATAATAATAATATGAGGGAGCTTTTGTTTGATAGCCTTTTAGTTTTATTTATTTGAGAGAGGTTTTCTTTGTTTCTTTGTGTGAGTGGGAAATGGGGACGCTGCTTCAGACTTCAGGGTACTGCTGGGTGAAATAGAAGATAAAAAAGCTCACTTTACTCTTCACTTTTTTCTCTTCGGATTCGGGTTTCCTTCCTTAAAACGCTGCGTTTTAGTTTCCATTCTTTTTTTTTTCTCTCTTCATTTTATTGCCCTATACTCACACCGTTTCATTTTAAATTTTAATCTTTTTTATTAATATATCTCAAAATGATTTTTTTTTTAAATTTTAAACACAATATACTTTTATTTTTATATTTAAAATTTATTTTCAATTTTTTTTTTATATTTAGATATTATGTGCTAAATGATAAATCCCAAAAAATAATAATAATAAGTGCATGTATAACTATTATATTCTTTCACTAAAAAAACCCTATTAAAAAGGGGAAATTCCGATACAAAAGCTCTCTACTTTACGAGGATTGAGACGAGGGTTCATATTCACATTAGCTGTTACTTTCTATTAAATCTGAAGATTCATTTAATCATGTTATATAAAATATTAAAATTTATATATTTCTATCATATTTTATTAAAAAAATTAGATATTAAATTTATATCTAAATAAAAAAATAAAAAATATATTTTTTATTAAACTTATATATAATAATTATTAAAATTTGCTAAATGCTATCTGCTGTTATCATTTCACACAAATAACTTTCAAAACACATTGTCGTTTACTATTTGCCATGAACAAAGAGAAAAACCTAAAGAGCGAAAAACAAAGCCGGTAATCATGTAAACACAAACTGAAATGCGAAAGATTTTCACCATATATAATCAAATGTTCCATGAGAGAGAGGTTAAAAGGCGTGTACTCGTGGAAAGCTTGATTTCCTAACAACTCAACTTCTTCAACAGAACAAATGAATAATACCTATAGATATTTTCTTGCCAGGGCTCGAACTTTTGTATCAAAATGTGATGATGTAACACGGGAACCAGGCAAGTAGAGTGGATTAAGAAGAATCTGCCAATAACCAAAATTTCAGATAACAAAGATCAGCCAAAACATCATATTTCATTGCATAAAAGGGGGAGAAAAAAAAAACCTACTGAAAAGGTCCTAAGACCAAATAATATGATATCCTGGTTGAAGAATTTCTCCCATCATAGACTCATAGTGCAAACAGAAGAAACGAATTAAAACGAACAAAGATAACGCAAAAGAATGATTTTGAGTTAATCAACAAGAATGTACAAAACAATATCTATGCAGAGGACGTTGTGATATGGACCGACTCATAGACTCTAATGTCATAGACTTACAGATACAAGTCATCGGAAACAGTAGCAAGAGTTGGAAAATAGTAGTTTCTAAGCATGATGAATTTTCATGCAGAATTTCCTACTTAAAGATTTTAGTATCTTATGAGGCATATGCCTGTAACTATTTCGGAATCAACAATTTCCATGCTGCATAAAAAAAAAAAAAAAACTAGAAATAACATCAACCATTCATCGATACAATCCTGTCTTCAAAGGGTAAACACATATTAAGTCCAGTCAACTACAATCGAATCTTTATTTCTATGTAGGATCTAAATTGTATCAAATATACATCAATGTGTCTGAATAAGTCTATTGATTAGTTTCTTCTTGTTAAAGCTTTCTTTCAGTGAAGGCATTAACAGTCTTTACATATAGCAACTAGGATACAAATCTCATGGTGCATCTTTGTATCATGTGATTAGAAATTGTTCATAGAGAATACTAGAAAGCCTGGATTTTTTATCTGAGAGACTAACACATTCTGACAACTAAAGCATTGCAGAAGAAACAAGCATCAAAAAGAAAAAAAAATCAAGACAAAGACCTAGTGTATTTATCTGCCAGAATGAAAAGTGTAATCAAACCTTAATAGTCTGAGAAAAAGAGTAAACAGGAGAAGCGAGGAGCAGTAGTTACCTTTATATAAAGCTCATGAACCTCTTGGAAAAAGCTCTTGATTCCATCATCATTACGAGAGTCATGAAGTAGCATAAATCGAGTATGTATGATAAAAATCAAGGAAATATTAAATTGGAAATAGTAATACTGATAACAAAATATAAATTTGAGGGAACTGCAACACTCTCAAGCCTTCTAAATACTAAAAGATGCAGTTGACAACAACAATGGACAGCATAATAAAGATGACAGAAGAAGACAAGAACTTTACTGCTCTTCTTGTACAACACTACAATGGTAACTGAGCAGCATGCCCCTTAATGGCTGACAAAAGATCCTCATAAGAGCAGCAAACAATATCATGGCCATGTAGCATCAACACCAGCCAAACATTAAGTTGGCCTAGATACAGAACTAGAGTGTGTTTTTAAGGGTCTAGTTAAATAGGTTCTTTAATCTCAACAATCTACAATTATTCCTAGTTTACATGAGGCTGTTCATTTAAATGGAAAACTTCTTTTTCCCTGAGTTTGATTTTTGATAATTGTCAAACAATTGGATATTGCTTGTGTGTGCACTATATTAAATACATACTTATATGTTATGACAAATGTAAGTCAGTTCAGTACATATAAAGGATATGACCAGCTGTTACATAAACTGATACCACCAAATCATTAAACCTGTCAATGGCTTTCAAGAACCTGCAGCAGAAATGTAAATAAAAGTTATCAAGATATTTGGCAGTAAAATGAAACAAAGTTATATAGCAAAGCTTTGGATTTTTGTCCAGAATATGCTAACATGGATGTATTGTGAAAAATATAACTCACATCGCACTAGTGGTCCATGCAAGGTCTTGAACAATATCCAGAGCTGCATGTAATATGAATTGATGAAGCTGAGCAGCATCTTCTCTCTGCATCAAGCATTGCAGTCAGATAGACAGCAACAAGTAACAACAAATTCTGATACAAAGCCAAAAAATACACAAGCATAGATAGTATAAAAAAACACGTTAATCTTATGAAAATCCAACCACAACTGATTGTATAAAAAAAGGAAGAAAGATAAAACAAATACAAGACATAGGAAATTAGCTTATGACACAAAAATAACATCATGATAATAAAGAAATACTTTCTAATAATTAATTTGACCCAAATTAAAGGTCTGATGCATTATATACTTCAAATTATACATCCTGAGGGATACTAAGCAAATCTGATATTCAATTAACATTTGAACATTCTTTGTTCAGCAAATGAGCATTATCTCCCTCAAAGTCAATACAAAATTATTACTCCCGGATAATCAAAAGTTCAAAGCTACGGCATATGAACCCGAAAAAGTAAGGTGCAAATGCCCAAGCAAGTACAACAAAACAATTTTGGGTTTCCAGATGTATAACATAGAATTTCATTACAAGGAATAGTTATGTAGATAGATGCGAACAAACATCATACTTTAGCAGCAGACCCAACTTCAGCTTCATATATTGGGATGTCATTCCTGCTCACAATGATAAAACAAGCTGTAGATGCCATCCTTGTGATGTGGCAAGATCAACTCAGGTTGATGAAATTCTGACATCAAGAGACAGAAAACTTAGAGTCATAAAACAAATAAGAAAGTGTAATACATGTAGACAAGTGTAGCAAGGCACACACATAAGAAATTGAGTCAACAAAAAGAAGAGAAATAGTAATAATTCCTAAGCATAATGTATATGCTCAAAAGGGAGAGGGCTAGCTGACACAGTGTGTCAAACAGCATAGAGCATGTGGAATATCATTTAATTTTTTAAATTAATGAAGGTTCTCTGGTCATCAATACAAAGATTATTGCTTCTATCAGTCTAAGTGTGCACATTCAAGTTCGAGTGCATGAGTCAAGAGAGATGAGGGAGAGACTTTCCATCAAAACAACTCGCATCACTATTATCTAAATCATAGTCAATATATCTACATACCTTTATCAATACTGAGTTCCCAATGTTGTAGATAAAAGAACAGTTGTAACCAAAATCTAATCTTTTAAAAAAATTTTCCAAATCCATAATATAGATATAGATAAGTCAGATCATTGAAAATTAAGAAACGCATAGGAGCTCACTGCACTCATAGACTAAATAAGAACATGACACTCATACAAATATCATTTTTTGTCACTTTCTATCTAACGAGTAAACCAGTTTAGAATAAAAACAGAATCTTCCTCATGCTTTGAAATAAAGAATAAGCTGCAACTGGATTTATCTAAAACCTGAACATAAAAACTTTTGATCAACATAAAAATATATAAGCTTTCTGATGTTAAGAAGAAACCTAAATAGTGATGATTTGTGTATTCGTATTGTGTAAAAAACTAAAATTCATATATTCATATTATGTTTTACACAAAAATTACGTGCTAGTGTTGAAACGAAAACATGAAATACATTTTTTTTTTAAACCCACGTATAGTTATTGCTAAAATTTTAAAAAGTGTCACTCTTATGTTCTATTTTCCTATATTTTTCATGTCATGTTTTAGATTGTCAGGTCTTACACATCCCACCCATGTTAACTCCAGCAGTCAATTTCATCTGTCTAAGCTTTCTTGTTACATGCCAAAAGAACAATTGTTATATCAAGAATTTGTTTTAGTTGTCACAGAGTTGCCGCCTCATCATTTATAGCTCTGTTCTTTAATTGCAAACCAAATTAAATAAATTTGGTTGACACCAAATCTTGACCTGAAATCTCTCTCTCTCTCTCTCTCTTTTCTAATTAATAAGGTACAATTCTCTGCATTTCAGTCTCCTATTTGATCATTTCTTGTTTTATGAAAAACCCAAGATTCAGAATGTTGAAAAATTCAAATACGAATTCAAATCTAGAAAACCCAAAACTGAAGCGAGGCATAAACATCGTATAAGCAAAAAAGAAAAAGCCCCAGAGAGATGAGTAATTGGGTGTTTGATGCAAACCTGAACTCACGAATTTGCCAGCAGTGGAAAAGATAGGAACAAAAGAAAACACAAGTCAAACTACAATCCAAATCAAGCAACTCGTAAAACTTAAAAACATGGGAATTTGGTCCACAGTGAGTTAGAGTTAGTATGATATCTGTACGGATCAGATTCAGTTGGATTTTTTAAATATTATATAATATTATAAAATTTTAAATTTTAAATTAAATTTAAATCGAATTTTAATTCGATACAGATAAAATCGAATTTAATTCGATTTAGTTTATTAATTTTTAATATTTATATAATATTTTAATATATTTAAATAAATTTTAATATAAAATTATTATTTTTATTTTATTAAAATTTAAATATATATATAATTCAATTTGGTTTTTTTTAATATTTTATTTTTATTAAAAATTTTATTTAAATTATATATATTTAATATTTAAATTTGATACAAAATTTTTTATTTTCTTTTTGGCCCTTACTTGGAGGACGGGACATGACAATAGCCCAATGGATATCATTGTCGAAATCTTGTTTTTCTTTTTTAAATAAAAGAAAAAGCTCTTTAAAAAAATATTTTTAAAAAAATTAAAGATGGGTCTTGCTGTTGGCTTGGGATAGCCCAACCCATGAGGGTGATGGCTCATAATTTCCAATTATTAGTTCTAATAATGTTGTGTGAAATAATGAAAATGTAAGAAATTAATATCCATTTAAAATATAATATAATAATATAATATTTATATTATATAAATAAAATACATAAAAATAATATGAATAAAAATTTTAGTAATAATTATTATATATTTAAAAAATTAAAAAATAATATATTTTATATTTTTATATTAATATAAATTAAAATACGTAATTTTTATATAAAATATAATATAAATATATAAATTTTAATATTTTATATTATATGAATATATGAATAATCAAGTTTTATAATATATGCTTAAAATATTGTTGTTTTGAAAGGAAAAAATTTAATGTTGCATTTTTTTTTAGTTTTTTTTTATGAAATAGAGTAAAGCTATAAATAAATAAAAAATAAACAAATAAATATTTATTTGTGATTTATTTATTTATTTTTAAAAGTATTCAAACTTTATTCGTAGTTGATAAAAAAATTATTTTGTTCATTTAAGTTTAATTTATTTAAATAATAAAATATTTATATTTAATTTAATCAAATTAAACGAATTTATTTATAAATATTAAATGAATATATTCATAAATATATATAAATAAAAATATTTATAAATATTTAATAAATTATAATAAAATAAATATAAACAAATAAATATTAAATGAATATAAATAAACTTTAAAATATAATTAAAAATAAAAAATATAATAATATTATTATTATAAATAAATAATAAATAAATTTTAAATAAATTTAGTCGTATTGATTTTTTAATAAATAAACATTAAAAAATATTTAAAATGCGTTTATTAAAATTAATAAACGAATATAAATAACCAAAATTAAATATATTTACGAATAATTGGTCCAGAAAGCTGTGTTTGTGTACATGAGAATGAAGGAAGAAAAGTAACAAGCGACTGGTAGTAAAAGAGAAAGAGAGGCACAGACAACGAATAAAAACAGAGCATGCTCTTCCCACAACAGCGCCTTACAACAAAACCATGAACAACAACAGCCACGGAGAAGAAGATCAGCATAAGAAAGAAAGCCTTGATTCCAGATTCAACCAAACCCTCAGGAATGTCCGAGGGTACCTTGTTTTTCTATTCCAATTTCCCATAACTTTACTTTTCTTTCTCTGTTTTTCTTCTTTGTTTTTCTCTCTTGTTTGTCAATGTTGAATCTGGATTCTTGTGCCCGTGTTTGTCATTGGATTTAGATACCCATTTGAGAAATATCTTCGGATCTTTCGATTCTCATTTCCATTTCTCTAGTCATGTTAATTTTCCAAAAACTTTTAATTCTGTTTGTTGGGTATAAATTGTTGATGTTTGCACTTAGATTCAAGCACCCTTTTGGGAGTTAAAGTCAGATCTTTCTTAGTTCTACTTAATGGCATAACCCCAGTTTCTTCTTTTTTTTTTTTGGAAGATGATTCATTGTGCTTAGATGATAGCATTCAACTTTATTTTCCTGAACATGTCTTGATTTTGGTGTATGCTGTAATTTGATTGTGACATTATGGTAGGTGAAACGTAGGAATCGCAGGGATTAAAAAAAGGTTATTCCTTTTCATTTAGATTGGTTTTTCCTGGTAATAAAAAGGACAATTATTGAACGTGGGAAGTTCCTAAAGATTATGGAACAAAGTTGACTTGTGTTTTTATGTCACCTTTATCACCTCGTCCATGTGGTTTTAATGAGTGTTAGAAAATTTGTGGTGATTTCTACTTGTATCTTGAATATAAATGCTAATGCTGCGTTTACCATCATTGTCGATTTAGAAACTACCTTTATCTGAGAGTACATGTTAACAAATTATGTAACTATTTCGCTATGGTGTCCTTAGAGAGTTGGAGTGTTCACCCATTCTTAACTTTGCTTCATGCATTTGCCTCTTTCACAATTATTGCTTTGGGTACAAATAATAATTTTCTTTTATGCCTGTTATTAAGGTTGCTTAAGGGTCGCAGTATTCCTGGTAAAGTCTTATTGACCAGAAGGCCAGATCCACTTGATGATTCTGGCTTACAGGAACGATCTCCCAGTTATCAAAGAAGCTTCTCACAGAACGACGTTGGCACAAGTGATGAAATGGACGAATCCATGGAGGTGATGTTGAGAGTGATTATCTTTCGTGTCTAAAAATTATTCTATTACTACAGTACTAAAAAAGGATTGTTGTAGTACTAGTGTGGCTTTTAGAGTTCTTTAAAGTCAGTAATATTATTAACTGAAAAACTTTCCTTTCATGTAGGGAGGGGTCAGAAATACAAATAACTCAGATAGTAATACAACTGTTGATAAGTTAAGTTGTTCGAACTTGAACATCCCGAAAGCTGCCAAAGAAGTTCAGAAGTCTGCAATGGGTGCAAGAGCTACTGATTCTGCCAGGGTTACAAAGTTCACTAGAGAGGTGTCAGGGCAAATGGTCATATTAGGTACCATGTCTACTTTGTTGCTTCCAAAATGATTTATATATTTATTAGAGCCTGTTTAACCCCACTGAAACTTTTATAAAAATGTTACTTGATTAGAGCCATTCAAAAATTATTATAGAGTGAAATTGAAATAGGCTCTACAAGCTGCTTGGTCTACCTCAAAAATTGAGTTTTTGATAATTGTTCTTAGTTTTTGGTTGCAAAACTCCTAGCTTATGCTTCTTTAGTAGAGAAGCTGTTTCTAAGGCAAACACCAGCTTGTTTCTTGTCAATTGGTGATGCCATGATGACATTAAGATATATGTAAAGTTTGAATAGCATGATGACATCAAGATATATGTAGTTTTTAATATATTAAGAATACTGCAGGACTGCTTGTAATCTGTCGATGCTAAAGCTACATGTTGATATCACTGTATGAGCTGTTTTATCAAAGTGTGTTCTCCTTTCTCTTACAAGTTTTGAATTATCATGGTGTTTGCATTGCTAAAAACTGTTAGAAACTTTTTCCCTTCTTCCAACTGTCACATCAATAGATGCTATGAACAAATTCTGGTTTGCTTTGCTTTTAAACAATTAAATTAGTAACCAGAAGGATATGCAATTGTATATTGAATGATATCTATGGAAAACTTACTGCTAACAATTGGCACCATCTAAGCCCATTCCAAAACAAAAAGGCTTGCAGCACATGCAATGTGTAAAAGAGTTACAGGAACATTATGAAGCTTTCTTTTTTGTCTCTTGTTTAAAAAATCAAATTGAGGTTCAAATAGCAGCTAGAATAGCCTGTAAATCAACTAACTTATATAGAAAAAGTACTTCTACTAAAGAATACTTGAGGAGATGCACGAATAGGTTGCTAGTAAAGTGAGAAACTTGCAGTTCAAAGTTGAAGTATAGAAGGTAAAAGCAGAGCAATAAGTACAAGCAATAACTTGATGGCAAAATTTGATTTGTCTCTTGGACTTTCTGCAGAGGGATTAAAGATTTAGCATAGAAAATAGGGGAGGGGGGAGGCATTTAAAAATCTAGGACTTGAATGAAAATACTTTGATGCTAAATAATGAAATCATATTACATTTTTATGTGTCTAAAAATTACATATAATATTAAACCTTGGAATTAATCTAATTTTCTAACAATATTTTATTGATGAATGTGATTGGCTGTTATGGTAAGTTTTGTCATAAAAGGTAAGTGTGACACCATATGTGGAGTATGATATACATGAGAGACTCTCATTATGCTCTTGAAAAAAGTCAAGGGAAGAATTTTTAACCCATCTGATATCTGACCTACCGATTAAAAACTCTCTTTAGCATCCCAAAGTATGGAATTAACCTAGGGACCTTGCTAATATTCCGAGGTTAAGTCCACTTGCTTGATCGCTTGTATACTTCAAAAAAGTACTATTGCAATAGGCACTACAAGGCATCTTTAGGAAAAAAAAGGCAAAATTGGTAAAAATAGAATGAACAAAAACAAGCATCTTCAGTTTTCAATTTTCTTTGAGTTTTTCTTGATTGCTTAAATTATCTTTTTATGCTATGCATTTAAGTTATGCATTAGTAGTAATTAACATCTAATGGGTGATGTCATATCTGGAAAAAGTCATTTAGTAGAATCAAAGAGGACTAGATATTGGTGTTGGATATTATGTAATGATTTTGTTCATTATTTGGTTCTGCTTGACTATATTTGTTGCTTTACTTGCCTATCTTCAATTTTCTCTCTGTGATGTGATGTTGATTTGTTGTGGCTTGTGTTGTACATTTTAGAAGCTTTTACATTCATCTTTGAATGCCCACTTTTTCTATCTTATTAGCAAGAAACAATAAGCAATATACTGTTTTGGCTTGAAATCTTCATTCTGCACTCTGATGTGTGGATCATACTCATTCTGGTCTTTTATTATTCTATATGCACTTTTCTCTGTGTTAATTTGTATCATAAAACACTTTAATTTAGCTATCAGTACATCTTTCTTGATGTGATAGAGAACCTACACTTTAGCCATTCCTTTGCTTTTCCTGAACTCTAGTTTCACAATCTTTTTATTAGTAGGATCATAGTTTTGATTATTGTTATGTCCTTGTGCAGAGAGATTACGTGAGTTAGCTTGGAGTGGTGTTCCACCTTACATGCGTCCTAATGTATGGAGACTTCTGCTGGTAAGCTTGATGTTCAAACTAAACTATCAGTTTTAGGAATTGGGAGGACTTGGACTGTATGAACCAATTTGTTCCTATGCTTTTCTGCAAAGGCTGTGAAATTTTTATTTTATGCCATTAGCATTAGAATGATGCTAATGATTTTGCTGTTAATTGCTGCCACTTTTAATTAGTCCATGTAGAATCCTCTAAATAAACAATTCCTATATGATCCACAGGATTGTACTTTTAAAGCTTTAAGACCAGTTAATTGGTGCATTCCTAGTGTGATGAGTTCTTCTGTTTAATGATGCCAAGATACTAGGCTTTGCTTTTAGATGTATCCTTTTTAGGAGGTATTGGTTTTAGTTTATTACAAATGCAATTTAAGGGGGTTGGCTTTCTCTTAATTTATGTAGTCTTGGTGGCTTTCTATTCCAAGTAATGGAACAAATGAGGCCACTTTTTAGAGCTGAAGAATCTACATGTCTCATATTTGATATCCAGGTTTAACAAATGTGTTGCCTAATGGATCTAGGTTGTCTTTATTAAATAAATTTTGTTGCTTGTTTGGAATTAAAATATTAACTGACAACAGGGATATGCACCACCTAATTCAGATAGAAGGGAGGGAGTTTTAAGGAGGAAACGCCTTGAGTATCTTGATTGTGTTGCTCAATTTTATGACATTCCGGACACTGAACGGTCAGATGATGAGATCAATATGCTTCGCCAGGTGCCTTTAGCCCTTACTTAATTCCCAAACTCGATTGTCAGCCTTCTATATCTGATTATTAACAATTGTTATTTTTTTCTGTTTGTTAGATTGCTGTTGATTGTCCTAGAACTGTACCTGATGTTGCTTTCTTTCAGCAAGCACAAGTTCAAAAATCCTTGGAGCGCATTCTTTATACATGGTAAGATGGTATTTGAATTGGTGAATTCACATTTATTGATGGCTTTCTTCTAGCATGTAAAGCAGACAATATTTTTTAAGAATTGAAAATTATTTCTGCTGTTATTGATACCAGAATGCTTTCTATATGGAACAATTATGTTTGAATTAGTTTATTTTAACTATTACTCATTTTTAATTATACATATCCTAAGGAATGATTATTTTTCCTTTTACTATTTACGGTTGCTTCAAAGCAACGATGGAGGAGGCAAAATACAAATGGTAGAAAGCAAGTAACAAAACAACAACAAAATAGTATTAATTTTACATTCACATTCAGTTCTTAAGAGATTATATTTTAGAAAGTATTTTAGATTGTACTATATTTATTCAATCCCTGCTATGTTTTCTTTGATTAACCAATATATTTCTTCCTACTAGCTTCATTTTTTTTGCTTTATATGTTTGAGTATTTTCTTGTTCTGTGTTAGGATACAGTTTTTGGATTTTTTTTTATGGTAGTTGATAGGATCATAGAATTTTACGATCCAATTCTACTATTCATAGAAGTTTACAATCTAATTCTACTTTCTGATTGTGTGGAACCCCAAATGGTCTTAAGTAGGATCCTATTTAACTACTGCAGTTGGATATGTACGTTTCACTAAGATAGATGCTTGTTTAAGCTATATCCAAATAATTTGTATGCTGTAGTTCAGATTCTAGTGTGTGAATACTTTACAAAGATATCCTGCACCAACTGTTAACTATTGCCTTTACTATGATGTTTTCTATCTTCTGGTAAATCTTCCATGTTTAGTAGGCCTATGAACAGTAGACATAACAAAGTTCTCTCGAATATTGGTATGATCCATCATTTGATTCTTTCTGAAATGTGAACATGATTTTCTGTCTATCATATTATAATGACTTCATGATTGCTGTTATTTGGAGAGCTTAGGCATCATGTCGTATTATGATATTTTTTATTACAGCAGAGCTTTAAATCTACTATCTGACATTTTGCTGCTCTAGTTCTAATGTAAATCTCTAGTGCTGTGCCCTGATCACTTTTTTTTCTTATTAAATTGTGTTTAAATTTCATATTTTGAGTGAAAGTTGATGACTATTAATTATTAATTTCAAATGGAGCTATAACTTTGGGCAGCTTGAGAAGATGCTATGAGATCCCAGTGTTGTTTTGGGGGTAATTGATGTTTTTCTTCACCTTCATCCACAGGGCCATTCGACATCCTGCAAGTGGATATGTCCAGGGGATAAATGATCTTGTCACACCCTTTCTAGTTGTCTTCTTATCAGAGTACTTAGAACGGAGCATTGATAGTTGGTCAATCTCTGATTTATCTTCAGAGAACATCTCCAATATAGAAGCTGATTGCTATTGGTGCATGTCAAAGTTGCTCGATGGCATGCAAGATCATTACACATTTGCTCAACCAGGAATTCAAAGGCTTGTATTTAAGCTGAAGGAATTGGTTAGGCGTATTGATGGTAAAATATTTAGGGTCCTTCATTTGTCTCCCTGGCGTTCTTTTTGATTCAAGAAATCAATCACCTTTTTCTTTACGAAGGAAATTTAAGCCTTCATTTATTGTGAAGACATTTTTTTTTCTGTAAAAGGTTCTAAAGAAAGCAAGAGGTTATGCATGCACGTGCAAGCACCTTCTAAATGTTACAGAGAAAGACAAGAGGTTTTTGTGTGTGTGTGTGTGTGCATGTGCACTTACTTTAGTTTAAGGGCAACAGAGAAAAGATGCATGTGTTTGTGTGTGTCTATCTTTGTGGATAATGTGTAATAATCCCCTATATATAATGTACATGTGATTTTCTTTATTTACTTAAATTTTAATTTATATTTTGTATGTTCTAATTTCATCTCTTTGTCTTATTAACTGCTTTATTCTGTTAACTTGTACCAGAACCTGTTTCTAGACATATGGAGGACCAAGGACTTGAATTTCTTCAATTTGCTTTTCGCTGGTTCAACTGTCTACTGATACGTGAGGTAAGGTTTAATCCCACTATCCACATCCATTCATTTTAGTTGTTTAGTTATCCTGCATTTCAAACTTTTTTATGCTTGATTGAAAAACTAGTCCAACTTTTAATTTTTCTTGTGGCTCTGTTAGATTTTTTTAATCTTTTTTGTTTAACAGATCCCTTTCCATCTAGTAACCCGTCTATGGGACACCTATCTTGCTGAAGGAGATGCACTGCCTGATTTCCTTGTGTACATATTTGCCAGTTTTCTTTTAACGGTGAGGAGTGCTTTAACTTCCTTTGTGCTGATGTAATTTACTAGCCTTCATCTTTGACTGCATATTTGCTACCTTAAGGAGATACAGCAATGATAATTGTGAAATAAAAAAGATGCATTTTTCTGTGCGTGTTTTTTCTTTCTTCTTTTTCTTATCCAAAAGAAAAAGAATGACTATTTCTCTGTTAAAAAACATAATGATTGCTAATGGTGAAGCTATTGGATGGATGACATTCAAACAGAAAGCGAGCATCTCTTGCAGCTTCCTTCATAGGGATAAGAGCTTGTGTTCTCTCAAATTTACTTTGTTTAAATTGGTTGATGCTTGTTTTCCTGGATTGCTGCAACTGCCTGTTTACTTATTGTTTCTGTTAAGAAGTAATTTGAACTTCACTTCTGCATGGTTTGCTTTTCTTCTTTCTTTCCTTAAATTTTCTTTTCATTGTTTCCATTATTTTGTCTGATTTGTTATGGACTCTGCTGATGAGCTTTGCTGCTGTGATTTGTAATCATTCAACTGCAAATTTTTTTGTTACATAATTAATGATACTTCAATATTGGATTTCTCTGGAAATATTTTTCTTTTCTCTATGATTGTTCATAACCCTGAAGACTCTTGCAAAGCTAAACTGATGAACCTTATGTTCCATATTTTCAGTGGTCGGATAAACTTCAGAAGCTTGATTTTCAAGAGTTGGTGATGTTCCTTCAACACCTTCCAACTCACAACTGGACATATCAAGAGCTTGAAATGGTACTTTCAAGGGCATACATGTGGCACAGTATGTTTAACAGCTCTCCCAGCCATTTGGCTAGCTGAACTCAAATTTTATGTTTACTATTTATTGACCAACAGTTACCTCATTTTCCCCTTTCAAAATCCCATTTGTTTGTTGATCAAAGAGGCTCAGAGAGCAATGTGCATGTTTTTCTTTTCAAGTAGAGGCCAACAGATGTTCCTACTTGTACTGTGGCATGTAATTTCACACATTTGTAATGCCAAGCAAGCACTCCTTTGTACATTTACCTTGAACTTGAGAAATGACATTTTCATTGTACAGCAAATTTTGAATTCCATTAACAGAGCTGAGTGAGAATGCTGTTTTCTTGTTTTTATTTTGATCACAAATTTTTTTGCCATTACATATTGGTATCCTATTGACGAGTCTATTGTTCATTGTCATGGATAAAGATCTATTTAGATGAATGATAAGATCAATTTAAATGAAATTAAAACAGCAATAATGATGAGATAGAGTATTGTAACGATGAGATTAAAATTAATAGTTGAGATACGTATTTAGATGCAAATATAGCGGTAGCAGTTTGTTTGGATATATTCGTGACTACTGGACCCCTTTCCCCTTCAATGAGAAATTGGAAAGGTGATGCAATTGAGCGCCCCCTAATGCATTGGTGGGGTGGGAGGAGGGGTTGCTCTTCAAATGCACAGCACGGTGCGGTTGTGGGTCAAAACCCTCTCTAATGCAACGGTAGATGGCATCCAAATGAAGCCTAAACAGTGTGGTGCCCGCAGACCATAGCCAAAGATTAAAAACCACTTGGTCTTCTTTTACATGCAGTTTCCGGTTTTAAAGTTGAATACTCGTATTGATCAGTGAAACAGTCAGCGTCCATTGAAGCTGTTCTGAGACGGCTAATTAAAGAGCATAATTGTAGAGTTTAACAGTAGATAACATAAGATTACCTGGACAAGTAGAATCAAATTGAACAAACTTTAACATAATTATGAGACATAACTATTACATCCAGTTAAAAATATCAATTAACAAACTCACATAAGTTGATATGCTCAATCTCAGTGGCCTATTTGCTTCTTTCTTTAGGGTGGTAGGGAATTCCTGGTCTTAGCATCTTGTTCATTGGTGCTAGATTGATTTTGAAACACAGAACAGTTATCTGGAGTATCTATCATTGCTAATAGTTCATCAATATTGCAAAGATCATAGTCAGACGAATCCTGAATCATAGACAATCAGATATTAGTTCTTCCAATGTTTACATTATCTCTATGGATAAATGATTAGAAACTCTCATGTCTTACCGTTGGGTAGATATTTTCAAAACTAGCTAGCAAGTTGGAGCTCTCAATCTCAGCAACTATGCCATGTTGATTGCTTCTTGCTTCAAGATAGGTGAAATTCTGGGAGGGATTACCATGTTCACTAGTGCTGAATTGATTTTGAACCACAGCACTGCCAGTTGGTGATTCTGGCTGTGTTATTAGCAATCCACGGACATCTACAGAGTCCTGAAGGATAGATAAATGAACCTTAGTTTCTAGTATTCTTTAAACACCTGTAAATGATTAAAAAGTTTCTTACTCTTGAAATTGCATCAACTGTAGCATAATTTCTCGAATTCGAGGCTAGGTTAGAGACTTCATTCTTATCAACAAAATCATGTTGGTAGCTTGTTTCATCATTCTGAGCACCATTATCTTGTTCATTGGTGCTAGATTGATTTTGTACTCCACCAGATGCTTCTACCTCCACTAATGGTTTATTGGAGTCAAACTGGCCCTGAATCATGGATAAATAGACATTAGTTTGGGACAAGTTCATCGTGATTGAAAGTGTTGAAAGAATTTCTCAATAAGGCATCTAACCTCTGGAGTAGTTGTGTCCTTTGCAACTTGATTTCTTAAATCAGAAGGCAAATCGTGATTTGATGCACCTTTGTTGTTTGAAATGCTGGCGTCCTCAGATCGTTTCATTAATTTACCCAGAAAAAATGTGGTCTGCAAAAAATTTCAGGAAGTAAAAAGCTTGGACATCAGAGTCAATTACTTCTACATCTTTATCACATCATATTTAGTGATCTTTTTGAAGAATTTAGAGCTATCTGTGATCAACTTTCCCAATTGAGTTCATTATTCATGAAAAAATTTCACAATTCAGGAGCAAAACAAGAATGAACTTGCATGGAAGAGCCCGAAACAGTCAATAACATGCCTGATTAGGGGGAGTTGCAGTATTGAGTTGATATTCATGCATGACCCAGACAGCCTTGTTCCTGTTGTAGCATCTACACTTGGTCTTGTCTTTGTTGTTTTCGTTCATGGTCTTGTTTTTCTTTGTGCTGGTACCCTTAGGACGACCTTCATGGAAAACTAAAGACCTCTTGCTGCCAATCTCTGCTTTGGTATCACTAGCCAGTACCTTTCGGCGCCTGCCTGTTGACTTCCAGTATCCTTCCTTGGTGACTCTTTTGATCAGATTACCTCTCTGGTACTTGTGATTCAATGAGTAGATGAAATACCACTCCCTACAACCTGGCTGTAGCACTGAAAGCCCTGGAAAACACGTTTACACAGAGTCACAAACACATGGGAAGTAAAGTTTAAACAAGATCTAAGTACTTACCAGGTAATTCCCAAGGCTGAAACTCGCAGATGTCTTTGAGTTGAGTGATATATTGGACGAGAGAATCATGGCCGAATGTTATATCTTCTAGATATCCAATAAGTTCTTCATCGGATGGTCGGAATCCATATCCCTTTATATCGTTCATTTCCTCCGAAATCTATAAGATCAACCTGGAAAACGTTGCAATGGAAGAAGGAAGGAGCCACCAGATTATGTTTTATAGCACAATGAAGCTGAGACTCCTTCCTTGCTACTTAATTGTGTAAAATTCTTTGGTAAATCCTACTAAAGATTTACCAAAGAATAAAGCTTAGTCAATTTTATTGGGTTTCTTCTGGTAATTTCTTGTCCATAGCAGGGGTGATAAGTGAAAGTTTTTTTTTTTTAATTAAACCAATAGTTTAGGGACAGGTTGGCTCAATGGCCCTCCGCATACTTCCGTTTCTCAGCCATTCACAGCCTAATGATGTCAACAAAAGGAGAGTGAATGGCATTTTTCTTTAGGGAAATTACCAGCCAATTTCAATCTACTCCATTCCAGGGTATCTTCTTTATTATTCTCCTTTTGACTGCCATTGGCCATTGGCCACCGGCCACTGGCCAGTCATCTTCTGGCCTTTTCCATCTTTCTTTTGCTAGTTTGTTATGTTCCCCACTAAATGGATCTTCCTTCGTGTACATGATTTATTTGTACATGTGGGTTAAAGTAATTGAACATGTCTATTTAGGTTTTTTATTTATTTTTTTAACAAATGGCTACATGTATAATTGCGTTAAACTTCAAATTCGAAATTTCAAAACTTTAGTGTATAAAATAATATTTTTTTCTAAAAAGTAAAAGGTTTAAAATTAGAACTAAATTCATGCATTTAACTCCACCGTATTTGAGTTAAATCAAATATATTATAGGAATCAACTTGTGTCCATTTGCTATTAAAATCTATGCTTCTTGGCTTGAGCTTGAGCCACTTCAGTTTCCATGTCAATGCTTGATCCTTCATGCTCCATGCAGGATCTTTTTCTGAATGACTCATTTGAGTAGGAAGATTCAGTCATGCCCAAGGAGGGAAAGCTTGAGCCCTCTATCTCAGCAGCGGCAGCTGATTTGCTTCGTTCATCAGGGTAGGCAATTCCATTGTCAATCAAATTTGAATTCCTGAACTCATCAGCAACTTGCTGGTTGATGCTAGATTGATTTTGAACCCCATCACCATTGTCATCAGGTGCTTCCTGCACTCCATACAACTCGTGAAGGTATAGCCCGTCCAAGCATAAATCATCAAAGCCAAACAGGTTCTGAATCATATATAGAAAAGCAAATATTAGTTTTCGATATGTTTATTCCATCTATGGACAAATAATCTGAAAGTTTCTCACCATTTGGCTTGTATCTGCTATAGGACAGCTACTGAAATTATCAGGCAAGTTGAAGCCATTATTCTCTGCAACTCTATTATGTTGATTGCTTCTTTCCTTAGGATGAGTTTCATCATTGCCAATGACAACATTTTGGAAGGAATGATCATGTTGATTGGTATAGAGCTGATTTTGAGACAAACACAAAAAAACAACAGATGTTAGATGAGCCATTGATTAATAATCTGCAACATAATTTTCGAGATTTCATGGCTTCAGGTTTGAGATTACTTCATTCCCATCATTGACAAAGTTCTCTTGATTGCTTCTTTCTTCAGGGTATGTCTCATAGTTGTCATTAGTTGGTTCACTTGATTGATTTTGAATCCAATTGTAGTCATTAGATACTTCAATCTCGACTAATGGTTCCTGATGAAAGTCTAGTTGAACCTGAAGTATAGACAAAACATAAACTTGTGAAGTATTCCTCATCATTGACATGAAAAAAAAAATTTATAGCAATAACTTTTCGTATAGGAAATCTAACCTCTGGAGTCGGAATATGATCGTGTTCAAAGTAATTAGAACATAATTATTGACTTGTTTCACATTTGTTATTCGATGTTATTATGTTATATTCTATAAATTAAAAACACGTATATACACAAACACATATAAATATATAAATACATACATATATATATATGCGTGTCGGTTGTTATGTTAATAAATATCCGAAAATAAGTAGTTAAAAATACGGACCAGTTAAATCCCAAGGCTCCCAGCTGCAAATATCGCTCCCAAGATCAGTAACATGTTGGACCAAGTAATCAGAGCCGAGCAATAATGTTCTATTCTGTAGGTATCCGATGAGCTCTTGTTTGGACGGCGAGAATCCATAACCTTTGAAGTTGTTCATTTGAAGGGAATTTCTAGCAGGAACAAGAGAATATAGCAAGCTAAAGGGGGAGCTTTGCTTTAATGTGAACATGAATGTTGAATAAATAGAAAATAATGAAGCAATCACTCCTTCGGTCCCAAGTCTAAAACAAGTCCTTGAGACTAAAGCTGTGGAAAATATTATAGGTGGACCCCACAATCCGTGTCAAAATTTTTCAATTTCTTTTATTTTTGAAGTAATTCTTTAAAAAAATAGTAATTAAGGAAGTATTCATCTTTAATATATAGTTATCTTTAAATGATAAATAAATAATTTTTTATATATTATATTATTAATAAATTTGTAATTGAAATGTCACATTAAAAATTTTTTAATTTAATTATTAAATTAAATATTTTATTATAATTTAAAAATTATTCATGACATTAAACTTTAAAAAAATATTTAAACCTGTAATACAGTATGCTTCTTTTTGCATGTGCACTATTAAAGTTTGCTTTTTAACCAAAAAAATCTACTACTATAATATATAATTCGAAAAATTATTTTATTTATTGCAGGTGGAAATTTTAGATTCTACAAATAAATTTAATAAGATAATATATGTTTTTTAAGATATGTTTAAAAAATTAAAAATAATTAAAATATATGTTAATATTTTAATCTTTCTTGTAAAATTAAAAATAAAATATATGTTAACACCAATTCTTCAAAACCCAATTTGTAAGTTTCGCTTAAACCCATCACCTATTTCTCTTTTGATTTTTTTTTCATAAATTACTAATACCTGTTTCATTTTCACTATTTTTAGATGCAAATTGAAGCATTGAACAATCACTCTGTTTGATTTCTTTGAAAAAATTTACTAGAAAATAATTTAAAAAATCCTAATGTATTATAGTTTGAACGTTCATTTTGCAGGGCTTACATTGTGGGCTTATATTATTGCCAATGACCGCTTGATATATGTTAGATTCTTAGTTATAGTAATTAACGTTAAGATTATTAATATCAAATAATGTTTTGATTTTTTAAAAAATATAATATATACCAATATAGTTGTTTCGACATATTATTTTAAATTTTTGATTTAATATAAATATATTTATAAACATATATGAACTTATATATTATAATATTATTAATAATCTACAAAATAAATATGTATTATATTCAAAAATAAAATAAATAAATTTAAAATCATAAGAAATAATATCATAAATTTCTCATGAAATTTTTAAACACTTAATCTGATTGTATGATATTTAAATAAATATTTTTAATATAAATATTAAGATAAAAATAAAGAGATGAAAAAAATTAACCAAAGATTTATAATTGTTAAACTTTATAAAAGAAGTATAATTGATTTCTTGAAAAAAAATTGAAATACTTAAAAACTTTGTTTTAAAAAAATAAAGTATAAAAACAAAATTAAAATTAAAAAAAATTCAACTTTTAAAAGTTATTTTATTAATTAATTTTATTTTTATTAGATTAAAAATAATTAAATAACAAAAAACAAATAAAAAATTATAAAATATATTTTACATTCATGTACTGACTGAAATAAGTTATTTCATCAAAATTTAATGAAATAAACCAAAACTAACAAAAACAACCGATATTATCCAATACTAAATCTGATATGAAAAATCATCTTTGAGTGTATCGTATTTTGATATAACAAGAGCATATCGGTTGATATGGCCGGTATTGAAATAAAATTAACAACTATGATTAACGTTCATGACTGCCTCAATTTATAATAATAATAATAATAATAATGCATGGGTGAAACATCAAGCATCCCACAGCAAAGCCCGTCTTTCCAGGCCACCTCTCTTCAATGGCTCTAACTACAACTATTGGAAGAAAGTCTGATGGTATACATGAAGGCCAAGGAAAATGAATTATATATAAGACAAAACATCTTTCTACTCATTTAACAATTGTGAATCTGTCAGTGGTAAAATAATGATTATACAAAAGGAGAAAAAGGAATAATTCTTGTTCCCAAATAGATTTTTCAATGCTCAAACAATATGAGCAAAGTGCTTCAATATTTCATTTCTCTTCAAATTTTCTTTTCTGCAATATTTTCTCAAACAAAACAGTCCAAACATAAAAATACTCAAAGTATCAAAAACTCATCCCTAATGTATACTTTCCCTTGTTATATATTATATATGAGAGCATGTACGATGCGAAAAGTGAGCCATGTCTATGCCAAAAAGAGGAACAAATACACAACCAACCAAGCTGTCACATTAAACCAAAGGTTGATGATAAGATTATAGGTAATGGTATCAGAAAATGAAATTAAAATCAAAAGTTGAAAGTTCCAAAATTTAAGGAACGCTTGCTTCTTTTGCCGGTCATTTGCATTATCATATCTATGAACCGCTTAAGATTGCTTCCTTGTCTAAGTTACTGTGTATTTGAGAACAATTATTTGAATCTAACCAGGATAATCTCTGCTCCTTAGCGTCCAACAAAAATTCAAAAGCATGTCAGGTTATGCAAATAATATTCATTAATCATAAATAAAACAACAGGAAAGTAAAAGGGAGAAGCTTCCATGATTAGAATACCTTAACAATCTGAAAATTCCACTTAATTCATTAGGCACTTCCAACCTGTCCCGGCTGCAAGCCAGACCATCTGTGATCTGAGAATTCAGGTCCTGAAAGCTGTATTTGAGATTATATGATGCAGTGAAAGCAGAATATGGTTCGAACAACTGATACAGGTATTATTGCAAGGATATCATGAACCATAAATGTAGGAAATCTTGGGCTACTTGCACACCAGCAGCCTAGTATGCCAAAGAACATGCTTCACAAAGTCAAGGCTCTTCTAAGTAACAATCAAGCTCAGACTTCCAAGAAGCCACCTTGTAGCTCTGCTTGCAGATGCATATCTGCTAAAAGAGTCAAGCATAGATTACTCAATGCTGTGTGATGTTGAACAACTAGAATCACCATAGGCTGAAGCAGTTGTCAATTTGCTGGAATCAATTGCATACTCATATTAAACATTAGTAACAGCTTAATGAAATCTATTTAACAGCACCTTACTATCATCACATAGAAATCAATCAATGAGAACTCAAAAAAATCTAATTTTAGTTGATTACTGTAAAAGCAAAAACAAACCATATGTCACTTATGGATGGCATTCTTAACTGTTTCAATCCATGATTCATTCTTGCAACTGAAGCTCAGAAGTGAACACTGAACATAACACAAGCAATTAACTCAGGATTGAGGATTCTAATACGAATCACGAGTTAAAGATCATCACCTGAGTTAAGTTCTTTGAAAAATGGCTTTCTGCAAAGTGCCCCAACTAAAAACATGTACAGTACTATATATTTGATAAGTTATATTTTTACAGCATGAATAAAAGCATTCTTATTAATCTATAAAGAGTCATCTATGTTCCAGAATACCTGTTTATAAGGCCCATCTTCTTCCACTAGATAACCGATCATCGGGACGGTTCTTCTAGTCATGTTACATGCGAAACATCAAGGAATTCTGTTCATCAATTTGATAGCATCATGAGAAAGGAAAAAATCTACTGTAACAGAATGATTCTCAGTTTCTCACCAGCACAATTGCTCAGTAGCCTGATTGCAGCAGCAGCATGAAGGCATGACTTGCATCTATGACAGAACTCGTTGTTTGTAAAATTAATTGGATAAATGAGTATTAAAGCTTTCCAATTGCACAGGGTGAGAAATTAATTGTCAACCAAAGGGAAAAAAGACTAACAGGAAACGTATTTACATAAATAAAAAGCCTGATTTGTTGAATCATACCACAAATTTTATTAGCAACAAACGAAGAAAATAACATGATACCATCTCTATTTATGGAAAATTACAAAAAAAAAAATGTAGAAGTAGAGGGTAAAATGTGGAAAGAACAACAAGAATACGATTACAAAGTACAAAGCAAGCTTCTGATATACTAGACAAGTACAAGCATAGTATATAATCCAAAAGGAGAAAGAAATGAAAAAAATTACAAATTTGTCTTATACTTGCAGTCTTGGTCCCCAACTGATGAATTAGATAAAAAGACAATAAAATTGCAGGAAGTGGACGAAACAACATGAATCTTAAACATATTCAAGACATTAACCTTGCCTGCAATCTTAGTAAAAGTGTTGAGGGGCAATTCACCACCCCTAACATCAGAAAGGAACTTTGAATCTGAGATCAAACGATCCGCCATGACAGTCAGTGTCAAGTTCATGGGAACCGTTTCATCTGCAGAAATCTTACCAGCTGGAATTGGAACCTCGCCTACCTGCTGACCCCTGTAATTCAACTGTGCAGTCGAGTCTTTGTACTTGAACCCAACTTTGTTTGGGTTCTTGATTGAAAGATCCACATCCAGGGTAGCGTTCAGCAACACTTGGAGTCTTGCCAAATCCAGAGAAACCTTCAGGTTGGATAAGGAGACAGAGTCGATGGTTGTCACAGGGCGTTTGGCCTTGAAAACGGTGAAAGCCAGGATGACTATCAGGATTATGATGAATATCAAAACACCCATCACTCCAAAACAGATGTTTCTAAGTCTAAGCCTACGCTTGATGCCACTGGCCGCTGTATTGCCTGGCTGTGCCATTGATTTCCCATTCCTGCTTCTCAATGATTCCACCTCCATATTTGATAATTCTTTCTTCCAGGCTGAAAATTTTGCAGATTTACACAGTGGGTTTGTTTTTATTTTGACAAATAATAAGAAAAAAGCACTCAAACTGAAGACGGACAGCCCATGCTAGCGGCTACCTAACAACGAAGAGCAGGCTAATAAAAGCATGTAGCATAAATTTCTTTATTATTCCTTGAATAAGCTAGGCTAAACGAGCTAGACATGAATGAATTTTTATTTATTTCTGTCCAAATTCACGTGATGCACAGAGGAAACTTGACTTGATTACAAGGATTTTCATTCAATTTGGAAACTTTATCCAAGAATGGTCAAAATCTAATATTCAAAAGAAAAAAAAATCAAATCAATGAGCATTTAAATATGTTGGGCGGTTAGGCAGTCCATGAGTTCATGTTTCATGCATTTTGTGGTCATTGTTGATATAATCATTGATCCAAAATGAACACAATATTTAATAAATATTTCGTAAATAAATTCAACTTTTTTATATTTATTTATTAAATTTAATAAATAATCAAGAATAATATTTAAAATTTTATTGATTAAATTAATATATCACCAATATAGTAAAATTTTTTTATATTCAATTCACTTATATATGATGATATAAATAAATAAAATATTTGATAAATAATTTGTAAATAAATTTGATTTATATTTATTTTAACTTTAACTAATAATCATAAATAATATTTTAAGATCTACTAATTTAACAAATAAATTATATCTGTAACAAATTTATTCTTATCGTATTAGTTTATCCTTCGATATAATCAATGTTAATTTAATTAGAATTTTGACTTTTTATCCTTTGTCTACTTTTTGGCGATTTTTTTTATAAGATATTCTTTGCTTACTTGGCTCAAAAAGGTTGAAGTATCATTTTCCTACTTTTTTTTTTTGGCTTCTAAGATATTCTTTGACTACATAGTTCCAAAGAAATGGAGAGTAAGATAGTATTGTTAATGGATCCTTGCAACCCAATGTTTTAATAATCAAATCAATCATATAAAAGAAAATAATAATCAAATCAGTCATTGAATCAGTTGAAGGGTCGGTTTTCAATTCAATTGATCAATTCTATTTTACTAGTATTAACTATATAAACTTTTCCAAAAATTTTAAAAATAACTTGTTGGTTATTATGAACATATTGATTTGAAGTAAATTTAACAATTCGTGTTTTTGTATCGTATAAAATATTAAATATTTATATATTTATATCATATTTTATATAAAAATTACGTGTGATAATTCGTACCAATATAAAAATATGAAAATTTTTTTATTTTATTAAATTTATTTATGCTTTTTGATAAAATTTTAAATCGTATTATTTTTATATTTTTATTTATATTATTTTTTTATCATATCATCATATCTTATTTAAAATTGTTAAATCTAATTTTAAATTTTGGATTGTTAAAGATCATATTTTTAAAACCTGATCTATAGTCAAATTGATAGAACTTTTGGTATCCGATTCAATTGATTAAATTGATCAATCCAATTCGATTTTTTATTTATTGATTAAAAAGATAACAATTTTCATAAAATTTTAAAATTTCATTCATCTTTAAAATCATTTAATTTATATCTCTTTTATTGATGTAATTTGATGAGATGAAAATTCATTCTCACTTCAATTGCTAATGGCATTTTGATCACAAACAAAGTTATGTGGTCAGTTCTACATTCAATTGATTGAACAAACTTTGTTCAAAAGAGGAAGAATTGATTGAATAAATTAACTAAATCGATCCAATTTTTAAAACACTATCGAAAACAAATTTTTTTCATTTAATTTTACTTAAAGAAGTACATTAAATTATTTGGGTGTTATTGATTTTTACATAGTTAAAAAAAAGTTTTAACTTTAATGTATTTAATATTAAATTTTAAATTTTTTATAAAATTAAAATATCATGATTTTTAATATAAAAAAATAAAAAACCATAAAAAATTAATTTTAAAATATAAAATAAGAGTTTTAAATATTTAATATATATATAATTTTAAAATATTCCAAAAAAGATGGACAAAAAAAAGACACAACAACTATTAAGATTTTTGTCAACTAGGCAAAATCACTAATTGTGTATGATATAAGGAAGATCTAGAGTTTAACATAATTTACTTCATTATAATTTTATTTAATAAACATCATTTGGCAAATGTGAGATTGTCCATCTAAATTTTGATAAAATTTACGATTTATATGTATGTTCATATGAATGTTCACTTGGTAAAAAAGTGAATTTCTTTGATATTTTAAGTTAAAATTCATGTCATATGAATATTTACATGATATTTATGAGTTATATTTTGTTAAATTTTTAACAATGATTGATGAATAAATAAATTTGAAATATTTTAAAAATCATCAATAAAAAAATGAATTTTAAAATAATGATTGAAATATAAAATGTTACATAAAAATTCATGAAAATATGGTGCATTTTGCTCCAATAATTGGTCTCTTTTGTAGATGTAGCAATTCATATATTAGTATTATATAAAATAGTAATAATTTGCATATTCATTTTATATTTTATACAAAAATTATTTATAATAATTTGTATAAACACAAAATATGAATTTTTTTTATTTTATTAAATTAATATATAATTTTTATTAAAATTTTAAATTATATTATTTTTATATTTTTTATTCATATAATTTTTATATCACATCATTATATCTTGTTTTAAATTACTCGGATTATTTTTGGTTGTAAAGTCATTAATAAAATGGTGCCAACTGGTGGTGGTAAACAACTGTCTTGGTCTTTGGCGTGGGTTGGACGTTGGAGTCGTGTGAGATCTTGCAATTACGGTGCCGTATTCATTATGCGTCTTCCGCTGGGAAAATGGTCGGCTTAAAGCCTTAAACTTGATTCACACTAAAAACTCACATTAAGCCGTTGTGGTTTTGCTTTAAAGGATGAAAAAAATTAAAAATGACAATTTTATTAATCCAATAATTTAGTTTTATAATAATTTATTTTACTTTATACTTTAACTATTTAATGAACAAACTTTTATTTTGTTTTTTATTTTTTCCTATCAAAGCCTAAATGTAATAAAAATAATAAGTTTAGGTATTTTAAAAATTTTAACGATTTTTGTGATTTCTTCGGTTTTAGAATTTTGAGAGACAATTTTAGGTTTTTAAAGGTTTTTAATTATTTTTTAAGTTTCAAAAAATAGTTTTAGATTTTTTAAATTTTTTGACGGCTTTTAAAGTTTTGAAAGTTTTAACAGACTTGAAAATTTAAAATATGATACAATAATATAATATAAAAATAATATAAATAAAAAGTAAGAAGATAATAGAATTTAAAATTTTAAAAAAATTATAAATAAATTTAATAAAATTAAAATTTTATATTTTACGTTTTTGTATTGATATGAATTATAACATATAATTTTCATATAAAATAATATATAAATATAATATTTTACACGTATGATGATATGAATTGTCATGTTTAAATTTTAAAGAGGGTTCTTTTAACTCAAACTAGAGATTAAAATATAAAAAAAATGATTTTTCATCTTAGTTTTCAAATTATTTATTTTTAAATTACGTGACAATAATATGGTTTAACCCATTAGAGTTAGTAAAGTTGGGGAGGAGATTTGTTCTCTTTTCTTGAATAATATAATAGTTGATTTGCAGGGAAAATATTTCGAAAATCAAATCTTGAATATATCAAGTTAATGCGAAAAAATGTGTTTTAAAATCCAATGACGGATCTATGTTGGAGCCAAAGGGGCCTTTGCTCTCAAAAAAATTTTGAAATCCCTTTATTGTATACTCCATCTTATAATTATTTTATATATTTAAATTAAATTAGATTAATTCTCACATTAATATTATAAATCGTAATTTAAAAAAAATTAAAAATCACGTTATTATAAATAGCAATTGATAATTATGTGTTGGATATGTGTTCATATATGATAAATTTGAACAAAATAATAAATAAAAAATATATAATTTTGAACATAAATTTGAAACTAGACTTGAATCAATATTTAATAAATAAAAATAAAAATAAAAATAAATTTAATTTGAAAATATATAAAATATTAATATAAATTTTTAATATTTTTAAATAATGATCGGATTTATTTAGATTCATCGAGTCATATTAGTCGGATATTAAGCAAAGAATTCCAAAAGCTAACCGAATTTCTGTTGCCCAACCCATGAAAAGATATGAGGGATGCCAGTAAAAACAAGGGATTATTAACTTTTGTATATATAGGTATAAATGTTTGAGTACTTGAATTAGATAAATTGGTCATCCGTTATTTATTCCTTCTTAGGAAATAGAATGAATACTAAGCCAAACAACAACAAAAATGAAGACCACAAATACATACATGACAGGATACAAATTGACATGCATTATCATATTTCCCAAACTGTTCTTGCATCCACATCCATTGCTTGTTAAAATTTTCCCACATTGGTAGCAGAACTCTGTCTTGCATCTGCAATCATTTCAAGTCAAATGGCACCACCATCAATAATAAAATGTTGCATCAATAATAAATACGAAAATAAGGTAAGAAATTGTAAATATTAAAATTCAAAATTATTGAATATTATTTTTTAAAATAATTATATAAATTAGTTAAATTAAGTTTAAGATAAATTTAACGATTTGTATATTTATATCATATAAAATATTAAAATTAATGAATTTATATTATATTTCACACAAAAATTATGGGTTATAATTTGTGTTAATAAAAAATATAAAATATAATTTTTTTTATTTTATTAAACTCATATATAATTATTATTACAATTTTAAATCGTATCATATTCGTATCTTATTTTCATATTATATTTATGTCATATTTTAAATTATTAGGTCTAATTTCATATTCATAAATTCCTATTTTAAGGTATTATAAACAGACAAGGTTGAAGTCAAAATTAACCATATAAAGTGAAAAATCGAAGCAAAAAGAAAAAAGGCAGAATGAGAAAACGTATGAAACAAGGCATGGTGTCTAACGTCAATTATCAGAAAGCCACTATTGATTCACCCAAATGGTCCAAACTCCCAATCCAAGCAGTTACCTCAAGGGTGAACTTGATATACAAATTAAGAAAAACAAGACTGTTGGCTTTTCCTTAACAATTCAAGATCAAAAGAACAAATAAATTGTAACAAAGAAGTTTCCCTACTGGATTTGATTGACCCTGATTAGAATCACAATGCAGTCTGGATGAAAAAAAAACATCAGAGAAAGAGAGATTCAAACCTGCATTTAACAATAGAGCAACCTAGAAGACGTTCAACACACTGGCCACAGCCCGGACATCTAATCCACTTCTTTCTCTCAACAAGCTGTCCGAAAAGAACATCATTTCTATCCCTTATTTCCTCACTTTCTTCACACTCATAACCAGCATGCCACTTGGTTTGGCACTGAAAACAAAAGAGTTGTTTGCAGTTGGGGCATTGGGATTTCTTCACATTCCCTCCGCACTCATTCAACACCAAAGCCAAGCAATTCCTGTTGGGGCAATAGCTTCTTTCAGACCCTAAAAGACAATTCTCGCATAAAAGATCACACCATGTTGAAAACAGGCTTGCTGGAATCATCGGCCTGCATATGAGAGGATCTAAATGGTGTTGGCAACTTGGTTCGGGGCATTCGATTTTCGCTGTGTTATCTTGGATTTTGACTTCAATGTATCTGGCAATGCAATCTTGGCAAAAAGGGTGTTTACAAAAGTTGGTGTTGTTGAATTTCTTGCCTGGCAATGTGGGTTCGATGCAAATCTCACAAGTGAAGCTAGAGTCAGGATGATCTTCTTCTTGAGGCTTTTCCAGGGCTTTTCTTGGTTTTCCTGGAGAGTTTCCCATGCTATATTATTCTTGTGTTTGGCTGTTAACAATTGACAGGGAGCTTGATTCTGACCTATATAGGCCATATCTTGGTACATTTGTATGGTTTCTTTAGGTAATTGGGCAAGGAACTGCTATGAAATATTGCCTCGGAACCAAACAATCTCATTGGAACTAACTTTTTATCAAAAAAATTATATATAATATATATAACGAGATAGATCGCAACTTAAAGATAGAAAAAAAAGTTATAAAGTCCGATTCAAAGCTGAAATATATTAAATGTTATTTTTTAAAAGTAATATACTCTTATAATTTAACCAAGTTTCATATTAATCCTCTTAATTTGAAAATTCCAATGTTAATTATTATAAAACCTAACTTTAAATGTTTATGAAACAGTCCTCTTGTCAATCAAATTATTAATAGTTACATGTTACTTACATAAAGCTTCTAGTTGGCAAGTTAAATGGATGTTTTTATTTTTTGGCCAATAACAAGTTAACTGATTTTAGATTGACAAAATAATTATATATATAATGACAAAATAATAATTTTTATCCAAAATCAATGAAATTGAAAATGTAATGTCAAAATTCAATATTGAATCACAATATATTGAAAATATTAATTTTAATCTACTTAAGGTTTTTTTAGAAAGTTTTTTAGAAACTAAATCATAATTTGAGTAAAGAAAGAGAGATTACAAATATTAAAATTTAAATTTCAAACTTATTAAATGTTATTTTAATTAATCCTCAATTCAATTTACATATATTTTAATTAAAAATAAGATGATAACAGTTTAGATCGAATTCAATTCAATTTTTTCGAATAATGTATAAAATTATAAATTTTTAAAATTTGATACGAATTGAATTCTATCAATTCTATTTGGTTCAATTTATTAATTTATTTTTTATATATTATTTTAATATAATTTTTAATATATTTAAAAATAAGATAATTATTTTTATTTATAAAATTTTAAAAAATATATAAAAATTAATAAAAATATATAATTTATTTTAATTTAAATTTTTTTATTTTTTTTAATTTAAAATTTAATCAAAAATTAATATATATTTAATATTTGAATTTAATTCGAACTTAATAAAAAAATGGGACCAAATTGAACACTATATCAGTAAATCTTGGATGTTTTTATCGTAAGGGAGAAATGGGCCATCAAAGTTGCCCATAAAAAGGTCAAGGTAGGCAGCTTCCAAGAAATTGCATATAAATATATAGTTGCGTTTGAGAAAAGCCAAGTTAAAGAGAAGGGTTATCCATTACGATCCCTATAAAAAAATTGATAAAATTTTGCCTCCTTAGTGTAGGTGAAGATACCGCAAAGGAATTGCTACTACTTCCTTTACTTATTTTATGATTTATTTAAAGCTAGAGTGGTCCAAATTCTATCAACAATGTTGGTTCAATTTGCATTGAAACAATTGTTTTCCTTTATCATATTTTGGTCACGCCATCTTTTTTTCAAGACTTATTTCAGCTTAAGACTTACTATTTCTTTTCTTTTTTTTTTAATTTAAATTTTAAGGTGTGTACCATAATTTTGAATAAATTTAATAATCTAAAATACGATATGATAATATAATACGAGACGATATAAAAAAAATATAAAAATAACACGACTTAAAATTAAAAAAAAATCATAAATAGATTTAATAAAATCAAAAAATTATATTTTATATTTTTGTATCGATATGAATTATAATATATAATTTTCATGTAAAACACGATATGAATATAATATTTTACACGATACGATGAAATGAATTATCAAGTTTAATTTTGAATTACTTCTTGTTATAATTTTTTGGAATTCAAGTCAAATTTGTCATTACATTATGGTTCAATAATGAATTTTATTATTGTATATCAATTTTATTCAATTTCGTCATTATATTTTTTATTTCGTTGATTTTGATAAAAAAATAATGAAATAAAAATAACAAAATTCCATCAATTATATTAATTTCTGTTAAAAAAATAACAAATTGAAAATATAATGGCAAAATTCAATATATTGATGAATTTAATGTTAATACCTAATTTTTGTTAAACACTAGAAAAATTGCCTGTGCTTCGCTATTAGATAAAAATTTCTTATTCAAGTGTGCTTTAATTTTAAAAAAATATTTATATATTTTTTTCCATATTTTAGTTTATATAAATTAGTTAAACCTCTTAAGAGTTTATATTAATAAAATGAAATATAAAGTAAAAGATGTAATTAGTATTTAAAAATTTATTTAATGTTAAATATATGTATATGTCTATCAAAGATTTAATTTCAAATCTTTATCTTTAAAAAATTATACTAAAAAAATTAACCCTGAATATAATTTTCATGCATTATATTATTTCTTATACAATAACTATACTATAAATTAAAATAACTAAATATTTAAAATACATTGTTTAATCCTATTTATTTAATTTAATTAATTATATTATTTTTATACTTTCATTTATTTCTTTTTTGAAATTAAAAAATATAATTTATTGAAATACATATAAGCATAAAAATTTATATCAATTTTAAAATTTAAATTATAATTAATTAATGTAATTATATATTTTATTTTTGATTTAAATATAAAAATTTATTAAACTAAATTAAATTATCATTCAAATCCTTATATAAATATTTAAATTATTACAATTAATTTAAATTTTAAACATAATTACTAGTTACAAGCTAAAAGCCCAGACTTTTGGATCGACCTATTGAGCCCACTTTGCCCATTTAAAATGCGAAAGCTAAGGGGCAATCCTGTAAAACCGAAAAAAAGTTACCGTTGCGACTCTAGGCTCTTCGTTATAAACAGAAATCGACACAGTTCAAAGCCCTAAAAACAAAGCGAAGTGCAGAATCTGCAGATCAAAAGCAAGAAAATTCTGAGATAACAAGTGAGAAAAGATTGATTCATCAAAAACCCATTGTGAGTTTTATCTCTCAAATCCCTTCTATAGTTTTTTTTTCTTGTTTAATTTCTTAATGAAGTTATTGTTTCAGGAGAGATATTTTGTATAAATTTTAATGGTGGAAAGAGAAAACTTTGTTAAAATATTTGAATATATTTTTAAAATTTTCTTTATTAACGTAGGGTGGAAAATGAAACGGGGATTTGGATTATTTCTGAAATGATAAGCATAAAAACAAGAATCTGTTTGGTTGTTGAGAAAGGGTGGAAAAGGAAAAGAAAATTTCGTACAATGACCAATTGGTTTGCTTTTGTTTTATCGCTTTCTGGTTTTTTTTTTTTTTTTTTGGTGTTTTTTGGGGAAGGCGGCTGATTTGATGACCTAGGGTTTACATAATTGATAATTATTTGAAGTGAAAAGCACAAACAGAAAATAGAGTTACTAAATTATAAAAATCCTTGATTCTATCATCATTAGGATGATATGGTAGGAAAATTGGAGAATACCCAAAAGCTTGCCTTTAGCATGGAGAGCCCAAGTAGATATAAATCCCTCATGGAAAAATCCCATACTTTTGATGTGGGATTCAAGTCTCACATCTTGTAATCATGTGGGCTGGCCTTTGCCCTAGTGTCACGTGCCATTACCCTATCCCTCAAAACTGGCTTATTGGGTTGTGCTCTCTTTTCTATCTGATGTGAGATTGAAGCACAGTAATTACTCCCTTGGAGGGCTTGGCGACATTCTCCCCCACTCAATTTTGTTATCTGCCCTTCTCACGGCTGCCAATCTGCTTGCTCCCCTTTGGAGTGCTTGGCTGCCACCGTGCCTTACCTTGGCACCTTGTCAAATGGCCAGACTGGCTCACCCTGTCTACCACTGCTGGGGCACTTGGCTTGGAGTCGACTGAATCAAGGGTTGGCTATGATATTGCTTGTCATGTGACCATTACACTCTCATCGCAAAACCGACTTATTATGCTGTGCAACACCAATGCTTATATGCTGCGTGACCTTCTCTTTCCTATTTGACGTGGGATTGAAGCATCCTACCTATTCCCTTCGAGCGCTTAGCATGATACTAGCTTAGTCTAGCCCTGGACGAACATTGCTATTCTGGCATCCCCAACTGCGCTGCACGAATTAGATTATGTTGCAGGATTTAGCATGTTTCTTGCCCATTATGTGTTTGATTTTCCCTTACCGCTCTTCATACAGTATTTTGGTTGGTCTTTTTTGTGAACTTGATTGCACATCTTAGACCATGACTTTTCTTCCCTTTTCTATGCATTGCACATCTTGTAGGTATAAGTTTTTATAGAAGTGTTTTGGATTCTATCAGCGGATTGCTCAGATGGCATCACGTACTGTTGGTTTGATTAAAGATCAGAATTTAGATGTTCACTACAATGGTACAACTGCTAACACTTTCTGTTCTTTTTTTAGTTTATTATTATTATTTTTTTCAAGTTGAATTATAATCGAAAGTGCCTTCTACAGGTGCCTCTGGTGTGGGCAAGGCAAATATTTCCAAAGCTCCTAGGAAAGCTGGTGTTGGGGGAAGGAAACCACTTGGTGATTTATCAAATTCAGTGAACCCGACCCCAAACCGAACATCAAAAAAGGAGAATTCTAAAGTACTTTCGTTCACTGAGAAAGACAGCTGTGCCTCTAAACTCACACATGATTCAAGCAAGAAGAAGAGTGTCTCTAAAGCCTCAGAGAAAGTGCAAGCTGGTGGCAGGAAAGCTCTCTCTGACATTTCAAACTCGGGTAAGCCACACTTGCAGGAGACATCAAAGAAGAATCAAACTGCGAAGTTAACCATTTTGGCAGAGGATCCAAGTCATCCCAAAGATATTGCAGAGGAAGGATTTCTGCACAATCATGAAGAATGCATCAAAGCGCAGAAAGGAGCTATAAGCATGAAAGAATTTTTGCGGATACTTGGATTAGATGGTAAGCAATGTTGTAACGTATTCAGATGTCCATGACGGTTTAGTTTTTGGCTGGATACTTACATTTTAATGTATGTTTTATTTAGATTTCTCCAAACAGTCTGCATCTACAAAAGAACCTCCTTTGTCAAACAAAATGATGGTAAGTTTTGATCGTTGTCTCATCTTAGTTATTGTTTACAAGTTTTCTAACTTTAGCATATGGATTCTCTTAATTTATTAGTTTATTTCTGTTACAGTACATGAGTCCTCCAAGGGACTTTGAACCCTTAGAGATGACCAAGCTGCTGATTGAAGATCCATCTCCTCCAAAGCATAAGATGTCGAGGAAACTGGACTCTGCCCCACCTAGTCCAGAGCCACTGGATCATTATATCCACTGGAATGATCCCGAGTACATTCCCAGTTTCAAGTTGATAGAATCACCATAACAGTCAAAACATTGATTTCCTTTGCCTGTTTGTCAATTCTACCTGGTAGCATATGAGTAGCAGTAACCCAAGTATTTCAAATTCCTTTTATTGTGGCTTGTACTGGACCACCGTTATTTTGCTTAGTCGGTAATCATGTGGTAACATCTGTTGCATTCAGGTTTGGCTTCTTCAACTGTTGTTTCTGTAAAAACAGGTTGAATTGGTGCTATTCAGTTTCATGTTAGGCCAGTAATATTTGCAGCATTCATCGAATTTGACATTGATCCTGATTACAGGGTATGCATGCACTCACTTTGAACATGCATCCCCCAGTATAGCAGCTGTCTCTGGCAGGCAGATCCGTCTAAGATGAGAAAAAAAATGGAGAAAACTAAAAACTAATTCAAAATCGTAGTGTTTGATTTAGTTTAGATTAGTATTTTTCTTATTTGGTTTGGATAAATTTAGATATTAAATATATGTATTAAGTTCGAATCAAATTTCAGATTAAAAGATGAAAAGTAAAAAAAATCGAATTGAATCAAATATTTTAAATTTTTGTAAAATAAAAATAATAATTTTATATTAAAATTTACTTAAATATATTAAAATAATATATAAAAAAATAAAAATCGATCAATTAAATAGAATTAAATTGAATTTTAAAAATTAAAAAAATTAAATCAAATCTAATTTAATTTGGAATGTTATCATTCTTACCTTCACTTGTTTATGTCACTGTCTGTGCATAGCTCTCGGCCTGTGGCACTTGCTCCTGACGTCATTCCACATAAAATCAGACTAGCGACATGGATGAGTTTGGAAAGTGCTTCTCGAGAAAAAAATTTTCCGCAATGTAGCCATCATGGACAAGGGATTTCGGAAAATTATTTACTCTAACGAGAATAAAAATAACATAGATATTACAAAAGTGCTTAGGCAAAGGTGTGAAAAATAAATTATTTTTAATAATTAATTAAATTTAAATAAATATATTAATATTTATTTTTATGGGTCTGATTATTTTTAATTTATTCATGTCACTATATAATTAATTGATAATATGCATAGAATATTAACTCAAATGATATTATCCCCTGTCATTTAAAATTTGAATTTATTGTGACTTTAATATTCAAGTTGAATCTCAATTCATGAATAATTAATTTTCGAAAAAAATTTTCTCTTAGAAAATTTACTAAAACTTAGTAATATGCTGTTAACATAGACTTTGCTTCATTTGTTAGATGCTATCCTTTCCATAAAAAAAAAATAATAATAAAGGTGTTTTTCTTCACATTACCTTTATTTTTTTAATTATATGTTCTTTTATTATTTTTTAGTTATATGTTTTTCTTAATTAAGTTTTTGGTTCTAAAAGTTTTTTTTAATGAAAAGTTTAATAAAAAAATCTACTTAACATATAATTTTAGCAATATACCAATAAATTATTTTAATAATTAATTTTTTAATATTAAAAATATTAATTTATCAAACAAAAGCTTATTGCAAAATCTAATTTTATTGATGCTAAAAAAAAAAAAAATTGTGAAATGAACCGACAGAGCTGAAACGGTCGAACCGCCCTATTAAAGAAAAATGCCGATCCAATCCGGTTTAACTGTTTCGGACTTTCTGCAGCTGCGGAGGGTGATATCATCTTCTCTTTCCTTCTATCCAGAAATATTTTTTCTCATTTCTCACAGCAAAAAAAAAAAAAAAACTTCCCATTGGTGATCCTAAAATGGCCGTCAAATCTCACATAATTACAGGATTGACCCTCCCTTTGAAACCCATTACTTCTTCTTCTTCTTCAAGCTCCGGGAGTGGCAGCAGCAGCCTCTGTTTAGTTAAGAAACCACTCACTTCTTCCTTCTTTAATGGCGGAGGTACCTTTCCTTTGGCTTTTTCTTGCTTTCAATTTTAATGGGTATTTGTTATTTCTTTCTTGGTCAGTCAGTGAATTAGGAGTTCTTCTTTCTCTCTGTTGCTATTGTTTTGGTTGTGTTTGTTATTTTCTATGTTACAGCCTCAATGTTGAAAATTTGGAACTAAATTTTATTTATTGTGATGGGATATATCAAAATTATGATTTTTTTAAAGAAAAAACTTTGCTTTTCATTGACAACCTAGTACCATTGTGTTTTTGATAGCTTGAGTAGTGGGAAGAAGGGTTGCCAAGGAATGTTATTTGACAAATAGATTGACAAGGCTGCTTAACTTAACTCAACTGGAACACATAGAACTTTTTTCAAGCACAGCTGGTTGCATGGATGATGACATTTCTTTGATCAATGAGCTATGGGTCTATTTGGGTCATTTACTCATGGTGAAATCAATCGGTCCCTGAAGAAATTAAATTGTTAAAACTTAAATGGTTTTGTGGATAAAAGTATTTGTATGCTTTATATGTTAATAAAGTTAAACCAATTCAATAATATATAAGAGATTGATGATGAGTTGGTTCGATTCTCCTGCAATTATGTAAGGTTTTGAATAAGGGGCTTTTGTTTTGACTGATGGAATTTTGAATAGCTTGTCATTTGATGCCACCATCTTTTCATCCCATTTTCCTATTGTTTGATTAGATTATTTGCATTCTAGGTGATGATTTGGGAGTAATATGAATGATTGAATCTCGCATGAAAAAGGACATTTTCTAAGTCTAGCACATGACAATACCAAATTCAAAGGAGTGTCTAACATCATCTAAAAGAGCTAAGCGCCAACATCTAAAGTAGGTTCAACTTATACTTTTAGCAAATTTTTTTTAACAGTGGCTGCCCTTAAAATTACAAGCACAAGGACCTTTCCAGGAAGATCTAATTGTCATAGACAAGGTGGAGGTGCTTTTGTTACGCGCATGAACCTTTTTGATCGGTTTGCTAGAGTTGTTAAGGTCAGTTTTTAGGAATTGTTTATACATTCATGTAAAAAAATGTAATAATACAATGGCTTCTGATTCCAACTTTTGATGTGTTATCTCAATAACTTGACTCAATTCACTGATAATGGCAGTCATATGCAAATGCACTATTAAGTTCATTTGAAGACCCTGAGAAAATCTTAGATCAAGCTGTGCTTGAAATGAATGATGACTTGGTGAAGATGAGACAGGCCACAGCACAAGTAAGCCTCATAATTTTATAGTTTGAGTTTCCCGTGTTTCTTAAGTTGTCTTTTGGCTCCTTTCTTTTTGTTCTCTTAATTTCCTTTTCTCACCTTTTTCACTGATTTTGATATTCTTTTACTCTCTTTTATTCATAATTGTATTGCATATGCACTCAATCATAGATGCCTAGATGGTCTTAGCAGTTTATATTCTTAGCAATTTTTTATTCCGCCTTTCAGTGAAATTTTCTTCCCACTTTACATATGCATATGTGATCCTTTTTCTTTTTTATTGTTTTGAAGGTATTAGCATCTCAAAAGCGGTTGGAAAATAAGTACAAAGCTACACAACAGGCTTCTGAAGATTGGTAATTGATCAAGGAGTTTTCTTTTTAGTCTGCAGAGTATGCTGGTCTCCCCATTAAGTTTTGATTTCATATAGGTACCGTAAAGCACAGTTGGCTCTTCAGAAAGGAGAAGAGGATCTTGCACGTGAAGCCCTCAAGAGGCGTAAATCTTATGCAGTAAGATGTCATCTTGCGAGAAAATAGAGTTTTTCTGAGCATTCATTATTTCCATATCTACAATTCTTACTCCTCGAAACATGCAAAAGCACATTCATGAAGTAAAATTGATAGGACGCCTAGAATTTGACATATAAGTAAAATTTCCCTTGTCAAAGCTTTCCCTAAACTATTTTGTGTCTTAAAAGGCTTGGGGAATGAAAAGTTAGGTTAACAAACTTACCATAGTTTAGCCCAATAGCTGGTGTGATTGGATTTTTAGAGTTTAGTTTTTCAATGAAAGGAGAAGGTTTAATTTGCAAGAAAGAAAAACAGATCAGATTTATAATATTGGGGTGGAACTTTTATGGTTTTAGTATATTTGCTCAATGGAAAAGTATAGGGTTACAAAAGGATGCTGAATTTATATGGAGAAAGAAAAAGGATAGAGAGAAGAGAAGATGAGTTGATATTGGGTGAAAAAAAGGTTGATTGAAGAAATAAAGGCATTTAGGACAGTTTCAATTGCTTTATCATATTTTTATGGGTCTGATTTTAATTTCCAGTTGTAGGATATTTTAGAGTTAAATTTGGTATTTTGCATTCATTTAATGTTTAAGATGTAGATATTAGTATTTTATGCTATTTCAAAATCCGTTAGCTTTGTATTTGGTGTTGAAAGTTTGAGATTTTGGAATCAGACTTGGTTCTTCTATGTCCTCTTGATTTCCTCCATTTCTCTCAAATTTCTCTGTTTCTTCTTTCTTTATGAACTCTAGTTTCTCCTTATTTTCCTTCCTTGTTGCGCATTATAGGAATTACAATCATGTGGTAGCCATATAAAACTCTTTCAAACTAAACTAAAACCCATATAAAATTATACGCCAAATGGGATTAGACTCTGTAATTGATGCAGAGAATTTTCTAGGGATTGAAAACAACTTTTTAGGGTTGTTACCTTAATTCGTAGTTCCTAAAGTGGATAGCTTTTTTTTTTGATCGAATAATTGATCAACCATCGTTTTTCCTTTTTGTTGCAGGATAATGCTAATTCATTGAAAGCTCAACTTGATCAACAGAAAAGTGTTGTTGAGAATCTTGTCTCTAACACTCGGGTATATTTCTATTTATCTTTACTACTATTAATTCCATTGAAAGATTATCCATTTAGATAATTTGGCTAGGACTTTTATTGAGAATATGTCATATATTGCCTTAGGTCTGAATGCAATGTTTATCTTGAATTCAGATAAATGATTATTGTTTTGATGTGTGAGACATAAAAATCTGAAGGTTAAATATCTGTTTTAAATAAAGAGGCTATAAGGAATAGAGAGGAAAGAATGTTGTAATGTTATTTTGTTGATCTTGATGTTAAAAGTTATTGGTTAAATAAGATCCTGGAATAAGTTAGGAGAGGGAACTGAACTATTATCTTGCTATTACCTATATATGATCCATTAGGTAGAGAAAATGAATCAAACTGAAAAAAATGGAGCAGTTTTAGCTGCCTTGTCATGTGTCTGAATTTTCTGTGATGCTTCATGTCAGCAAAGTGGTGGGAATTGCTGGACGTCAAGTAGCTGACAAATTACTGTTGCTATTTTTATGTATATGCCTTTTAATATAATTTGTAGGTCTTTTTTTTTTTTTTTTTTCATTTATGGTTTTTTGAGATTACTCTTTCCACATGTATTTAGCCAGAAATCTTTTGTACCCTGTTAGTTCATTTAAAAGTTTAACAGCATAAACCTCCATTTATCACATTGCGAACCAGAGTGTTGGGTGCAACTTCTAGAAGTGACTTTCGCCTAATCCTTATAGTTGGTAAGTAGAATTTGCTCTTGATTGTATGAAATGTTTCTGAATGACTGTCATGGAGGAAAGGAGTAACTTTATGGAATTAAGATAGAACTTGAAGCTGAAAGAATAAATATGGGAGCCAAAGTCCTGTGGTAGAATGAAAATATTACAACTGGAATGAGGTAATAACACACACTACGTGATTCTGGTTAGGTACTAGTGATGTAAGGTGGTATACTGAATAATGAAAGTCTTATGATACGAGCATGCTGTGCAGTGATAAAATGAACAGTGGTAGTGATTTAAAAGTGATTAAAAGGAGAATCTATAATCTTTAGAAAGATAAACCAAAGAGGAGTGTCAGAGCTGTTAAGCAGCAATGGTTTCTGAAGGAATGACAAGGTGGTTATTTCCAAAAGTTGCCTTCTAGCAATGGGAGGCCTTGGTACTGTGTCTCAAATAATAAAAATTCTTAAGCTAATAAAATCTACGCAAATTGAAGAGAGATAATCACTGAAAATTTATGAGATTTATTGGGATATGAGCATCTTTCAAAGAGGTAAGGGAGATATTGCTCTTCTTTCACACTCTTCAAATCTTTTAATAGTATCTCAATAACTAGGATTAATGTTGGAATAGAGCCCCAAATTTAAGAGTTAATACTATTATAATGTTATTTTTCTGAAATCCATCTCTCAACATTTTGCTTTGAATTGAGTGTCTCCTCACAACAGCTTAGAGTAATTGGGATAAATATTGGGTAAAATATGGAAATAAATGAACTAGGAAGCCTAGCATATCAATTTTTTTGCCTAGAATTATACAACAACAATAACAACAAACTAAGTCTTATATCCTATAACTTTGGGGTCGGCTGTACGAAAGGCCAAAGAAAATTTTTTTTCTCATTTGTTATTTATCCTTAACTCTTGTATCATTTGTTATTATATCCTTAACTAAGTCTTATATCCTTAACTCTCGTATCATTTGTTATTACTTGCCGTAGAATTATAAATGACATAAATTTTTTCAGTAATGACATCCTTAGCAGATGGTTTTGACAAAAAAAAAATTGATGAAACACTTAATAAATAAATAAATAATAGATGTAATAGGAAAATTATCTACGTCATTTTTTTTATCTTGTTATTATGTACACATTGATGGATTTGTTACGGTTACATTCCCTGAATTCCATTTTGTGTAGCTTTTGGAGAGCAAGATACAAGAGGCGAAGTCAAAGAAAGACACTTTAAAAGCTCGTGCTCAGTCAGCAAGGTAGTCTCCACTATTCCCATTGCTACCTTCCTTTTTCTCTGTGTTTCATCACATTAGACTTTCTGATAACGATTACTTTGATGTTGATTCAGAACTGCGACAAAAGTAAATGAGATGGTGGGAAATGTCAACACTAGCAGTGCTTTATCAGCTTTTGAGAAGATGGAAGAGAAAGGTTAGTTAATCTTAGGTTGGAAGCTTTTTCGTTGTATGTGAACACCCTATTAATTCATGAATCAGGGTTAGCAAGATTGTTATTTTGACATGACAGAAAGTGCACCTAATAGAGCTTTTTCAGCCTTGCAATAAGCATCTAACGTGTAATATGTGCTATATTTCTCTAATGGAACCTATCTTAAACATAAAATATTATCCAATTAAATTATTGGGTGATTTCTTCTAGTACACTGACACAATTTCAAGCTTAGGGAGTTGCATTGTGAAAAAGTTTCGTGAGTTAAAAATATCTATGTAATATGTTGTTGAGGATGTGAGGAGTTCTAAAGTTCAGATATGTGTCCTTTTTGGCCTACCCACTCTTCTTAGTTATGAAATGCCTCTGTTTAACCATCATTTTCTGAACTAAATATTTCATTAGAAGTGGCGGCATTAATAATCTTTTATATCTAAAGTCATCCTTGTCACACACATGATGATTGGTGATCCCTTCTTGCTAAATCTAGTTCTTGATTACTCAAGATAGACTATCTCTTTCATTTCCTGTGGTTGATAATCAATTTATAAGAACTAGATTTGATTTGAATTCTAGTCTCTTATTTTTTGTCCCTTGCCTTCCTTTTTTTGGCAGTTTTGGCAATGGAGTCTGAAGCAGAAGCTCTGGGGCAGTTAACCACAGATGATCTTGAAGGGAAGGTGGTGACTGCTCTATCTTTATTTTGCATTCTTTAAATCCAATTTAAACTTTCTATGGCCAATTTCCATTGTTGATATTTGAAATTTGATAATTTGCATCATTGTTGGTGGTGGCCATCATAGGCCAGATATTTAACAGTGTTAATGGCTTGTTGATGGCATAACTAGGAAATGTCAATTTAGCTGTAGGTATAAGCTCTGACTCATTCTTTATGAACTTGGGACTTACTTTCTGAAATATTTCCTGGTTCTCCAAGGATATGAAATACGGAAAACGTTTTCCTGTAAATAAAGCTGGTCATGTTGTAAGGGATAAGTGAAGTTTTCTTGAATTTAAGATACAAAATATTAGAATTATAGTTAGGCATTTATCAGAAAAGTTGCTTGCCATATTCTGGATTTTCTTACGACCTGAAAATTCATATTAAGAATACAAGACAACAAGACTACTTTGTACTGCAGTTCATATTTGTAGGACCCTTTTGCTATGATAATATAATCTTTTTGCTTGTAGACTTGATAGTTCCTTCTGCAAAATATACTCCTTTCGATTCACTTAAGGAAACCCGTAACTTAAATTTGCAGTTTGCATTACTTGAGAGCACATCGGTTGATGATGATCTTGCAAACTTGAAAAAGGAACTCTCTGGTAGCTCAAAGGTATGTCTTATTCTTGCTTTATGAAAAATGGAATTCTTTATGATGGATTAGGTTTCTCTGATATATAACTTTCCCTCAACCAGGCTTTTAAAATTACATTGAACTAACAATATGTTCAGCTCTGTCTGGTTGTTGGGTGAAGAATCAGATTCAGAATTGTGTCTTGACTGGCCAAAAAAAAGGACCAGAATTGACTGAACATTCAGAATTGTTCTGCTGATCATGTTCTTCCTTTCCCTGGTCTATTTTGGCAACTAGAGACTTGAGTAGTAGTTTGAGGAGAAGGAAAAGAAATTTCCCTCGGTCAAAACCTCAAAAGTTGTTCTTCCAGCTTTGAGCCAAGAAGCTATAGGAAGGAACAGTGCCTTGAATTTCAACCATTTGAAAGGTTTTTAATTTTTATTTTTCCTGTTCGTCTGATTAACAGAAAGGAGAACTTCCACCTGGAAGAACTGTTTCTACCAGCACAAACAAGACATTTCCATATCGAGATGCTGAGATCGAGATGGAGCTTAATGAATTGAGGCAAAGGGCGAAGGACTTCTAAGGTTTCTGATCTGCAATTCTTATATCAAGAATGAACCTTCTTCGAACGGTCTAACTTGGTAAGCTCAAGTCCAAACTCAAACAACTATAGCTATTTTTCGATATTTATGTACATACTTCTGTATTACATTAGATGATCATTGTCAGGTTGCACTCATAACCTAATGTGCACCTGTGGCAATGACCATGTTTCAGACTATGTATTCAATAGCTTGATAATGTACAATTAGTCTTCCCGGCAACTTCCTTCAGCATTTTTATATTTTTAATATGAAAGAGATCGTTGTTGTTCGAGTATAAGAAAAGAGATTGTAAGCGTTCGAGATTTGAATTTCATGTGTTAAATGCATAAAAATCAAAGGCTCGATTTACACATATAGGCAGAAGGTATGAATGTGGCTTGGAACTTCTTTATACGGCATCGCAATGTTTACTTGGGACTCTTACACACTCTAGAAATTGCTTGCCAAGAAAAAGGAAACGTGTCAAAACTTTTAGCAAATGGAGACTAAAGAATTCAAAGGATATTGTAGTCTTGGACGAAAAATCGAGTAAATTCTTAACAAAGGGTTACATTCATTTCTTGCACGCCATTTCATTCAAGGCAAGTAATGAACAGTTTTAGTAAGACTCGTTTGGATTTCATTGTACTTAACGATAAGTGATACTAACTCTTTAAGAGAGAAAAAAATTGAGAAAATTTATATATATATATATATATATATAATATTCAGATTGAATTTAAGATCAGGATATAAAAAATCAAAAAAATTAAATTGAATTGAATTATATATTTTTATTAATTTATTATATATTTTGAGTTTTTTATAAAATAAAAATAATTAATTTATATATAAATATATTTAAATATGTTAAAAAAATTTTTAAAATAAAATTTAAAAATCGATCGATAAAATTTAATTCGAATTGAATTTATTTTAAAAAAATTAATTTATATTTGAATTAAATTTTAAAATTTTGTAATATTACCTATTATGTAAAAAAATCGAATCAAATTTAATTTGATTCGAATGATTATCATTACACTGTAACATGCATTTTAATCGCAACTTCTTATGCATGAAACCACCGTTCTTTAAGTTGAAGATCGGAGATGAAAGGTCAATGATCCACTGATCCTAAAACAGTGGATTTTCTTGCCTAAGACATTTGACTGTCTTTCGGTCAAATTGAAATAAAAAATATCTTTCATTTATGGACGTCAATCGTCTTTGTAAAGCGTTCGATTATCTCATTTGCATACATGCATTTTCATACACAATAGTTAATTATTTTTAACCGGATAATCGGTTGCAATATCTAATTTTATCATTTTATCACGTTTATATTTAAATATATATTTTATCATTGATTTTAATTTTATTATTATTATAATTATTAATAAATATATATTTTATCATTGATTTTAATTTTATTATTATTATAATTATTAGTACCATGCTCCAACCTAAAGGCTTTCTTAGAAAGATAAAAAAAAAAAAGGTAATTAAAGACAAAGGCAAAATGGATTCTTTGCATTTACATTTCAATGTGTAAATAAAAAAGATTCAAGTTAGAAAGTAAGTTGGAAAGAAAGAAATAAAGTAGAATAAACGTGTTTTAATGTTGTTTGGATCTTCATTTTTAAAGGTAAGCTATAGAAGACCGTCAAGGGACAATAAAGATAATGTTAAACTGATGTAGCATTGAACATGTTAGATCGATCCAACATATCAAGTCAGCACAAAGATAGAAATATCTCTGGTTGTCTATTGGAGGCTTCATAGAGAGAAAAAAATCACTATATATTTTTTATCATCAAATGTCCTTAACACTTTATCTTTTCATAAAGTAGTTTGAGTATCGGATTGTTGAAGGTATGATTGACATCCCTAATATAGGGCAAATAGGTAAAAAGAGATGACTTGGAAGTTCAAGTCTTCGAAGCTAACATTATAAAGAGAGGTCGATTTTAAAGGATGGCTAGCTTTGAACCGCAGTCTGATCTTGCGTGTGTGCTCTGGTTGAGTGCATAGTTAGCTTAAAGGTTATCGATGTGTTAATTGTTTGGAATGATTCGAGGTTAGTGTTGGAGTTCATTTGGCCATGGTGAAACTTGTATTTTATTTTAAAAACTTGGATTTGAGCTTCTATTTTGGACTCTGACAGTGAACCATGCTCTCAGTTTACCCCAGAAAGTCTTTCAATTTAGTCGATTTGATCTGAGATTTATTCAGTTAGGTTAATCTGATAGCATTAAATAAGAAGGGAGGTGGTCTGAGTAGGAAAATTTAAAACGAGAAGTCAAAAAGACGTCTTCCCACCTTTGCTTTGACACATGACACAGCCTGTGTCGTTTATCTGATCTGAGGCACATCTATATAAAGAGTAATTGGGACTTCAATTTTTCATCTTTTTGCTTTCTTTGCTCTCAACTTGACTTGAACTTTTTGATCTTAAAAGCTTTCTGACCTTTAAAGTTTTTTCACACCTTATTCAGTACGTATTCTTAACCATATTTTCTAGTATGAGTTTTGGGAAGGCTGAGAGTTATTAGGTAGAACCTAGAGGAGGTCAGTAGGGGGTAGCAAGATAATGATTTGATCCGACTAATTATCGAAGGCTATAATTATAAGAGGATGGCCTATTGGTTTAATCCAATGTCCAAAGAAAGGTAGTGGAAAAATGAAAAGAATGCTTAGGCAACAAGAGAACGGATCCTAAGTACGGAATAGTTGTGTGCTTAAATTGACTTTGATTTACAAAATTTACCACCTGTCTCTATCTTTCAAGTCGGTCCATCTTTTATAGTCGACCTTCCTTCATTTTCTATTGTTTCTTCTTCTGGGGTTCAATCTAGTTGATTTTTTTTTCTTTTATTCTCGCCTTATTGATGCTCTTATTGTCATTTTTATTCCTCTTCAGTCAATTTTTATTGAGATCTCTTCCTTTTCTGAAGGGTTTTCAACTTGTCCTTCTTCTTCTAGGATTGAATTGCTCTCAGCCATAGTTTCACCTCAAAATCTTACTCCTATTTAAGAGTTAGAGTCTTTTGGCGGTGAAGATTCTCACGAAAAGGGTTTTGAAGAGCAACAAGAGGAAATGAACACCTCGATTGGCAAAAGTGATGATTAGGAAGGGAACCTCATGGTGCAGGACTAATTAGCCAAGGTCCTTGTATATATTTCTTGTGACCTCTGCATGATTTCTAAGGATGTGATAATAAAACTAAATAGCAAGGCAAATATTGAAGACTATCCTAACATGTGTTCAGCTCATCACGTCTGTGCTCTGGCTACGACTTTTCTTTTTCTCAGAGAAGGGTATAGTATAATAATGTCAAAGTCTTCAAACTAGATCACTGATAGATTGGAGCCACATCGACTTTATGTGTATTAGGATTCCTTCATGGTCAGTTTGAGTTTCCCACTTTATCCTTTATTTGTTTCAATTTTTAATTTTTACAATTTGATTATCACTTAGCTCACTCCTAACTTTATATGGTACATATTTGCTTTTATTATTTTTTGTCAACACTTAAACATTCTTCATATTTTTTCTCTATTTTGAGAATTCTTTTCTTTTAAAAAGCACCTTAACAATGGTAGGTAATAGTACATAATAGCTCGACCCAATAAGAAATTACTTGCCGATTGTTTAAGCTCAATAAAAAATTAGAAGCTACTTTTTTTTGGCTTGAGAAGCAAAAAATAAATAAAAATGATAAGCCTAAGGTCAAGGCTATTTCTAAGATTGAGGCTTGGGAAATAAGGAGTATGCTGGGCATTTTCATAGATGCACTGGTGGTTTTTTTTATCCTGGATCTATCAAATTGGGATAAAATTTTAGAATATACCCATAGAGAGAAGGTCATCATTGATGCCCATAAGCTGACATCCTCAAAAGTAATAAACAAGACGAAATATTGAGATAGGTTTAAGGTAACCTCATAGGATTTTACTTTAACTTAATTTTTGTTTAACTATTAGCTTGGTTTTGCAGAGATGGCCACTGTAATGATTTTGACTTTGGGTTGTACTAGCATACCTTTAAGCCCAAGAAAGGCCAAAAAAATATTTAGTTCGGGGCCCTATCTTACGGGGGAGACAAGGTGGTCAACAACTTATTGCATCATTCTCTCGCAAGTCAAAAAACAAAGGCCAAGGCTGGCCGAGACCTATCATCAACATCGACGCCAACACCTCATCTTCCTACCAAAAAGCCATAGGTGGAGGCCTCTTTTTCCACCCTTGAGATTCCTGAGGCTAGGGTATTAAGGCCTAGCTTAGAGAGGATCTCCACCAGCTTTGAATGCACTCCTACTGATGACTCCATCACTAACCTAGCCATGGCAAAGAGATTTAGCAAAGTCACAATCATTCTTTTTGGTAAGTATTATTGACTTTAGTTCAATTTTATCAGTATTCTTCATTTTGCTAAGTTTGAGGTCATCTTGTGTAGTTCAACAAAAATTTTTCCCTTAACCCCTAAAAAACATTGGTGAAGCCCTCTACCACACCTATCTCGTGATGGCCCACCTACTGAGGGTCAAGAAGGACATGGCTACCTTGATCGAGGAGCACAAGAAAAGCTTGTATGCGTTAGGCAATTTTCAATCTAGTCTCAACGCATCTCACAAAAATGGAGCTAAACTGAGGAAAAGAATTGAAGAGTTAACAGTGAAGTTGGAGGTTATCCTAATTGACAAAGCTTCAGCTAACTCAATGATGGAGCAAGCTAAGCTAAAACTCAATGATGCTTAGGTTAAGATAGCTGAGGTTAGGTCAGAGCTTGAAGCTAGGGAAAAGGGGAAGGAAAACCTAAAAAAAAAGGCAGTGAAGGAGTTTAAGGTCTCCATTAGGTGCTTCTTGATGAAGGTGAAGTTTTTAGGAAGAATGTGCTCGGTGCCTTCTAGTTGGCTAAAGACAAAATGTAATTTAAATTCTCTGCCATCAAGCTTGACCTCTTTGATGTTGATATCAACAATATCAAATTGATGCCTCGTCCAAATTAGCCTGAAACGATGAGCAAAAGGAAGAAAAAGATGAGAATGAAGCCTTGGAGGTTAAGCTGGAAGCAGTTTTAGGGTTTGGGCATGAGGTGGAGAAGGTCGAAGAGGGTGAGATCATCACTACTATTTTTGCTGATGAAAATGCTACTCCCATCGCTACTGCTATCGACGTTGTTGGTGAATAATTTTTTTGACTTTTTATTTTTGATTTTTTGTAAATTTTTGTTAATG